AATTATTAATTTTGAAGATAAGTGTTATTTATTAAGTATTTTACTGTCAAATCATGAATTAAGTTGTCTATTTATTTGAAATATGGGCTGGACCTATTTTAAACTAATATTATTAGTCTAATTTAATCTAAGATTTTGTCTATATATTTATTAAGTCTATATGATTAATATTTATAACTATTTATCAGTGTAAACTCTTTTTAAACTAATTTTTAATTTTAATACTAAATGACTAAAAAAACTATTTATAATTTGTGTTTTGTGTCCAGACTGACAACTATACTGAGCAGGCCTGTCCTTAGGGGCCAGAGGCTCTTCGTTTAATTTTTATTGTGAGCGGTCAAAAGAAACATGCTCATTAGACCAATGTCTAATGTTGCACTTACCCCTATTCCTAACTGCTAACCCTAGCTTCCAAATGGCACGGTGTTAACATATCACTCAAACTAACATCTTTCCCATTAGCCTTACCCTGAACCTAACCACTCCCACACTTGCCTACACACAACCAATAACCTCAGACACTCCAAAAAAGTCAACATACAAACCTGTCCCAATCCACTCAAAATGGCCTGAAACGTGCTCCTACACACTTTCTGAAAAATCCCATACTAGGGCTGAGACTGAAATTTTCCAACAACTCGCAATGAATGTACACACTCAAACGGGAATAACTCCGGAACCGAACGTCGCAAACACTTGGAAACCTGCTCTGTATGCCATAATCTGACCCTTCTGAACACGCAGGACTTGTCCCCAAGTCTCTACGACCTACGCTTGCCGAGATACAAGGATTTTCATGTGTATTTCCGGAATTACGCCCACTTCCGGTTACCACCGGAAGTCAAGAGTGACACCCAAAGAAGCGGAAGGAAAAAATGAACAGATTGAACCTGCTTTGAACTCTCTACAACCTTCCTGTGAGGAGAAACATGCTCATTAGACCAATGTCTAATGTTGCACTTACCCTTATTCCTGCCGGTGTTACTTGAATGTATCGAGTCATATTCTAGATTATCAGGTTATAAAGTACACTGGCATAAATCAGAACATATGCCGATATCGCATACATGTCACTCTGGGGTTATCACTTCATATGGCTTCAAGTTTCTACCTTCAGGTATGAAATATCTAGGCATTCAATCAAATCCAAATCTGGATGAAATAATGCTCCCAAATATGGAACCACTCCTCCAGAAAATAAAAATGAACCTGGAAAATTGAAGCTCACACTGTGGGGAAAAATTAATGTAATTAAAATGGTGGTTGCACCACAATTCAGTTATGTCTCCATGATGTTGCCAGTCAATATAGCATCACAGCTGTTTAAACATTATGATAGAATTATCAAAGACTTTTTAGGCCAAGGATTAATATAAAGAAGATGTGGTCAACGAGGGAAACGGGAGGTATGGGTCTACCTAAAGTGAGATTATATAACATATCATTTGAAATGTCTAATATGATAAAACATTGAAAGGGGATAGATCATGAGCTGAGCTGGATCAAAATTGAAAGGCAACCAACTAGCCCGTTTGAACCTCTGGATGTCCTCTCACATGGTGTAACAACTTCTGGGCATAATTATTTTTCAAACCCAGTGTTGTCTTATTCTAAAGCAGTCTGGAGAGAAATTAGATATATGGTATTTCACACTTGTAAGACAACCTTACGCCTCTCTATGGTGTAACCCAGCCATATGTATTGGAAAGAAATCTGTTTATAGGAATCAATGGCTTGGAAGAGGGATACGCAAAATAAGTGACCTGTGTGTGGATGGAGTGTTCATGTTGTTTGCTGATATTATGCAAAAATATAATCTGGAATATAAAAGTAATTTTTGGAAATATTTACAAATAAGAGACTGTATCACAAAGGGTAAATTTAGTCACAACAAGAATACACTCATGGAAGTTTTGGACCTACCTAGTATAACACACAGAGCAGCCATATTCTACAAGACATTTAATGGTATACGAGAAGATATGTGTAAAAATCTGAGGATCATTTGTCAGAAAGACCTAGGGTGTGATTTGAGTGAGGAAGATTGGTTAAATATCTTATCAAATACAGGGAAACACATGAGAGAGGCAAGGGGGGAAATTTGTTCAGTACAAGATCATTTGTAGATTTTATTTCACCCCCTCAAAACTACATAGAATGGGCTTAATAGGAAATAATTTATGTTGGAAGTGTCAGAGTGAAATAGGGACATTTTTACATGTAATTTGGGGATGTAAACTGGTCTACCCATTTTGGGAGAAAGTACTGGAACATTTGAGTAAATGGCTGGGTGTGCTGGTACCTGTATCTCCAAGACTGTGTTTGTTAGGGGACCAAACAGAAATGTCAAATATATCTAAATATGAACGAGGGGTTTTAAAAGTTGGGATGGTCACAGCATGAGTACAGTTGCCCCAGATGTTAAAAAATTGATGGAAATTATGTCAGAAGTTGCATCATATGAACACATGTTGGCTGGAATTAACGAAGAAAAACATTTTAGAAGGGCCTGGGAACGTATTTTTTTGTAGGCAGGGCATATGGAAAAATTTGTAGACATGGTGCTGAATGTATATTTTGGTTGTTTCAAAAAAGGAAATGTCGATTTGCAGGAGGCCTTTGTATATGGGGTTGTATGCTGGATATACTGTCTGTTGATGTTGGGGTCACTGTTTGTTCTTGAGTTTGATTGTATGTTTATGTGTGTATGAATAAATAAAAACTTTAATGACAAAAAAAAAGAAAATAGCGAAAAAGTATCAAAAGAAGGAAGTAGCTCCGAGTGTTTTAGGTAGAACTAGTCTACGTTTAAATGTCAAGCGGGTGAATAACATGCTGTAACATGTAAAACAAATTTATATTTAGCGTTCACTGGACAGAGCTACAGCACCAAACAGTGTACACAGAGCAGGAAGTAAACCAGAAATTAGTCAGCACGCTTACCGTTGCATGTCACACATCTAGATCCTTTTACAATGTAAGATGTTCAAATCTTCTGATTGTGATTCACCAACTTCATTTTACCAATCTCTTAATCTGTCTTGCATTTGGGTCCTCGCCTCCATCCACCACAACAAAATGTAATCATTACTTTTATCATAAACCACTACTTGAATCTACTAGGAACAAACCTCTCTTACATTAGTTCCACTTCGAAACTAGACAAATTAGACCTTTATATTCACAAAATAGCCTTAAATATAACAGTAAAATAACAGAAACTTAGATATCACAATAGTAACTTACTTTCTCACTCCTCAAATAAATCCTTCTCTTTTTCTCTTATTCTATTTCATTTTACAAATGCTGTCATCCTCCCCTAAAATAATCATGATTACCATTTATCTATTTCAAGAACCTTAAATCAGAATTCCCCCTATAAACCCAAACTGGGGCTACAACATAAGACATGAAAACTACTTTCGAGGGTAATATAAGATAAGAGAGCTTCTGATAGCATGTGGCAGCCAGTGCCTTGCCTTTGGCTCCCCAGTTCAACTGCCCAGTCATCGGAAGAGGTGGGGGGAGTCATCGAGATAACTTTCACAAACCTAACCCAGAGTGGTTTTCAACCCTAAATATGTATACCCTTATTTTTTTACAAAAAGGTACATCCACAAAAGTTTCCTTGGTGAAATATATCCACAATAAAACTGTAAACATAATACAATAATAGCAGAAATTTTGATATTACTATATTATCCAACAATACCACATCTCAACTATTCCTATCTACTTTCTACCATTCTATCACAATTACCTTAATGCATGCTGCTTTCCTTCTCCTGTGTGTTGTAGATTTCCCTGCTGTCCTCCAGGTCTGCTCCACACACCTTACTAAAATCAACTCATCAACTCTCCCAGTCTGCTCACCTGCCTTCAATCAACTCATCTACCCCACAGTATATCTACCCCAGTGCTCCATCTACTCGGGGCCAGATCATTCAATCTTCTGTCGTCCACAGGAACTACATCTCACCTGTTCGTTCATGCTAGCCTTGGTGCCTGCCTTCACGTCTGCCTGCCAACCAGCCAACCAATCAACCTTCTTCAGGTTAGTCCTCACTTATCTGTCTGCATGCAAGCCAATGAATAAAGTTTGTGAATAAAACCAACTTCATTTTACCAATCTTTTAATTTGTCTTGCTTTTGGGTCCTCGCCTCCATCCACCACAACAGTAAGTCATCGAGAGAACCTTTGCAAACCTAACCATGTGTCTAAAAAGGCAACTACTGACAGATTTAGCAACTTATATATTTTATTGTTCATAACATTCATTCACTATGACTTAGCCTATCTTTAAGCCTATATATAAAAAGTTTGATATTTTCCCTGCCTTTGTAGAAGTATATTAGTATATAGTATATTACTTTAAAAATCGAATGTGCCTGAAGTGAGTTTGTTTGGCTCAATTTTTTTAAGATGAACATGTATAAACCTCAGTCAGTTTCATTTTACAGCACACTATAAGAGAAAAGTATCTATACTTTCATTATATTAAAGCATTATCTGTCTTCTACCTTTCCAGTTTGTTTTTCACACTTTAAATATTATTTTACACTCCTGTGTTTGGTGTATGATGTCTTCTCACAATGACGCTGCAGTGACAACTTGGTAAATAAAATGTCTTTTTCATGGCCATGGCTGTGCATCTTGTGTTTCCTTATGTTTTCCCCTGTTTGTCTGTCTCTGTTTGTGTGTGGACGTGGTCTCTTTCCTCACTCTGGCTCCTGGTTCAACTGTCACTGCACACCAGCCTGCCTTCAAGCAATCCCCACAGTGAAGAACTAGACCTCAGCATTCACTGTCAGTCCCTGCCAGATCATAGTTCCTGTCACATGTACTACACTTCCTGTTCACAAGTTTATTTGGTATCAGCCTGGTTAGTTTCTTTTTTGTTTGCCTGCCTGCCCCTGAGACTTAAAGGGACACTTCACCCATTTGCATTAAGCTTTGTATCATTAGAACCCCAGTCATATTTTTGAATGGTCATGCATCATTCCCTCATTTTCCCTGGAGAGGGGAGAAATAAGGATTTTAGTGTTGCACTTCCTGCTTCCAATGATGTAAAAATCGTCATTTTGTGTGATTGGAAGCAGGAAGTCTCATATCTGTGTAGAGGGAGTGAGACTACAAACACTACTTCCTCATTTTTCCAGGGGGTGGGACCCACTCACGCTACAGACCTATTACAGATCAGTGGGTGGGTCTTCACCTGCAGAAACAAAAAGATATAACCGCCATCTTGTTTGGAAGCTAAGCGAACAGGCGCTATCGAGTATGGCAGAAGGTAACGTTAATCAATCTGATATGGAAGAAGAGGATTTCGAAAGTGTGATGCTCGAGTCAGATGTTTTTCGTGGCTACCTTTATGAGCCACAATATAGCGAAGAGCAGCTGAGGCTGATGGAGGAACAGGAGGCGGCTGAGGCCGCTGCAGCTGAGGCAGTGGACCAGCCTGTCGTGGACGCGGAGCCCGGACTGGCTCGAGCTGGGGCGGACTGGTGGTGCCGGTGCTCTCGCTGTGCGCCCACGGACACAGAGATAGAGTCCATCTGCTGCAAAGAATTCCAAAGATGCCAGTTTCTTCTGGACAAAATTTCTGCATCAGATGAGGACATGGACGTTTGTGTTGTCAACCATCCAAGTTTCGCACCGCATATGGACAGCGGCTTCCTGGAGACATATTTCAGAATCCCAAAGGTCAACTGGAAACGACAGCCAAAGCCTGCAGGGACAAACGGATGTCTGACTGTAAAGTGAGTGTTTCTATTTTCTTTCTTATAACAGCGTGGCATGTAATGTTATGTATTGTCACGTTAGCACTAGCAAGCTGACCCATTCAGCTAGCCACTTGCTAGCAACGTCAGCCAACTGAACTACCTTCTTTACTGCACAAACAGCTTGCAGTTGCATTGCTAACTACTGTGGCACGCTACACGCAAAGACCATGCATCGCTAATTGTGTGCTCAATGTCTTGCAGACAATATCGCCTAACAGCCTACCGACACTTTCTGGAATGGGTCCTGCAAGGCGAGAGATTGGGTCGAGGCCATTGTGTCGTTTTACCCGCTTGTGTGGTGCAGGCAATCCGACATAAATATCCAGCTCCAGATGGCCAGTACTGTGGGCACCAAGAACTTGAGGACGCTCAGGAGGAACTGTAACTATAATAAGAGGAGAACGCTGAATAAACTGTTATCCATCACACCCTCTCCATCACACAGTGGTCAGACGAAGGGACAGATACAGGAAATCTTTCCTGCCACATGCCATCACACTGTACAATAACAGCTAAAACTCTGGTCATAATAATACAGTCTCCAAGCACCTTATATTTTTAATTTGCACTACAATTATACTGCTTATTTATAAAAAAAAATGTATATTGCTTTTTTGATATGTCTAGGTTGTTCTCTTTACTTATTGTGTTGTTACTGTGTGTAAAGCTGCTGCTACACTGCAATTTCCCAGCTTGGTATCAATAAAGTATATCTATCCATCTGTCTTTGTTAACATATTTATTTTTGTTGTTGATATATTTCTTTAAATAAATGGTTCACATTCACGTTGTTGTAGTCCTTGGTAGTGTTGCTCCAAGTGTATATTATAGAAATAGTTATTGGACGACCAACATTTCATAAGTGGAGCTAATAAACTACTGTTGCCTGACATGACAATAGATAGCAAAATAATGGTCATACCTACATCATTTTGTATTCTTATTTAGCAAGTCCAAATTGCATTATAAGTTAGAAGTGCAAAACCATTTACCTCCTTCCAAGTTTATAATGTTGGACTTTGGTGTAGACAGAAAGGTTTAGGTTTGCAGGATTGAATAAGTTTTGTTTTATTCACAAATGAAAGATTTGTTTCATGGGTAGACAAGAAATTAAAATAACTAAATTTATATATATATATATATATATATATACACACACACACACACACACACACACACACACACACACACACACACACACACACACACACACAGACAGTAGTGGCAGAATATAAAAAGGCACAGCTGGTGTTGTCCAAGAAGCGCAGTGAGAGAGATGGAGATGGAGTTGGGTTCTATGTGAAGAGGTCTCAGAAGCGGCTTTTGAACAATGCTTTGGCAGTCTCTTTTGATGGTTTTGGTACAGGGGCATTGTTGGGTGGCAATGCAGGTTGTGGCAGGGCGAGTGAGGAGGTTGGGGTTTTGAACTTGATGTTCGGGTTGCGTCTACTTTCCAGGACCCTCTCAATTAGGTCTCCGACAAACTGCATTGTGTGTGGTGTGAAGACTTTTTTCAATATCCATTGCTTGGACTTTTTGCAGTACACCTGTTTGAATCGTGCTTCTCCCGTAAATGACAAGGAATATAATAACACATAAAACATAAATGACGACTTGATTGTAGTAGACTTCTCTCCCCAATAAATATATTACACCTTTCAGCAAAGTATGCCAATTCAGTTAGCTGTTAACATTGTAATTTTGGTTATTATATTATTCGAAGAGCACATGGTAACAAACCTGTCACTGTGGTGGCTTGCTTCCTTTTCACAGTGTTTTCATTGTGGTCGAGGATGGCAAGGTGGCACCTCTCCCTCATTCCATAGTATGAGAAGGTCGGCCGCTTGGGGAGGTATTTCAGCAGAGCACTATCAAAGTTCTCCAGTGGCCCTGTGTGCAATTACATAGAGGATGGATAGGACTAATTAAAACATGTTCATTAGGATATAGAAAAATATGCAAGAGTAAAAGTGCATCTATTCTCACCAGTATGTTTGAAGAGTGCGATCTGGTTGAGGTCTTTCAAGAGCCTTTCGTTTAGGACCAGAGACGACAGGGCCTGCAATGCCACTGAGTCCTTGTCAATCCACATCCGCATCCTCTGGTCCTGGGGGGTAAGAGGAGGATGATCACACCGATGCTGTTTTCCGTCATCATCTCTCCACTCGTGTTCACTGCAAACATGGTGTGTAATGGATTTCCAACAGTTTTGCAGTGCCTTTGTGAAAGAAAAGTGTTTCAATAATACTAATGCTAAAAAGCACACATCAGATAGAACCTTTATTGCAGCTTTTGATTCCTTACCTCTATGTCCCCCTTACTTGTGGCACAGCTATACCACATGTGGCTATACCACATGTGGTTTACGACAGACCTGTGAAAGTTACTGAAATGAGTAATTTCCAACCTTGTAAACCAATGGAACTTCTGCAAGATTACAAACCAACACTGACCTGGTCCATGCAAGAAGGATTGCAGTGTCTTTTTTTTCCCCTTCGTCAGTATTTTATTCCAGAAACCTGTGGTCGTAAATGCATCACAATTTTGGTAAAACACCAACGTTTTCCATTTATTTCTGTATTGTCCCCATTAACCCCGTCAGAGCCATTTATATCCACCTTTTAGTTTAGGTTTATTTAGCTATTATTTATTTTACCCACATGGTGGTCTATTGCACAGGGTGTGGCATGTCACTGGAATTTAGGTAGAACTACAGGTGTGGTGATCAATTTGGCTGAACACCCACTCCACCGACAGCTCACTACAGCAATTTATTTGTCAGCATACCAGCAATGTAATGTAAGAAAAATAGGAAAGGTTTTCTATTTCTTCTGGCTTGATACAGTGGTTTATTCCAATGTAAAATGGTAGAAAGGTTGGTCTCCATGTAAATTGATTTGGCCCTTACAGCCAAACTGGTCTGATACCCTTTTGTTCAACTATGTACATGATAATTGAGTTACCCTGAAGGTGTCAGGGTAACTCAATTATCACACCTCACCTGGTGCCAAAGCTTTGATGCCCTCAGCCAGTGTAGACGTGTGGATTGTTTGTTGTTTTGTTGAATGAAAAAAAATCGCACCTCTACAATGGCTGGGTTCATCAAAGCTGCACAGATTTGGGAGGGGGTGAGAAGTGACACAATGAGGTGTCAATGGGGGGTAGGTCCTGAAAAGTGTGGAGAGTTGCATTTGTGTGAAGAGAAGAATGGCAAAAAATACATACCTTTGGCTGTGTGCCAGATGTCAAATTCGTGCTGGATATTAGGATATTGTTCCCTCATTATCTTCCGTATTGATGAGGAGCGGTCCGTGATCATCACCTCCACCTCAAGGCCCAAGTCCAGAAGCTCTGTCATTCCCCTTCTAAAACCCAGTGGCTCCATGGCTCCAGAGCTAGTGGCCTCTGTAGACTAAAGATTCAAGTTAGATTAGTTTGATGTTATCAAAGTTTTAATGGCAGCAGTAATTTTCCATTATTGTGATTCTGCATGCATTTATATGTATCTTACCTGCACCAGCTCTGTGTAGAGTATCTCCTTTGTATCGTCTAGCATAAACGTGTAGTGACAGTATTTCGCATTGAAACCTGGCGAGTCACATCTGCCATCCCCCGCCAAGTGTGGCCGCTTCCCATCCTCCTGTTCCAAATAAACTCTTGCCAAGACTTCAGTTCTCCTCTCCTCATACAAGTTCTCAATAGCAGGGTGCAAGTACGCCTTCTGGATGGCTTAAAATGTAGTTTGTGCAATCATTTGGACACCCATGGTTTTGCACCAGTCTGACAGTTCTGTGTATGTTCCACCCTTGAACAAAACAGCTGCGGCAGAAAGGAGATTCACCTCCGGCATTCCTCTAACATCAGGTGAAGATGTCCAAGTCCCCGAATGGCCCCCAAGACAAGTCCATTTCACCTTCCTCTGTGCCCCAGTATCAAAAATGTGCTTTGAAGAAATTGGTTTCCCGCACATCTGACAGAATTTGAATAGTGACATGAGGCTAGATTCATTGACAATTAACTTCTTTTCACTCCAGTCTTTTCCACCTTCCTCTTCTGATGATGACGATGTTGTGGGGGTGATGGTTAACTCAAGCTGGTAGCTTTTGTCAGTTACACCAACTTCAATGCTGCTGGCACTCGTATTGAGGTCTCCAGGTGTACTTGGGCATGGTAACTGTAAAATCAAAAAGAGGTTTATTTTCAGTGTTAAATTCCACTAATTTCAATCATACATTAGTTTTAGAATTCCATTAGAGACAATATGCTGTACAAACTTACAAACTGTGCTGCTTGGACAGGGGTAGGTGTCTTGATTGGTGTTGAGGTTAGAAAACGTTGTTCATCATCTTCCGACGACGACGACACCAAAGCAGCAGCAGACACTGTTTCAGTCTGAAATGCCATACGTTCAGTAACGTTAAAAACATTTGCACAACATCAAACTATCAAACGTGAAACAAGGTGGATTTACATTGATACCCAAATTTTAGTGACACCGACACATTAGAACCAAAAGCGAGAAACACATGCGGAAGACGGCAGATTTACTTTGTAAACAGCCAACTTATATACAAGTCATATTTGATGTCCTGCTTTACTGCAGACAACTGTATGTGTGTTTTCAGAAATAGAGTCGAACGAGTCTCTTACCTCCAAGCGAATGCGTTTAGCGCTGCTAGGTGCAGATGTTCCAGGCTGTTTAGCGTCATCTGGAAAGGTAAACACCGACGGAATTGCGGTATCCAAAAGAGCGATTTTCTTCATTCCCAAGACATTGAGTTCGAAGTCTTCGTTTTTGAAACAGAGACTGCAAATCCTCAGGCTTTTTAAGTTTTCCATGGGTGTGTGTTCTGAATACTTCAGGTGGTTTATCACCCTTAGCCACTGTTTGCATCGCTCTATATCTCTCGGTAGGTGATGGAAATTTACTTCTTTCCCATTCCATGTTCCGACTGAACATCCCGGTACGATACAATAATTCACCATTTCGAAAGAAATACAAACGAGGAGTAATTCACTGACGAGTTCGCCAACTAACTCTTCACTAGAAATTTGGTGTGAAATGAATGTCAAGCTCCGGTGGTAACTAGCCCATAGAGCTTGCTTTGTAGACGGAAGAGTGACTTCTCTGATAGGCGGATACCTCATAGGTGTTCTGGATTAGTGGGAGTGGCTTGCGGAGCTGTGCATTGTGGGAGTTGTTGTCTTCCATACAAATGCACTCTAAACTCACTTTCTCTCTTTTCTCGGTCAAATAGGCACCAAATTCGAAATTTATGTTACATTTCGACAACATATATAACCCACTTTCAATAAAGATAAATGTTTCCACGGGTGAAATGCTCCTTTAAACCTGTTTGCCCTTTTCACCCACTCAAACTCATCAGTCAGCTTCCATCCATGGATTTACTCTACCAAGCCTCTATGTGGAGTCCTTCCCCCTCACTTCAGCTGAAAACTCCAGCCAGCCACCATCTCACCCAGTGTTTACAACAATTGTCTTCACCTTAACTGCTTGTCCAGTGTCTGCAGTTAAAAACATGAGTTTTCACATCTCTCTCTATCTGAGAGGAGACAAACACACTCAACTGAAATACTGAAGGAGAATTAAAGGAGGCGAGTTAAGGGAAGCACTCAGTCCCTCTCCTTTCTCTGGAGCCTTTACACATTTATTCTCTCTCTCTCTCTCTCTCTCTCTCTGCAGCAAATATGAACCAATCAGCAGCAAGCAGAGGTGCATCATGTGACCTCTGTCACCGTTATTCACAAAAACCGGAGCAGTGATACGGTGATGACACTGCAATGAAACACACAGAGTAGTTTTGTGCTTTCTTGTCTCACAGGTTCTCATAGATCCTGGTGGTTCCTGCTGACATGGTCCTGCCTGACCCCAACTACCAATATTACTGATATTATTATTATCACTATTCAGCATTCCCCATAGTTGAGGCTATTATTGTTGCATTAAAGATGTGTTTAATAACACACCTGTCACATCTATTAGAAAAAAATACTTTGAATCAGGGAGGAAAGTCATACTTTACAACATCCACCATGTTTCCATATTTTCTGTTGAAAATACAAATCAGACAGTAATTCAATCAATTCAGTCATAACTACAGCTAAAGTCATAACTAGCTACAGTCATAACCACAGCTACAGTAGTAACTACAGCTACAGTCATAACTAGCTACAGTCATAACCACAGCTACAGTAGTAACTACAGCTACAGTCATAACTAGCTACAGTAACAACCACAGCTACAGTCATAACCACAGCTACAGTAGTAACTACAGCTATAGTCATAACTAGCTACAGTCATAACTAGCTACAGTAACAACCACAGCTACAGTAGTAACTACAGCTAGTCATAACTAGCTACAGTAACAACCACAGCTACAGTAGTAACTACAGCTATAGTCATAACTAGCTACAGTCATGACTAGCTACAGTAACAACCATAGCTACAGTCATAACTAGCTACAGTCATAACCACAGCTACAGTAGTAACTACAGCTACAGTCATAACTAGCTACAGTCATACACACAGCTAGTCATAACCACAGCTACAGTCATTACTACAGCTACAGTCACAACCACAGCTACAGTCATAACCACAGCTACAGTCATAGCTGCAGCTACAGTCATAACCACAGCTAAAGTAATAACTAGCTACAATAATAACTACAGGTCCAATCGTAAGTACAGCTTACTGTGTTTGACTTATCATGGCACAATACAAGACAATAGTAAATGTAGAATACAATAAAATACATTAGAATACTATAAAAGAGAACAGAATACAGTAGAAGACAATAAAAGACGGTAGGATGGATCTGTTGAAGTAAAGAGAGGAAAGAAGAGGAGACTGACACTCAGGTGACTTGTGTTGTTTATGTTGATGGTTTGATTTCTATACAAAAACAGTTGGCACAGTTCAGTTCACCTGACTGCTTTTACATTCAGCCTTCAGACAAAAAAACACAAGGTCCCATGACCTTCCTCATGGCTCCTCTCATTTTGTGATCAAACTTTAAATGTATCATTCGAGTGCAGCTGTTAAACTACATTTCCCACAATGCATCCAGCGTAACAGCCATCTTAAAGCTGTGTATTAAGGTAACAATGATGACCAGTCAATAACTACCCCCATGTGATAAATCAATAAATAGATAAATAAACGCCTTCCTGCAGCACTAACACATTAAGCTTTCTTCAACTATGCAACTAAACAAAATAAGGCTGGAGATCGTATGTAAGGTTGCCACGGCAACTCCTCTACATCCATGATGGTACAATCAGGAGATACTGTTGGTTTGGATTGACAGCATGCAGTTAAAGTGAGCTAGTGTCCACGTTTCAGTCTCTCTTCAGCAGGTGGTCAAAGGTCACGATCAATCTGACTGTTGGTCAGACGTCTGACTGCTCGTGAGTCGCCATGGTAACAGCGTTAAAGCTGCAGGTGCAGCTGCTTTACATTCAGACCTCAGCGGGTCGACAGCTGCTGGCGAGTCTCATTAACAAATACTGTAGTCTCCTCTCTCTTTTCTTTTTTCATCTCTTAACGATCCAGTTCATCAATCCTGTTTCCTCCATCATTCTCTTTCTCCTCCTCTTTCTCCTGCCTCTCCTTAATTCTCTGTCTCTCCTCCTCCTCCTCCCTTTCCCTCTCTGCCTTTTCTTTCTCCATCTTCTCTCTCTCCTTCTCTTTTTCTTTCACTCTCTCCCTCTCTCCTCCCTGGTTCTTCAGGTCCTGAAACACCTCGGTGAAGAAGTGTGGGTCGGCATTGATTCGCAGCATATCCGTGCTCAGCCGGTCGATCAGCTCCAGCGCTCTCTCCCAGAATGCATCACGGCTGGACTCCACCAGGAAAGGTTTGAGGGGATACGAGATCTCATTGCCCAGGTAGGAGTAGCCCAGGTAGAGACAGGTGAGGAAGGTGGCGTGGAGCTCCTGCTCTGAAGACATGTCCTCATCCACAGCCTCCCTGCACAGCAGGTACACGAAGACCAGACTGGCAGGACTGATGAAGCACTGGTCCTGCAGGCGGAGAGGAAGAGTATTACTACAGAGAGAACGGCTACTGCTAACAAAGAGTACTGTAAAGCACTGTTTTACATTTGTATTGTATTCAACCTTAATATCAGGATTCATCTGGAGATCACACACACAACCACTGACCTGCCAGCCCTGAACCAGCAGTGCTCTGTCTACATTTCGGAACCACAGGACGATCTGATTGGACGACAGCTCCTTCAGTTTGACACAACGTCGACACAGAAAGTCAGAGAGACAGCGAAGGAGCTCACCTGTAGAGGCCTTGAGAGGAGACAGAGAGAGAGAGAGAGCAGTGAACAACTGAAGGAGAACTCATTGGTTTGGGATTCTCTATGAACGATACAGAATGTTTACGACTATTCCAACGTTCGCTTCCTTTCTTTGATTTCTGACTTTGTTCTGTGTAATGTGAGTGTTTGTGTCTACAGTTGGACATATGAACAGACACACTGGGGTCAACATGGACTTGTATACAGAAAACTTGATTCTGGCCACAGGATCGTTGCTCATACATACAAATATATACTGTATATATAAAACCTTGCTAAAAAATCCACCCAAGCAACAAGATGTACATAAATAAGAGTGTTCAGTATACTATGGATCTGAGGAAGACTGCCTTCAAGAACACTGACACAAGAGAATTGTGTAAAAGTGTGTAAAAGTGTGTAAAAACGGATTTTAAAAGCAACAATATTAAAACCTGATGAGACCTAACTGGATGACTGAGGACTGTCACCCACTTGGAAAGCATTAGTGGCAGATAATGAGGCTACTGTACAAACATGGTGGTTCAACATGGCGGACTGTGCCAGAAGAGGACCCACAAATGTCTCATTGTAAGGAAACAAACACACAACAATGCTTATATTCAGCTGATTGAACACAAATAAAAACAAACCTATAGATATCATATTAATATTCATTTATATTAGTCACATCTTCAGTCAGCTAATGATTGGAAGTGTCTCATTTAACTGACATGTTGTGAATGTCTGAGGAGAAAATGTATTTTATGTCTAAACAATAATAAAGAATAATATTTGTGAAAGGTTCTCCAAGGTCTTGTTCATGGTGGGAACTGTTGGGTCTGTGTAAATAATGTTAAACGAGTTTGATATTAATGTCTGACAGTATTTTATTAATGATTAATAAAATGTATAATACAGTTAGATATTAATAATGTCCTGTACTAACTTTTATTTGTATTAATGATTCATAAGATGTATAGCACAGTTAGATATTAATAATCTCTGACAGTATTTTATTAATGAATAATAAAATGTATAATACAGTTAAATATGAATAATGTCCTGTATTATTATTAGCTCATATTGTATCCCATGTGCCTCACACGCACTGACCTGCACCACCACCCTCCGTGGGGAGATGATCAGGTCCGGCCTATCCTGGTTCTGGTTTTGGTTCTGGGTGTGTTCCGGTACGGTGGGTACGGGTACCGGGATGGGTCCGTGTCTATGTCCAGTCTTCAGCGCTCTGTGGCGGCTGTCGGTGGCCGCCTGCTCCCGCTGCACGTGCCCGGGCTCGGACACCGCGGGCTTCACCTTCTTCCCGCCCTTCCTCTTAGCTCGCGCGGCCACGAGACGTTTCTTCCAGCTGAGCGCGTGCAGCAGCACCGGGTGCCGCTTCTTCTTCTTCTTCGTCTTCTTCTCGTCCTTCTCCTCTTCCTCCTCGCGGGGCTCCAGCGGCTTCTGCACTGCGAGCTCCGCGAGCTTCTCCGGCCCACGAGCCGCAGCTTTCCGCGAGCCCGGAGAAAGAGATAGCACCGTTCCCATGACGACAACCGGACCGACCGGCGCGAGGCTTTCTGCAGCAGCGGAGGAGCTGTCTGTCTCTCTGTCTGTCTGTCTGTCTGTCTGTCTGTCTCTCTGTTCAAATGTTCAAATTTAAAAATCTATCAGGACAAAACAGAAATCTGTCTGCAGCTCCATCACTGCTCCACCTGTCTGTCTCCACCTGTCTGTCTCCACCTGTCTCTCTCTCTCTCTCTCTCTCTCTCTCTCTCTCTGACGCAGCCCGGAGCCCTGAATCAGAGGGGGCGGGGCTCCTGCAGAGACTGTCCGCAGTGCTGAAATAATAATAATCATTCTTATTCTAATCATTATTATTATTGTCATTATTATTATTGTCATTATAACTATAATTCTTATTATAATCATTATTATTATCATTATCAAGAATTATCATTATTACTATTCTTAATTTTCTTCTTATTATTGTTGAAGGAGCCAAATATTAAAAAGGAAAGTAATAGATAGATAGATAGATAGATAGATAGATAGATAGATAGATAGATAGATAGATAGATACTTTATTTATCCCGAGGGAAATTCAAGTATCCAGTAGCATACAAAATACAAAACATACATTAAACATACATTAGACTAAAATTAAAATCCCTAACCTTAAGAATAGAATTAAAAATAAAATAGAAGATAAAATATAAAGTATTATATATATAGATATATATATATAATATATAAAATTAACAGTAGCTACAATAAACGGTGCAAACAGTTAACAGTGCAAATGGAAGTAAAACAGTGTAAATGGAAATTGCCCACTGTGTTCAACCGCAGCACTGCGCCCCCTGTGCTCCCTGTGGTCAACCACAGCACTTCGCCCCCTGTGCCCACTGTGGTCAACTGCACCACTGTGCCCCCTGTGCCCACTATGGTCAACTGCACCACTGTGCCCCCTGTGCCCACTGTGGTCAACTGCACCACTGTGCCCCCTGTGCCCACTATGGTCAACTGCACCACTGTGCCCCCTGTGCCCCCTGTGGTCAAAAGCAGCACTGTGCCCACTGTGGTCAACCACAGCACTTCGCCCCCTGTGCCCACTATGGTCAACTGCACCACTGTGCCCCCTGTGCCCCCTGTGGTCAACTGCAGCACTGTGCCCACTGTGGTCACTGATCAACAGGAAATGCAAACTTTGGATGAACCTACAGTAACTCAAACTTTGTGATTGTTAAAGATATATGGCTTAATGGACTTAATGGAAGCTATAAATGTTGTTAATATTCTTATTTTCATTATTATTGTCATTATTATTATTATTATTATTATTATTATTATTATTATCAGAAGCACTGTCACCCTTACAACAGAATCAATGAAGCAAAGTTCTGCTGCCTACACTACCCACAATGCATTACTTCCTCTGACAGTTGTCTGGCCTGTGTCTGTGAAACACTGTCTGACTCTGGATCAGGTCTTATACACAATGAAATCAAATAGTTTTAGAGTCCAACATACAAGAGAAAGAGGTTCTACATGGAAACAGTGAGGGCCCGATGGGGAGGGTAGACACAATGACTGGTTAGGACCCCCACATGTTGCAGCAGGGTTAGGCTTAGGCAGCTGCATACTGAAATTCAGTGTGAGGCTTTAGTTTGAAAACATTTGGTGGTGTGGGGACAAGGAGGCAAGATGATATGTTGCAATGTGGGGAAGTGAAGGATGGAGGGTTGCTTACAAAATGTGGAGCACAACGCTGCAGAACAGACCAAAGCTGGTGGAAATAAAGAGGATCTAGAGTTCCCCCAGGATAGAGTAAGATGTTCTATGTTAAATGAAATGGCTGCACCAATCTCCACTTTCTTTGGAGAAGACACAGGAAGGAGACAAGAACATGCACTGTCTGTTTCTGCCTGACGGATGGAGGGGGAGACAGCAGAGGAGTGCTGGGATGAGGTTAGACGGGTTTCTGGCTGTTACTGGGCCCAGACTGGTATGATGTTAGGGTTAGGGTCTACACTCAACTGACCCTACTACAAAATGTAAAAAGGCAAGAATGTAAAGAGGCAATAATGTAAAGAGATAATAGTATAACTAGATAATAATGTAAAGAGACAATAATGTAAAGAGATAATAGTATAACTAGGTAATAATGTAAAGAGACAATAATGTAAAGAGATAATAGTATAACTAGGTAATAATGTAAAGAGACAATAATGTAAAGAGATAATAGTATAACTAGATAATAATGTAAAGAGACAATAATGTAAAGAGATAATAGTATAACTAGATAATAATGTAAAGAGACAATAATGTAAAGAGATAATAGTATAACTAGGTAATAATGTAAAGAGATAATAGTATAACTAGATAATAATGTAAAGAGACAATAATATAACTAGATAATAATGTAAAGAGATAATGATGGCTCACATACTTTTGGGTTGGAGGACGTTTTATTGCTGAGGTTAGAATGCTGTATGTTGGGGTACCATGTCTCTGGGTTAGGGCTTAGCAACCTCCTCCAGAGGGAGCTGTTTACCAACGAATATTGCAGTACTTTAATCAGAGTACTGCAATACTTTCACCACTGAGTATCTTTACTGTTTTGTTACTGAGAACACATTAAATTAAAAATATGTATAAATATATTCATAATAATATGAATACTATTACTACAATACTCATACTTACAACATATTTACATGTGTTAAATAATCATAACAATAATAATATTACGAAAACAACAACAACATTTTCATCTCCTGAAAAAAATGTGATTATTGCATCTTCTGCCTGGCAGCACAGCGTCTGAAAGAGTCCCAGCGAGAAGTGGTCATGATTCACATCTGAACATAAATATGTCATAATCAACTACTGCATTCAAAAGATATCGGCCCAAAAAATGTAGGGATGAAGAAAAAGAATAACAAGCAAAATAAAGACTGAAGATAACAATGTGTGATTGGTTTGTGTTTGCTTTCATCTAAATATAACAACTACCAATTATGGTGAAGATTAGATAAAATATGTGTAAAAAGGCACAAAAGTTGTTTTAATTCAAATATCCCAAATAGCGGAATGTCTTTAAGGTGCAAATGGGCGTGGCCTTTATCAATTACATTGGCAAAAACCTTAAAAATGCTTAATAGCTGACCACATTGTGGCACTACTCAAAACATGCTTTAATATGTTACACATATCTACGTGGAGCACCTGTGTACCAGGTTTATGTGACTCATATTGACTATATCTCAATAACTGTAACAGATATCACAAACAAAATGAATCCCTGGAATGACATTAATAGGCTTCATATGTTAATGATGTTTATAACGGTCCATAAAACGAACTGAGGAAGAAAAAAGATAAAAAGCAAAATAAAGACTGAAGATAACAATGCAAGAAGCAATCACACAATAATAATCATAATAATAACGTTCAAACTAATAAATACAGACGTGTTTTACAGCAGCTGATCCAGAGTCAGATTAAACACCTCTGTCTGTGCGTGTGCGTGTGTGTGTGTCGGTGGGCGGAGTCTGTGGCAGCAGAAGGCTCATTGTCTGAGAAGTCAGAGGGAGAGCGAGGGAGGAGGGAGGGTCGAGCGAGCTAGACAAAGACTGCAGCTGTGAGAGAGTGAGAGAGAGAGAGAGAGACAAAGAGGAGGGAGGCCGACTCTCTCTTTCTTTCTTCATGTGGGGGAGGAGTGGGGGAGGATTAACCGGCTGATCTGCGACACGCGCTCGCTCACACACACACACACACACACACATTTAATATAAACACACAACGACGCAGCATCAGACCTTCATCTGGATCATCATCATCATCAGCATCAGCATCAGCAGCAGCGAGGACGAGAGACAAAGAGACACACAGACAGACAGACAGAGAGAGACGAGAGGTGGAGGGAGGCGATCTTCACCATCTGACAGCAGACAGACAGGAGAGAGACATACAGGAGAGAGAGACATACAGGAGAGAGACAGACAGGCCTTCAGTAGCTCCAGCGCCTGTCTGTCTGCGTTCAGTGATGGCCGACCACATGTTCCTGTGTGTCTGCTGAGTGTGTGTGTGTGTGTGTGTATTAGTAGGTGGGTGTGTTCATTGTGTTGTGTGTGTGATCAGTGTGTGAGTGTGTGTGCAGTGTGTGTGTGTGTGATGGGGAACGCAGAGAGCATGGAGAGCCAGCTGGCCGTGATACGGTCCAGAGCCGCCCCGGTTCGACTCCCGATGCCCGACCCGGCTGAGCTGGAAGAGAGGTTCTCTATCGCACTGGTAAACACACACACACACACACACACACACACACACACACACACACAGAGAGATAGCCTATTAGCATGCTAACATTAGCAGCTGAGGCTGATGGGAATGTCTGTAGTTCTGCAGTATTTGACACATGTTGATGGTGGCGCTAGGGTCTTAAACCATGACAGTTGTAACATGGCGCTCTAAGTCCGACCTGATGGTAACGCCGGTTGCACCATGTCAGCTTGAACCTAGTCAGTAGGGATGGGACCTGATAACATTTTATTGATACCAATACCATTGTCAATTCTGCTTATCGGCCTAATTCTCTGTTGATTGCTTTATTGATTGCTGATCAATTGTCTGTGTGGAAGAAAGTTGGCAACTGTTATTCTGAGAGTGTTAACGCAGTCAGAGCAATAAGAAGAAGAATAAAATATACTTTATTAATCCCCAATGGGGAAACTGTTCACTCTATGTTTTAGACACATATAGAGGCCCAAAACACAATCATATGCACACAGGACTTACAGACATGCAAATGTGGAGAGATGGATTGATGGGCTGCCGCGTAGTGATGCTATGGGAGCAGTTAGAGGTTAGGTGCCTTGCTCAAGCGCACCTCAGCAGTGCACAGGAGGTGGAACTGGCACCTCTCCAGCTACTAGTCCACACTCCATACTGTGGTCCGTGCTGGACTTGAACCCGCGACCCCCTGGTAGACTGAGCGACTTCCACACAAACTAAAGTATTTTGATTCATGAAATTAAGCTTTGGACTGTTTCTTCTTCGTCTGTTTCCAGCAGCGTACACGCACAAACCAGAGTTGGTTAAAGTAAACTTATTCTTTACTGTAATAGATACACAGATTCTCTCTGTAAATAATGTAACAACATTTATAAGTCGTCTCCACAGACTGAATGTGAATGTGAAGGTTCTCCAAAGTTCTCATGTCAACAGTTGGTTTCTGCCTTTTAACAGGCAGTTTTTCCTTGCCCTTGTCTCCAAGGTCTTGCTCATGGTGGTACTGTTGGGTCTCTGTAATTAATGTTATAAAGAGTTCAGTCTAGACCTGCTCTATTTGAAAAGTGTCCTGAGATAACTTTTGTTATGAATTGGCGCTATACAAATAAAATTTAATTGAACAGAATTGAATTCTCCAGACTCCAGTTAAAGTAGAAGTACTGATTCTTGAGAAGTACTGGCTCTGGGATGTACTAAACTATAAAATGAACAACACTAACTTCAGACGATATTAACTGGTCTTGCTGTTGGAAAGGCATGCAACAAAATTTATAAAATGAATGTAACGAGTCTCTTCGATACCTAAAATAACTGAATCGTATATATTGATAACCTTCAGTATTGCATTGATAAAGGGATTGATCACCTCAATTCTGATGGATTGCACGATTTGGAACTGGTTTTCAATTCCCATCCCTACTGGTCAGGAGCTGACCAAGATCAAGACAGAGCAGCCACTAGTGGACAAACAAGACACAATGTATGGAGTATCATGTACAGTGTATAAAGTTTATAAAGTCTGTCTTCACTCAGAAACTCACAAAAATGGAGTTTGGTGATATTGTGTTTACATCGTGAGATCAGTTGTGTGTGAACAATCATTGATCGATCCGTTATTTATCTGTTATTACATCGGACTGATTGGCAATTGCTGTACAGCTCATTTACAGCAACGTTCTAAAGGATCAAAGGAAAGAAAAAAGACAACAAATCAGCACAACAGCATGAGACTGTTAGCACTGTATCCTAGCAACACACACTGCTAGCCAATAGCCATAGTGACGTAGGCATTAACATGGAAGTAGATCAGGTGTAGTTCAAATCTGGATTAGGTTTGGTCATAAAGTCTTCGTAAAGACCAGTTGGTGCAACCTGGAACAGGTCTCTCTGAGGTTGATGTGTGAACCTGGAGAGACATCCTTATATCATCACAGAGACTAGTTGGTCTGGTCTGTGTTGGACCTGTTGGGCGCTCAGAGTCTGTTTGAAGATACGGATACCTCTGAGACCACCACAAGTTAAAGAACCAGTCCATCTGGTTCTATCTCGTCAAGGCCTCAGCAAACAGGTTGAGAAGGGAGAGTGAAGATAAATCCACTTTTTAATCCCAAAAGTTGAAAGATTAAATAGTGTAATCATCTCCAGAGCGGAATCCGGTGTGACTATGAGTGTATATTCCTCCAGGAGCTCTGGTTCTCTTCTGCAGAGCTCCCCGGGCTCAAGCAGCTGTCTGTAGGCCAGCAAAAAGAACTTAGACTCACCAGGAGTTGGCTGTATGCAGTAAGATGTAACGGTATGATGTGGGCAGATATCAGAAGTACTGGCTTATTTCAGGCTCTGACTGTGGCAGTGCTGAGGGGGTTAACAGGTCTACATAGGTCAGTGGTTCTCAACCTTTTTTGGGGCCAGTGTCCCCCCTATGCATTATCCAGGTCTCTCACCGGCCCCATGAAAAAAATGAAGACTAATTGTTTTCACTTAATATTCTGTTTATTCTTATTATTCTTATTTGTTAAATCATAAAAAAGCTGACAAAGTTGACTGGCCAGACAGGCGGACAGTAGACTGGGCCTCAACATCACTTTGGATGCTTACAAGATGCACCTGGATAGCAGAGCTGCATCACCAGGATGGGAACATCAAGATCCAGGAGGTCCTTAAACCTTAAACCAGCAATAAAGCTGGAAACACATATTAATTCAAACAGTTCAAATAAAAACAGAGGTTTGAAGGAGTTTGTCTACAGGCTGTGGCATCTGATTGTGAGTCACAATCTCCTGATCAATCAAATTGAATGATTTGAGCTTTAAAATCCAATCAGACATCATTTAATTATGTTTCAGCAGCAAAGCCCAAAAAATACAGAATAAAACAAAAATATATGAAGTTTGAAGGAGCTACCGGCATTGCAGCCGTCACCATGGAAATTTAAACATGAAGTCTGGTCTGAAGTATTCTGGATTGGTTCTGGTTCATATATTGATCCAACACAACAAAAAACTGACTTTGGGGACACGGATAGTAGTGATTAATTACTGGTGATCGATCAGTTATCAATCAGGTGTACAGGGTCAGTGGTGATTGATTAATGGTGATCAATCAGTTCTCAATCAGCTGTATGGGTTAGTGGCGATTGATTAATGGTGATCGATCAATTCTCAATCAGGTGTACAGGTTATTCTGTTTGTGTTCCAGAACTCGATGAATCTTCCTCCTGACAAGGTGCGTCTGCTGCGTTCCTATGACAACGAGAAGAAGTGGGAGCTGATCTGTGATCAGGTGGGTGGCGTGAATCTTCCTACTTGAAGTTGTACTGCATTTGTAAGAGGTGAGGGACTTGAATCACATGACTTGACTCGAGTCAGACATTTGAAGACTTGTCTGACTAGACTTGACTTTGACTCGAGACAGATGACTTGAAAGGACTTGATATTACTGTCACTACAAAACCCAAAGAAAGTTATGTAAATGTCTTATTAGCTCATTTATTGTCTGATCAAACAGTACAAAGCTAACGTTTAAGTTACGTTCGATTATAATTATATTATTACTGTAACTTTGTTTCTTTATAAGAGAATTAACTACAGTGTAGTGGTAGTAAGTCACCATAATGAATCCCGTGTGAAACTCTCGCGATATCACCGTCTGCATTGTTGTTAATTTTGGAGGTCTGTTATTGATCGCTACAAAATGTATGTAATGTGGTTTCTAAGGGGTAAACAGGCTGCAACAGCTTTCATCTTAAAAATAAAACAGACTATGGATGAACAATAATTATCGATTATCCAATAATAGGACATTTATATTGTTTGATTCTGATAATTAAACTATAGCCCATAAATTATGGTCTTTTAGTTTGAGAATATGATTTATTGATTTCATGCTAATCCTCTAGATTAGGGTTAGGGTTAGCAAATCTGAGTGCAGTTTGGAGGGAAAGCATTAAAAATCTGAATGTGAAATCAATAAGTTGTGTTCTCCAACTAAAAGACCACGCTCTGTTTGTTTTGTTGTGTAAACAACAGTGATGTCAATGAGATTTGGTTATGACAGAGTTATGGAATCTTAATTATTTATCTTTACTTGCCACATCTCCTAACAGGTTGTGAACTTATTTTTATAATTAATACAGAAACGTGAAATGATCAATGAACTTATTGGTAACAGCTATGAGAAAAATGTAATTATTGGTTATTGTATCAGCTGAAAAAATATCTCTATCATGCATTTAACAAATTTTAATGTGGGGACTGGAAGATCCCCAGAATTACGTACGACTTGCTGGACTTGTAGCAGTGACTCGACTTAACTTCCTCCCAACTCTTGTGCTACAGTACAACTGCAGGAACCTTCTAATTGTGTTTAAATTTGGTTAGAAATCAAACTCACCTGTCTGTAGGATGAATGGATTTGTTTGGATGACGTGCACACAGGTGTTGTTGGTGGGCGGAGTTTCATGATGTGTGTGTGTGTGTGTGTGTGTGTGTGATGCAGGAGAGGTTTCAGGTGAAGAACCCTCCACACACCTACATCCAGAAACTGAGAGGCTTTCTCGACCCCGCCGTAACGCGCAAGGTCAGTTTGTTTCCAATGGCATGATGTCACACTTTAATAATGACATCACAGGGGGGTCAGCCTCAGCTATGATGTCACACTTTAATGTGATGTCATAGTATTTTTGTATTTGAACAGTTGTTTTTAAACAAACCTGTCGGTCTGTCTGTCTTTCGGCAGAAGTTCAGAAGAAGAGTTCAGGAGTCAACTCAGATGCTCAGAGAGCTCGAGATTTCACTTCGCACAAACCACATCGGGTCTGTCTAACCACCTGTCTGTCTGACCACCTGTTATTGTTATTATTATTAATAAATGATTATAAATCGGACCACTGATGTCCTTTGTTCACATGAAGAAATCTTGTTTGTGATGACATAAAGATTAATTAACATTCCTACCTGTCTGTCTATCTGACCCGTCTGTCTTTCACCTGTCTGTCTATCTGACCTGTCTCTCTCTATATAGGTGGGTCAGAGAATTTCTGAATGAGGAGAATCGAGGTCTGGATGTCCTGGTCGAGTATTTGTCCTTCGCTCAATACGCTGTAACGTAAGTCTGAACAATACTTCCTCCTCACTGTGTACAGTATATATATATATATATATATATATATGTATGTCTGTATGTGTATATACATGTTCATACATGTTCATACATGTTTTACATATGTATAACAGTACATTATATTTCATTATATTCTCTATAAATTATAAATCATTATATATGTTATGAACCTTTTAAGCTGTTGTTTGTGTGTTCAGATTTGATGGCGAGCAGTCAGAGACCGGAGGCGAGGTCTCGTCCATAGACTCTCCGTGGAGTCGGTCCATAGAGGATCTCCATGGCGACTGTAGCCTCCCATCCCCATCATCCTCCGTACCCCGCGCAGCTCGCCACTCCATCAGGTAACAAATGTAAAAATAAAAGGATCCACTCACCAGATAAAGTCCACTCTGACCCTCCGAGGATGTCTCTCTGTGTCCGTAGTTCCACTCTAGTGACTCGATCCAACACTCTACCGAGTCGTCGAACTCTGAAGAACTCACGGCTCGTCTGTAAGAAAGACGACGTTCACGTTTGTGTCATGTGTCTGAGAGCCATCATGAATTACCAGGTAATGTTTCATTATTTAAATGTATTCAAATGCAGAAACAACCGTCATACTAACAGTTCATATATTGTTGTACAATTAATCTATTAATTATCAAAGATTCCATCAGTCAGACTGTGAATCATCTTATTTCTTTATAATCAGTGTGAGTGAGTCAGTGAGTGTGAGTGAGTCAGAGAGTCAATGTGAGTGAGTCAGTTTGTGTGAGTCAGTGAGTCAGTTTGTGTGAGTGAGTCAGTGAGTCAGTGTGAGTGAGTCAGTTTGTGTGAAGTCAGTGTGTGTGAGTCAGTGACTCTCAGCTTCCCTACAGTGCCAAGAGTGTGCAACACTAGCTAACGTTAGCTTATAAATGGAGTCCGCTAATGGCTACAAATGAACGACACCCAGCACATTAGCTTCCCCAGCTAACGTGATCCATGATACTAACATATGTATTCTAACAAATGGTGACAATAACAATAAAAAAACCAACAATAAATAATGTAGCGGTACAAAAGCTAATATTAGTTTTCTACTAGCCAAGAGCTATGCGAGGCAGGGGCATCCAGCTAGCTAACTGCAGCTGCTCACTCGCGCTTACGGACAGTGTACAGACGTGACGCTGACTGCAGTTCACTGAACAGCCACTGGTGGTGCCGTTAACTACAGTTTAATGAATATTGCATATAGACACTTTAGGTTTTGCTACCAACTGTTTAGGTTCTCATGTTAGAGATTAAGGAACCCATTGATGAAACGTGGTTCTTCAGTGTGAGCCCGGACATTTGTGACTGATCTTCATCTGTCCACCTCTTCCTTAGTATGGCTTCAACATGGTGATGTCTCACCCTCACGCTGTCAATGAAATTGCCCTCAGCCTCAACAACAGGAACCCCAGGTACTACTGTCTGTCTGTCTGTCTCTGTCTGTCTGTCTGTCTCTGACTGTCTGTCTCTGACTGTCTGTCCGACTGTCTGACTAATTGTCTGTCTCTGTCTGACTGACTAACTCTGTCTGTCCAACTGCCTGTCTGTCTGTCTGACAGTCCGTCTCTACTGGCTACATACAGCTGACTGTCTCTCTGACTGTCTGTCTGTCTGTCTGTCTCTCTGACTGTCTGTGTCTCAGGACGAAGGCTCTGGTGTTGGAGTTGTTGGCGGCAGTCTGTTTGGTCAGAGGAGGACATGAAATCATCCTGTCAGCCTTCGACAACTTCAAAACTGTAAACAACAATATACATTAACAATTACGTGTTGATTGATGTGTTCATTGATCTATTGATAGATCTATTGATTGATCTACTGATTGATGTATTGATTGATGTGTTGCAGGTGTGTTCAGAGTCGATGCGTTTCGAGAAGTTGATGGAACATTTTAAGAACGAAGATGACAACATCGACTTTCTGGTACTCTGAACTTCATCAGATCTTTGTTTACGTTATTTTCCCGCTATTTTTCTATTTACAATGTTTATTTGGACTGACTCAGTAGAACTTCCTGTTTTATCTGAATTTAACATATTGACGATCATTTCATGTTGATCAAAACTGAATTATGGGACATCTTCAGCAGTTTAATACGTGGTCATTAACTGAGCGTGTGTCTGTTGTCACCACGGTAACGGTTGTCAGGTGGCCTGTATGCAGTTCATTAACATTGTGGTTCATTCGGTGGAGGACATGAACTTCAGAGTCCACCTGCAGTACGACTTCACCAAACTGAACCTGGACGAACACCTGGAGGTAACATCTGACCAATCTCAGCCAATCACAGGAGAGCAAACACCTGTGCCTGTCTCAATGTCAACCTGTCTCTCTACCTGTCTCACCACAGAGGCTTAAGCACACAGAGAGCGACAGGCTGCAGGTGCAGATTCAGGCGTACCTGGACAACGTCTTTGATGTTGGGACGCTGCTGGAGGACGCAGAGACCAAAACTGCTGCTCTGGAACGAGTCGAAGAGCTGGAGGAGAGCCTGGGCACGGTGAGACAGAGAGTTAGACAGATAGAGATAGACCGGTAGAACAACACAGACAGACAGACAGCTGTCGTACTGACCTGTCTCTCGGTGTACAGATGTCGGAGCGTCTGCTGGACGTGGAGAACGAAGCGATGCTGAAGATCGTCGAACTGGAGAAACAACTGATGCAAACCAACAAGGATCTGGACCATGTCAGGGTCAGTGCTGTTACTATAGCAACCATGCAAACATTCAGTCACCATGGAGACAGAACATGTTGTGTATGATGATGAAAGAGATGTTTAATGAAACAGTCTAACGTTTTAGTAAAGATGGATACATTTCATTTTCTACATTAGTAAAACACACCTGTTACCTGTGCAGTAACATGTTGTACTGTCTCTTTAACACCTGTTACCTGTGCAGTAACATGTTGTACTGTCTCTTTAACACCTGTTACCTGTGCAGGAGGTGTATGCGAGTGCGAACTCTCAGGTGCACACCTTGCGGCGGATGGTTCGGGAGAAGGACCAGACAATCCGGCGTCAGAGTCGTCTGGAGCGTCAGGCTCAGGAGGCCCAGCAGGCCGGAGGACCCGGAGCTCCACAACCACAGAGAGGAGAGGGGGATGGGGGGGTGGCTGACTCCGCCTCCCCCTCCCCTCCCCCCTGTCCTAACTTGTCCCCCAGGTGAGAGACACCACTGTAGACTACCTGCTGAGAGGAGTCACAGTTACTAGCTGGAGAACACAATGGAGCAGATCTTTTTATTGCCCTGCTGCCCCCAAATGGCCAAAAAAAAAAAAAAAAAATTAAAAAAGTACTTTTACTAAAACATAACAAACCTTTAAGCTGTCACATCAGAAACGTGTGAATCATTTTTGTTTGGGGGTTTTTCAGGTGAACAACCTACAGATGAGTTTATAAATGAAAACTATAATGGAGCCCTGAGATTCACCAGCAGTAATTATTAACAGTGGTGTTAGTCTGTGTCTGTCTGCTGAACACTGTTAATATTAATATATGGTTAATATTATCAACAATATGTCAGGAGGTAGCTAGGAGGAGAACAGAAACCATTAAGTGATTGCTCACCTGATTGATTCCCTCAGTCCTGAGACTGTAGCTTATCACAGCATGGGACCAGGGATGGGCGGAGCTCCAGGAATGCAAGCCCCGCCACCTCCCCCGCCCCCACCACCAATGCCAGGCACAGGTGAGTTTCAGCTCCACCAATCAGAAGGCTGCTTTAGATACTGAATGATACAGTGCATACTGCAGTAGTAGAAATACTCCAAAAAACATCAGTGAACTTCTCCAACTAAACAGTTCTTTCTTCTTCTCTTTGTCTTTAAAGTGTCTAATGGGTCGTACCCTGTACCTCCTCCCCCTGCTCCTCCTCCTCCACCTCCTCCCCCTCCTCCCCCCTGTCGGACCAGTGAGCTGTCCTCCTCTGTACCCATGCCTCCCCCTCCTCCTCCTGTGGCCCCCCCTCTCCCGGGCTCCGGGGGGTCGCCTACGGTCATCTTTAACTCGGGACTCGCAGGTGAGACTGAACAAGAGTTCAAATGATGCGGCATGAGATGCCTCTAAATCATGGTTCCAGACTAACTTTTTGCATTGGTTGCACTGGTGCGCCTAACTTTTTTTTTTTAGGTGCACCAGCACAAAATTTAGGTGCACCCAAATCTTTCATTGCGTCGCCTTTAACGCCATAAGGTCACCTTTTTATCGCTCTCCATGACTTTCATATAATGTGAATGATTTTTAAACAAGAATAAGGTGTAGAGAAATGTTTGTCTTTATTTGAAGCACAATTATATATAAAAAGAAAAGTGTTTAAAGTGCTTCACTGAGCTGAAATTGAAAATTTCAAACTAAAACACTAAGCAAAATAAAACATTTCCAAATAAAAGTGCTTGTGCTTAAATTGCTTCAACTGAAATTGAACATTTCAAACTCAAACATTTTAAGTAAAATAAAACATTTCAAAATAAAAAGGGCTACTTTTTAAAGAGCTTACTACTACCTGCCGCTGAAATGCAGCTGGGAGAGGGGCCACTTTCTCTACACACTTGTCACAGTATATTGTGTTTTTTTTTAGACATGTTATGTTTTTTTAAAGTTTCGATACGAAACTTGTTTACCCGCTCACGAATGCACTATTTCCGGCCATATTCTGACCGCACTCCTGACAGTACACGCAGTGCATTGCGGTACCTTTGTACCTCAGCCAGGGAAATTGTTTCAGTCAGTCCTGTCTGAAGGAATATATTTTGGCCTTTTTAATTTGGGTCACGGAGCCGGGCTCTATCCCAGACTCGGTTGTCTCCTCTTCTGGTTCTGAGTCTGATGCTGTCACCGAAGGACCAGGGCTTGGTCTCTCACCAGGGACCAAGGGCTCCATGTCTTGTGTACATGTGCAACCCAATTGGTCGCACTCCGGAGCCCTGCTCTAAATACTAAATACATAAACTGTTTTTCTATCAAGGTCACTAATATCTGAAAAACTCTCCATGTTGATGTGTTAAAGGAAGCTCCGACGTTTGATATCTGAGTCCAAGCAGTTGAACAGCAACATTGTTTATAAAACAGTCTTATGCAGTAATTTAGAACAAACGTGTGGATATACTGTCTGGTTACTAAAATTTCATCTACACCTTTCAGCCAATCAGAAGCCAGAATTCTCAGTTGTTACGGTAAATGTGAATGTGTTGAGTCTATGCTACTAACATGTTGGTTTTTTCTCTCTTGTTTTGCTGACAGAGGGTCCTCTCAAGTTATTTTGTACGTTTCCTTATGGTCTTCAACATCCATCACACATCTTCCTGCTTCCTCCATCTTTATTTCATCCAACTTTATTTCATCCCCCATCTTTATTTCAACCTTCATCTTCAATATTCCATCCTCCATCATCTTAAATGGTAAATGGCTACATTGATATTTCATCCGAGGCTTTTTTTACAAAGTCTTTGCTGCTCATTCACTGACACGTTGATGGCAGCAAGCTACTGATCTGACCATCGGAAGCAGTTTGAGGTTGACTGTCTTGCCCAAGAAGAACCGCCAACCCTTTAATCAGTGAACTACCCACAGCCGCCCATTTCTGTGGTTTGTCCTCCATTGTCCTCTATCCCTTCATCATCCCGCTATCATCCCTTTATCACCTGGAAATTGGAAATTTCCAGGTGATAGTACAGCCAGCTATTGGCTGGTTTGTGTTTTATTAATGTCACATGTTTGAGGTCAATGATCGACCTCTTTAATGTGTGTTCAGACTGATGTGAGGAACATTTGAGAAACAGTATATAAAGTTAATACAGAGACACAGGAAGTGTTTTTTGAGTCAAAGATTAAAAGATATCAAAACATTCAGAACTGCTAAAACCAGCTGTATCTGCTTCAGACTTATTTCACATCACTTTAAATTATATTAGTTATAATAGTCAACTAAACCATTACTCGATGAGAAGAGTCGAAATTGATAGGGGATAGACAGTTCCACAATAGGGAGCCCCACCAGGTCTCCAGATGGAGTAACGCCCCCCCTCACTCATATAAATGTGTCAAAATAAATCTTTAAGGCTATCTGTCTGTTATAGTTCAAGCTACCTACAGTGGACTTTGGTTGTGCTCAATAAACACACACTGCAGCCACTCAGTCTGAACACACCTATAGACTCTCACAGTAAATCTAACATGGACAACCTGTCACCCCGCTCACCTGTCGTTCTCTATGCTGTGCAGCGGTGAAGATAAAGAAGCCAATCCAGACCAAGTTCAGGATGCCAGTGTTGAACTGGGTCGCCTTGAAGCCGAGTCAGATCAATGGGACCGTCTTTAATGACATTGACGATGAGTCCATCCTGCAGGTAAAACACACAAGACTAATTTTACATGTTTTATTTGATCTTCTATTGACTTGATTCTATTATGTGAATAGGTCTTCTCTAATTGACGCCACTCACATTAACATTAACGTTGTCTTATTGCTGGAGGTTGAAGAGAAAGCCTGCAAGGCATCAATGTGGACTAAAAAGTTTACTTTCACCTTGTCTCCTCCTAAAAATATGTCTTTCTGTCACTGTCTGTCTCTCAGGACCTGGATGTGGAAGGGTTTGAGGAGCTGTTTAAGACAAAGGCTCAGGGTCCAGCGGTGGACCTGACTCTGTCCAGACAAAAACTTCCTCAGAAAGGCCCGTCCAAAGTTTCTCTGCTGGAGGCCAACAGAGCCAAAAACCTGGCCATCACTCTAAGGAAGGCCGGTCACGGGTCAGAGGTCATCTGTCGCGCAATCCACATGTAGGTCAAAGTTCAACAGGATCACCAGTAATGACATAAGTACAATAAGCTCTACCAGTAAGATCCATCGAATGGCAGTCCTGACTCCACCAGCTCCTGACTAGAAAAATGGGCAAAGAGAGCATTCGTGGAGCTGAGGTAGGCCAAATTAAGCCTGGTTACTGAACCAGTAAGCTCAACTTTAAACTTAAAAAAACTCACCCCTACATACAGAGGTTGCAAATTTGCATGAAAATAAAAAAAATAAAAAGAGAGACGACAGAGATAAGTACACAAACACAGGAAAGCAGATCTATGAAAAGGCCTATAGTGGATTAAAGCAGTCCAAGGATTCAGCTAATCTGAGTGATTGGGGAAGATGATTCCACAGTGCTGGGGCTGAAACAGCAAAGCTCTCCCTTAGTTCTTCTGATTTTAAAGATCTGTTTGAGATACTCCCCTGAACAGTCTGGTTTGTGTTTCTGCAGGTTTGACCTGCGGACGGTTCGGGTCGACTTTGTGGAGTGTCTGATGCGTTTCCTGCCAACGGAGGCAGAGGTGAAGCTTCTACGGCAATATGAGAGGGACAGAAAACCTCTGGAAGCTCTGAGTGATGAAGACCGCTTCATGATGCAATTCAGTCGCATCGAAAGACTCAATCAGCGAATGTCGATCATGACCTTCATGGGGAATTTCAGTGACAATGTCCAGATGTTAACTCCGGTAAGACAGACAGGTTCCAGACAGGAAGACAGTTATGGGCAACCTATAGTTCACCTGGTAGAGTTAGCGCCCCATGTACCCAGGCTGAGCCTTTGCTGCAGCAGCCATGGGTTCAACTCTGACCTGTGGCCCTTTGCTGCTCATCCTCCCCTCTCTCTCCCCTTTCCTGTCAATTTTCAGTTGTCCTCTGCAATATAGGCAAAAAACCCAAAGAAATATATATATATTCATGTGTATATTATATATATGGACAGACAGATGTGACTTTTCTCACTGTGTTGTGTTTTTCTCAGCAACTCCACGCTATGATTGCTGCTTCAGTTTCTATAAAATCATCTCAGAAGCTCAAGAAGATCCTTGAGGTCAGTCTGGGTCTACATATATATACATAAATATACACCAATCAGCTAAAACCTGGGGTCCTTGATGGTCATAATGTCATGCAGCCACAGACCAACAGACTGCTCTGCACTGTGTTCTGACCCCTTTCTATCAGAACCAGCATTAACTGTTTCAGCAGTTTGAGCTACAATAGCTCGTCTGTTGGATGGGACCACACAGGCCAGCCTTCACTCCCCACCTGCATCAATGAGCCTCAGCCCCCCTTGACCCTGTCTCTGGTTCTGTTGGACCACTTTTGTAGGTACTGACCTCTGCAGACCGGGAACACCCCACAAGAGCTGCAGGTTTGGAGATGTTCTGACCCAGTCGTCCATCACAGGACCTCACCTATTAGTGGTCACAATATTATGGCTAATTGGTGTATATTTATATACAGTATGCTTGGATAATCTCTTTTACATAATGTGACTATGAGTTTCAGAGAGTTGTTGTTGTTGTTGTTGTAGATCATCTTGGCTCTGGGGAACTATATGAACAGCAGTAAGAGGGGAGCTGTGTACGGGTTCAAACTGCAGAGTTTAGACCTGGTAAGATACACACACACACACACACACACACACAAACTCCGCTCAACAAGCCCATTCTTTTCAACGGACAATCACACCCACCTGTCACAGAATGAGGATTCAGTTACCGCCGCCCTAATCTGATGTGAGAAAGGGGGTTTCTGAAGCTGTCGATGGGTTCTGACAACCTATACTGACAGCTTCAGTTCTTATGAAGTATACAGATGACTGCTTTTACCTCTCAGCAGCTGGCCAAATAACAAACACACTAAGAGTTGCTTTATCTTTTAATTGGACTAAAGTGAGTTTAAAGAATGAGGAACTGATAATGAGGTTTGTGAGTTTGTGTTCAGCTGCTGGAGACGAAGTCAACCGACAGGAAACAGACATTGCTTCATTACATCGGCAACGTGGTGAGAGAGAAATATCCTTCAGTGGCTCTGTTTTACAATGAGCTTCACTACGTCGATAAAGCAGCTGCAGGTGAGTCTGTCAACCAATCAGAACACTGCAAACACATCAGACTCTGTGACCCTCACCTTTGTGTCCTTACCTGTGTGCAGTGAGTCTGGAGAATGTGCTGTGTGATGTGAAGGAGCTGCAACGCGGCATGGAGCTCACCTGGAGAGAGTTCAGTGTTCAACACAATGGCACACTCAAAGACTTCATCAGCAGGAACGAATCAAGACTCAGCAAGCTGCAGGAGGACGCACGCATCGCTGAGGTGAGACGCTGTTACAGTCGTCCAATCATAATGCAGAAGTATGAGCTGTTTCTAAATTAGAGACAATAATTAGAAATCCTGCTATTGATCATCTAATTCTTTCAACCTACACTGTAAAAACTAACGAGGTGATAAATTTTCACTCTAGGATGCGTTTGAAGATGTGGTGAAATTTTTCGGCGAGAGCTCCAAGACAATGCCGCCGTCGGTCTTCTTCCCTATCTTTGTTCGTTTCATTAAAGCGTACAGGGTGAGTAACGATGACACCCCCCATTGGGGGTGTGGTCTCTGAATCTGAAGCCACTCCCACAGGGTTGAATATTTACTGTGTGTGTGTTCAGCTGGCAGAGGAGGAAAATGAGCAGAGGAGGCGTCAAGAGCAAATGTTACTAGAGAAGCTGGAGCAGGAGGAGCAACAAGAGCAGGAGCAGGAGACCAAGGTAAGATGGTGACCTTTGGCGACCTATACCTGACTGATCTGTACAACCTAAAATACTTGACCACTCATTACATGGCAGACATGAGAAAGGACAGCTCACCTGTAATTTGTTTTTAACGGTCAAACTGTCCCCGTCCTCCCCTCCAGTCTCCATCCCACCGAGGGAAGCGGCAGCAGCAGGAGCTGATCACTGAGCTTAGACGACGACAAGGAAAAGACAGCCGCCATGTTTACGAAGGGAAGGACGGCGCCATAGAGGACATCATCACAGGTAAACACGTCATCACGGGTAAACACGTCATCACAGGCAAACACGTCATCACAGGTAAACACGCCACCACAGGTAAACACGTCATCACAGGTAAACACGTCACCACTTATATACACGTTGTCAAAGGTAAACAAGGTCTGTTATCTGATTGGCTGTTTTGTTGTGTCTCACCTGCAGCTTTGAAGACCGTCCCCTTCACGGCCCGATCGGCCAAACGCAGCTCTCGTTTCTTCTGTGACCCCGCCCACTCTGAGGAGCACTACTGAGAGAGAGAGAGAAAGAGAAAGAGAGAGGGAGAGAGAGAGAGAGACGATGACGTCACGCCCACTTCTAATCGATGGGACCAATTAGCACTTTGAACATTTCTGATCAATCGATGTGAACTGATGACATCATGTTTTTTATGTTATTTTATTGGTCCGTTTGTGCACAGACCGGATGCCCAGACACCAGCTGACCTTTGACCTCTGACCTTTAGCTGTTCCACTCTGGCCTGAAAATTCAAAAATGTGTCTATTTAAAGTATCTTAACTGAGCAGCAGCTGTCCTCATTTCTGATCCGACCACATCAACGTGCTGATCTGGTGTCAGTCTGGTTAGATAAGAAACACTCAGTAACTGTTGTTGAGCTTTTGATGATATCACATGGTCTTCCTCAGTACATGGAGATGTCCAGTTGTCATTGAATGGGTGTTCAGAGTTACAGTTCTAAGCACTTTAAGGGCTTCTTTTCCTTGTGGGCTCAAACATTTAAAGTTCATTCTTAGATGAAAAATATAATAATTTAAACGTCAACCAGGCCGTTTTAGTTCCTTGACCAGAATGAAACGGTGGAAGGAGAACTGGTACGAAAAGAAGATGTACTTTTTAAAAATACCACAAGCTCAACAAACCGTGGGCCGCTTTCGACCACTGGTGGCGCTCCTGATGAGCCGGTCCAACATGGATACACTTCATAATTTCATGAAACTCACGGCTGACTTGGATGAAGATTAATTCACTTGGTGAGGAAACTTTTTTTAAGTAAACCCCTAAAGGTTCTCTTCCTGTGTAAAAGGTGTGCAGGTTTCAAAGTGCCTGCTTCCAAACTCCTGGTTATGCGTCAGTAGGTCTGTGGTTCTGTGGTTGTTCTGGGTTCCTTTCGATCTGTCTCGAACTGGATCTTGTACAGGGATCTACTTCCTTTCACTACATTGTGTTCTATTGTGTTCTACTGTATTTCCTAGCCTTACCAGAGCTGGAGAGAGTCTTGCACCCTTCATGAAGTAAACAGTGTTAATGAGATCATCATTAAAAAAAATGGCTCTGGTTTGCTCTTGCTAGACCCAGTCCCCGTCCTGACCCCGACCCCTCAACCATCAGAGACATCAACCTCAGTCTCACTAACATTATCCAAGTTTGCTGATGACTCAGGTGTGTACTGCAGTTCAAGGTGTCGTAGTGAGGGGGCAGTGTAGCTCACAACAAAACATGGCCACCCATTTTGTTTCTATACAGCTGAGAGTGTGAGCTGATTAAACTGAAGATAAACTGAAGGCACTCGAGGACAACTTCTGTCCAGAACATGAAGGTGTGGACATGAGGGACATGGAAAGACCTAAAGAGACGTGGAGGACCGACCTGGAAAAATCTGGACAAAATGAACAAACAGAATGGAACTGTAGTGTTGTCCTTCATTGTTCTTGGTGTCCCTGTTGGCCTGTGGAGAGTCCGGTCCGAGCAGTCCTGTATCAGCACCCCTTCCACCCCCCCACCTCCAACCACCCCCACCCCCTTTATTTCAGATCATCTGAAGACAAAAAAATTAAAAAGAGCACAAAGTTTTCTACGTGTACAAATATTTTCTAGAGAACTGTAGCGTTGCTCGTACTCTGTGTGGTGTTTGTTGGTTGTTGGTGGTGATTCTGCACTTGGTGGTGTAAATAAACACACCCTGTCTCCCGACGCCGTCACTGTCGTCTCCTAATTGTTTTTTTGTGCAGCAGTGGCATACTGCGAGTTGAGCTGCTCTCATTCGCTGCTGCTCTAGGTTCCTAATCATCCATAGCAGGAAACTATGGCGGCTCACCTTGTCACACACAATCTCCTATTCCAACTTAAATATGTAAAATAGAAATAACGCAGTAACAGAATCTGGATCCATGTTTGATCAGCATTGCAATAGTTATAAAGTATATTATTAATAAGGTGTGATTTATGTACAATTAAATAGTAACACATCCCATAAAGTGATTTAATGAAATATCAGAATAAACAGTAATCAAGTACAGACCTACTTTATTCATTTGATATTTTAATATTGAACTACTTTGTTAGGACTAGTTATCTCTAAGTGATCATGGTGCAACCGCTGTTAGAGCGGGTTTAACTGCAGTAGTTATTGATCCTCTAGTGTCTATTGAACACCCTGACTCACACACAGATGGTTGATCTCAGACCTGGACCCTGAAACTGAACTAAAGCCGTCATTCTTCCAGCTGCTGATCTACCTGAGCAGTCTGTGATCACCTGACCTGTTTGACGATATCACAATCATACGCAAAATGTCCTTGTTTCTGATTGGCTGTTGGTTTTTTACTTTATTCATTTAAATTAAAATAAATATTGCGTAAACTCCACTTTATAGTTAACCATTTATTAACAATATTATTGATTTTGGTTTGATAATTATTGATTGCTAACACCTAACAGTTTCTGACAATGAGGACTAATCAATCAAACTTCCTGTTGGGGATCTGTGTTGTGATTGGCTGTTGGAGTCTCCTGAAGATTATCCAGAGAATGAGTTTGAAGGACGCCCTTTGACCCCAAGTCCAGTCACCTGTAGACACACACACAGACTATCAGCAGGTGTGTGACAGTGAACACAGGTGAGTGAATGAAGTGTAACTAGGTGAGTCTGACCCTGAAGGTGTGTCCGGCCAGCGGCTGCTGTCTCAGCTCTGATTGGTCGAGGCCCAAACTGGCTGAAGTCACATATAGGTCGGAGTAGTCCGGACCTCCAAAACAACATGAGGTGGTCTTCATCACAGGCAGAGAGACCGCCTGCAGCCGCACACCTGAGAGGATACAACAGGTGCTATGGTAACCAGTGGAACCAGTATAACTAACCAGTAACGGGGTCGAAGACCAGTCCTCCATTGTAACATCAGAACCAGTATAACTAACCAGTAACAGGGTCGATGTTGATGACCCGTCCTCCATTATAACACGCCACCCAGAGACGACCTTCAACATCAATTGTCATCCCGTCTGGAAGCCCCTCCCCCTCCTCCATACGATACACCACACGACGGTTACCTAGGCAACACAAATGATTAGTGAAGTATAAATACACAGAAATACACGCAGTACTGCAGTACAAGTACACAGTTACCAATGAGTCCTGTGTTTGAGTCGTAGTCGAAGGCGTCGACTGTCAAACACAAACTGTCAATGTAGAAAAATGTCTTCTGATCTGGAGACCAGTCCAACCCATTAGATATATCCACCTGAGAGTGAGACAGGTCAGAGAGAAAGACAGGTACAGACAGGCAGGTCAGAGACAGACAGGTGTGCTTACCTGGCTCAGGTGTTTGCTCACAGTGAGGTCAGAGGTCACAGAGAACAAAGATCCTTGTTGTCTCTGAACCTCGGCAGGTCTCACCTCTTTTCCCATTGTACCTGAGACAGCAAACACTGTTACCATGGCAACAACAGTTCAGACAGACAGGCAGACAGGTAGACAAACTCACCTGCCAGCAGGCGTCCAATAGGATCCACCTTCCCGTCGTTCAGTCGGTTGTTGGGTTTTTCCTTGTCGACCTCCACCAATGATGTCATTGTCTGAGTTGACCAATCAACAGCCACAATGCTGCGACCCACACCTGCAACGTAACCACCTAACCTGCGAGGAACTGCGAAGCCCACTGTGTCACCTGAGGACAAACAGAAAGGTGAGAGTGGGCAGGTGAGACTAACCGTTTCCTGCGCGCTGATTGGTTTACCTGTCTCCACAGATTGGATCTGATTGGTCGTTGGACTCCAGCGGTGGATTTTCTGCCCAGCGATATCGACAAACATCAACATCTGCTCTGACTCCTCCCACACGGGCCCTTCACCAATCAGAGCGCTCGACTTCACCACAGACTCCACCTTCACTGATGACATCATCACCACTGTCTGTCTGGACCAATCACTGAGTAGCAGTCACCTCACTCACTCTTGTTTTCATGGAAACAACAGGAAGTTAACATGTAGTACTGTCACACAGAATGTAGTACTGTCACACATTATACTACAGAATGTAGTACTGTCACACAGAATGTAGTACTGTTACACATTATACTACAGAATGTAGTACTTTCACTGTTATGCAGATGATACGCAGTTATATCTATCAATCAAACCCAATGAAATTAATCAATTATCTAAATTACAAACATGTCTTACGGACATAAAATCCTGGATGACCTGCAATTTTCTGATGTTAAACTCAAAACGAAATTCTTGTACTTGGCCCCAAAAACCTTAGAGACTCACTGTCTAAAGATATAGTTACTCTAGATGGCATTAACTTGGCCTCTAGCACCACTGTCAGGAATCTTGGAGTCATCTTTGATCAGGATTTGTCATTTAACTCCCACATAAAGCAGACCTCTAGGACCGCCTTCTTTCATTTACGTAATATTAGAAAAATTAGACACATACTATCACAGACAGATGCAGAAAAACTAATCCATGCATTTGTTACTTCAAGGCTGGATTACTGCAGCTCTTTATTATCAGGTTGCCCCAATAAGTCCATTAAAACGCTCCAATTAATTCAGAACGCTGCAGCACGAGTACTGACAGGAACTAGAAAAAGAGATCACATCTCTCCTGTACTAGCTACTCTGCATTGGCTCCCTATAAAATGTAGAATTGAATTTAAAATCCTCCTCCTCACCTATAAAGCTCTTCATGGTCAGGCCCCTTCATATCTTAAAGAGCTCATAGTACCCTATTACCCCACTAGAACACTACGTTCTCTGAATGCTGGGCTACTTGTGGTTCCTATAGTCTCTAAAAGTAGAACAGGAGCCAGAGCCTTCAGTTACCAAGCTCCTCTCTTGTGGAACCAGCTTCCAGTTGTGGTTCGGGAGGCAGACACCCTCACCACATTTAAGAGTAGGCTTAAGACATTCCTCTTTGATAAAGCTTATAGTTAGGGCTGGATCAGGTGAGTCCTGAACCATCCCTTAGTTATGCTGCTATAGGCCTAGACTATCGGGGGATTTCCCATGGTGCACTGAGCTCCTCCCTTCCTCTCTCTTTCTGCACTCATTCATGTTCCATTTATGCATGCTACTAACTTCACTTCTTCCCCGGAGTTCTTGTGCTTTCTCGTCTTGCAGGTTCTTGTCAATCCTGGTGGAGCCTCCTGCCATGGTCCTGCTAGATTGCCATTGCCAATACTGTTGTTGCTATGCACCTGTCTGTCCGTCTGTCTCTCGCTCTCTCTCTCTCTGCCTCTCTCTCTCTCACCCCAACTGGTCGAGACAGACGACCACCCACCTAGAGCCGGAGGATCTGTCCTAGGTTTCTGCCTTTTAACAGGCAGTTTTTCCTTGCCCTTGTCGCCAAGTGCTTGCTCATGGTGGTACTGTTGGGTCTCTGTAATTAATGTTAAAGAGTTCGGTCTAGACCTGCTCTATTTGAAAAGTGTCCTGAGATAACTTCTGTTATGAATTGGTGCTATACAAATAAAATTGAACTGAATTACTGTCACACAGAATGTAGTACTGTAACACATTATACTACACAATGTAGTGCTGTTACAAATTATACTACACAATGTAGTACTGTTACAAATTATACTACAGAATGTAGTACTGTTACACATTATACTACAGAATGTATTACTGTTACACATTATACTACAGAATGTATTACTGTTACAAATTATACTACAGAATGTAGTACTGTTACACATTATACTACAGAATGTAGTACTGTCACACAGAATGTAGTACTGTCACACAGAATGTACTACTGTTACACAGACTGTAGTACTGTTACACATTATCTATTACTGTTACACATTATACTACAGACTGTAGTACTGTTACACATTATCTATTACTGTTACACATTATACTACTGCATATTGTAGTAATAGTGATCATAACACATGTACAGAACATAGAGTATTGCATATTATACTACTGTCTTAGTACTATGGTACTATGTGATATAACATTGTATATAGAACATGCAGTACGGTGGTACATTTTATACTACAGAACATTATACTACCAAACATTACACTCAGTAGTACTGCATATACACAGTATGAATAATGGTTTTATATAACGTTACTTCACGATACTGCGATACTGCAGTCTTCTCTAAACGAGGTCAGTTAATGTTTAACCAAACTGCTGAGTCAAACAACTCTCTCGCCAGACTCCATTATAAATCCGTCACATTGTGTTGCTGCCTTGCTCATTAACATTTCACAGACCATTTGGAATCAAACTAAAGACTTCGCACGAAAGTTAATGCTTTGTTGCTACATTCGGCACAGTAACAAATCACACAACAGAACTTTATCTTCCCAACTTTTAGGAAGACACCAGTGATTCCGTGTCTGGTGTCTGGAGCGCGGATGAACGCTGAAAATATCTTCCGTAAATCTACAGGCGCTTAAACGCACTGATGCTTGAATGCAGTCTGGCTTACTTAAAGGGAGCATTTACTCCAACTAACTGTGCTTCAGATAAACAGTACAGCGAGGTTCACTTTATAGAATACAGATGTTAAACCTACCTGTAGTAACATGCAGCCTGTAGTACTCCAGTGGTACTGCTGTTGTAGTCCTGTTGTAGTACTTTCAACAGACCAACAAGTTTCTGGAGTTACTTTGCTCCAGCTGACGACATCAAAGCTCCGCCCCCCAAAACCGGCTGACTCCGACTAAACGCACTCTGGGTTTAAAGTGCTGACTCAACGAAATCAACTCTGATTAAGACTCGATATTAAACATTTATTAGGTTAACAGAGTTTAATGAAAATATTAGACTCACAATAAGCTACTAAACTTCTTTGACATGTATAGATTAGTACAGTGAAACTGAAAATTAGAGGAAAAATCAGCTATACGGAAGTTTTATTACACATATAAAAATATATATATATTTTGTTTGTATTTTATCACAGCTGATCATTATCACTATTGATTGTTTATGTTGGTGGATTTAAAAACCTGATCAGTACCTTTGGATCAATATGTTCTCCTGCCAGCAGATCAATGGTATCCTGTTGGAGTCAATTAGCATTAATGTGCATTTTACACAATAAAATAAACAAACCTTTCTTTTTCTTTTTTTATTCACACAGAAACACAGAAGAAAAAAACATGTTCAGCTGGATGATCAAACATCATATCATCATTTAATTAATAATATGATCAGATCTGTTACACATTAAAGCACATGAAGAATAGTACACGAAGATGGTAACGACCAATCAGAAAGCAAACTGAGGGTCATTATTTGGCAGCAGAGTCTCTCTGCTGTCTCTGGACATACACTCTAAATAAAGGGTCACTTTTTGGCAACGGAGGCTCTGGCTCGGTTCAACCTGTCAATCAACGAGCGATCGGAGGCGGAGCATCTGGAGAGGACTGCCGCCATCTCTGATTCGTTCTTGTGTTCGATGGCAACGTCTGCCGCCCCCTCCAGATCACTGACAAGAAGAGAAGAGTTACCTGCGTGGTCAGGTGTCACCTATCTGAAAAGATCACGGGTGCTCAGAGTCTTACCTGATGGCCAGGTGAGCTTTGACCTTCTGCTCAGGTGTTACCTTAGAAACGTACTTCTTGGCTTCGTACTTGTTGTTACACTTCATGCAAACTTCAACAAACGCCTGAACAAGAGACAGTGCCAAGAATCATGGGAAATATAGTTCTCTCTTTATTTGAAATGAAAATCTTTATTGAATATCAGGTAGATAGTGAAGGGGCGGGGCTTGTTCTTACCAGGTATCCAATTGGAGACTTCTTGCTCTTTGAGAACTTCTCTAACTCCTCCCACTCCTCTTTCTCTGCCAGAGACTTCAGTTTTAACCACCAATACCTGCACAGGTAGACAGGCAGAGAGAACACAGGTAGACAGGTGGAGGGACACTGAACAACAGGTACGTGCACAAACTTATGACTATTCACCAATGAGCTGCTACCTAAATATAAGCCAATCAGAGCAGAGAGAGCAGTGACATCACATACTGAATGTCTCACCTTTTGTCAGGAACTCTGAAGTCTCTGTAAAGTTGTTCTGCTTGTTTGTGGAGTCCTAAAGCCAGAAGGGCCTCCATCGTCGCCTGCACAAACAGGACACACAGGAAGTGACATCATCATGAGACAAGTAGCGATTATGTCCTGGAGGTTGTTTATAAATCGGGGTAATTTATTCTAATGAAGAACTGTCATTGAATAATTATATATATTAGTGCTGTCAGTTTAACGCGTTATTAACGGCCGCACACACTTGTTTAAGAGTAGTAGACGTTGCGTTTTGAGTGGATGGCGAGTGCGAGACGCCGAAATGGATGGATTCCTTGTTGTCTGAAAATGTCAACAGGCTTGGCTGTTTGAGTAACTGGCTCAAAGCAAAGAAGTAGTAGGCTTACCTTTTATTGGTAACCGTTACTGTTCATTCTTTCTGAAATAAGAGGCTGGGTTGAGCCTCTGGTGAATAAAGAGCAGTAGCCTGACTGCTATGTTCAAAGCAAACTTGAGAAAAGTATTAAGCCATGGTTTAACTGCACTATAGGCTGAGTCCTAGTTTACCTTACATGTGCACTTTGTAATTTTATTTTGTATCGCCCTGTTTTGATCCCTTAGAAAGGGCTGTTGAAGGGGCTGTTTGTGTGACAAAGTATTTGTTTCACCCTTTTATTGATGGACAGTGTTACATTGTGTGAGAGATTATTTGCTCCAAGTGAGAATGTTAGTGTGAAATTGAACACTACAATATATGCAAATGTTATTTTCAATAAAAACAACATTTGCACAAAGCAAGCCGATCCACTTTTCCATGTTGATTAAGCAGAGCATTCATATACACTCATATATAAACATAGAGCATTAAAATGAGAAAAAAATAATGGGACAAAAAGAAATCAAGGGACATTTAGAATAGATAAAAATGTGCGATTAATTGCAAGTTAACTATGACATTAATGCGATTAAATATTTAAATCGTTTGACAGCACTAAAATTATATAAAAAAAAAAAAAAAAAAAAAAAAAAAAAAAATATATATATATATATATATATATATATATATATATATATATATATATATATAGGCACAGGCACACAGTGGAGAGTCATCTGCGTTTGGATACAAATTAAAGTACCTGAAAAATAAACTACATCTAAAGTAATTTGATTAGAAAGTACAGAAACACAATGTTGTACAGTAACCTGATGTGACAAATGGTTTATCACAAAGAACCAGCTGCACAAGTTACTGAAAAGTAGTTACTTCTCTTATATTACTTTACCAGTTACTACATATATAAGTAACTACTTACTAGAAAAAGAAGTCAAATTTGATCCATCATTGTAATCATACAGTCTTTACCTACCTGTACAAACAGTACCAGTAGCCACACTCCTTTACCTACCTGTACAAACAGTCCCAGTTGCCACCCCCTTTACCTACCTGTAGAGATAGTCCCAGTAGCCCTGCCCCTTTCTCGTCGTCCAGTTTTCGTTGGAAACGAAGGAGGCGCATCTCATCCTCTGTGGCCTGAAGAAAAAATGTTTATATATTTAAATGTGATGGGAGTTACAGGTGTAACTGCAGGTGTAACTACAGTTCTCTGGGGTAACTGCAGGGGTTAGGGTTTTAAAAAAAATTAAAGCTCCACGCAACTCGGGGCGTGCTACATCCGCGTCACGTGCGGACCACAACATGATAATTTCACCTAAATCAGCTCAAAATCGCCACGCAGCTCTTACTTCCTGTTGTCAGTACGTGGCGCAATCACTATGTCTGAATATTGTCATGTAGACGTATTCAGGGCGGGACTGTTATCAAACACGTGAAGTTTCATTGAGATTGGACCATGTACACCGAAGTAGGAGATATGAATACCATCTGTTTGATGGCCAATCGGTGGATTTGAACCCTGGGCCGCTGCAGCAAGGACTCAGCCTCAGTACATGGGTCGTCAGCTCTACCCACTGAGCTAACCGGGCACCCAAAAATAGCACAACTTTTAATCAGCAACATACTTTGACTGTACGGACCAATTTTGAATCAGATCCGATGAATTCCCTAGGAGGAGTTCATTCAAATACAACGCGAAAAGTTCACCGAAAGTGAAAATAACCAACTTCCCGTGGGGTTTGGGGTATGGGTCCAAGAGGCTTTTTTGTACATCCCGGCACGTTACACGGGCCGACCGAGTTTCGTACATATCGGTGAAACGTGGCCCCGGGCTGCTTTTTTAAAATCCTGAAGGGGGCGCTACAAACACGATTTTTGGTATGTGAGCTACAGGCAACAGTCTACACGTGCCCTGTGAATTTCATATTCATAGCTATAATGGTCTACGCACAGTGATTTACCCTGCCACCAGAGCGCCACCTAGTGGCGGATTGTTGACAATTTTTTTAGCAAGCCTCAGGGAGGCATGGGCAAGCATCGTAGTTGTAGTTATTTTATTCACACTTGCCGTTGCAGAGATATAAACTTCTTCACTTTAAAGAGCGTCACCTAGTGGTGACGGCCTGAAGTTGTGCACAATGCCTAAAAAAGACATGAGTAACTATGGACCCAAGTTTGGTGTCAATCGGACATACCAATGTGGAGAAATGCTCCACTTCCTTTTTTGACGAAAAATCCACAGGAAGTGTTAATTTTATAACATACTTTTTTATAAGGACGGTCCCCAAATGCTACGTAAAATATTTTGTGCGAATCGCACAAAGCGCATAGGAGGAAAAAGTAGTTTATGGACATTTTGCGCTCTAGCCAAGAAAAGTTATAGGCGGAAGTGGGCGATTCAGCTCCATTCACCGAACGCGTGTATACAAGGTTTTTGAATGTGCGACAAACGATGCGGGAGTTATTAGCCTAAATGCACTTCTCGTGATAGTAGCGCCACCTAGTGGCAGACCCGAATGCGATGCATAGAATATAAAATTTTTCACCAGGCCTGACCACTTTGCCAATTAAAATTGAGTTTTCGTATATGTTCAGGGGGGCAAAAATGCAGTCAAAGGCGCTAAAAATAATACAATAATATTATCACATAGGCATGTTCAAGGCAGGACTCTTATCAGACAAGTGAAGTTTGGAGCTGATTGGACAATGTACACTCAAGTTCTAGTGAATTCGTGTTTTGTGGTGATGCATCAAAATTTCCCGCCACGCCACAGACATGCCCCCTCACCACAGTCAATACATATCATCAACAATGTGTTTTGCATTTTATAAGTAATTTTCAGCTGGATCTGATCATCCTGCTAGGAGTAGAACATGAAAGTATAAAACGTGATACTTCCTGTTGCCACTAGGTGGCGTCTCACTATTTCTGAATATTATCACATAGACGTGTTCAGGGCAGGACTCTTATCGAACATGTGAAGTTTCGTTGCAGTCGGATCATGTACGCAGAAGTTATGACGAATCCCTCTTTCATGGCGAAGGATCGAAATTGGAGGCCACGGGACGCCACGCCACATCCACAATGTTCAACGGAAAAAAGTGAATAGCACAACTTTTAATGGTGAATGTGTTTAGATGGCTGTGTGTAAGTGTGCAGTCGGTCCAATAAATTCCCTAGGAGGAGTTCGTTCAAATACAACGTGTGCAAATCGCCAAAAATTGCCACAAAATCCAAAATGGCCGACTTCCTGTTGGGTTTGAAGTATGACCTCCACCGGTCGCTGGCTCGGCCCCTAATAATAACAATTCCTTGCATTACAATAGGGCCTTGCACTGTTCAGTGCCCAGTCCCTAATAAATCTACGAAAGGGTCCTAAAACAGTGAGTTAGGGTTATTTTTATTTTCACATTACTGTATGTGATATAAATGTTATCATATGCATTACTGTGCGTGATATATACGTTATTATATGCATTACTGTACTGATGTATACGTTATTATACGCATTACTGTACTGATATAAACGTTATTATATCCATTATTGTACTGATATATAAATTATATCCATTACTGTACGTGATATATACGTTATCATATCCATTACTCAAATTACAGTAACGTGATATATACGTCATTATATACATTACTGTACGTGATATATACGTCATTATATACATTACTGTACGTGATATATACGTTATTATAAACATTACTGTACCTGCATAAACGTTATCATATCCATTACTGTACGTGATATATACGTCATTATATACATTACTGTACGTGATATATACGTCATTATATACATTACTGTACGTGATATATACGTCATTATAAACATTACTGTACGTGATACACACGTTATTATATCCATTACTGTACGTGATATATACATTGCTGTACTGATATAATTATATACATTGTACATGATACAAACGTTATTATATACATTACTGTACGTGATATAAACATATCGATTACTGTACCAGATATACAAGTTATTATATACATTACTGTATTGATATATACGTTATTATATACAGTATTGTATATTTGATCGTTTAAAATCAAACAATAATGGTTCAAAGTGTTTTACCTTTGCAGAAAACTCATTCTTGGCCTTGTTGTATTCATCTACAGCACTCTGCAGGAGAGAGAGACGGCTGTCTAACCTCTGAGAGACAGATAAAGAGACAGTCAATAAGAGAGAAAGACAAGTCGTCTTTATTGTCAGACCACAAACACACCAGCTGAGTCTGACTGGAACCAGACTGAGACCCCCCTTTCAGGTGGTCTTGGTCTCTCACCTTCTCTCTGTAACTGGCAGTAACGTAGTAGTTGGCGAGCTCCTGGTGATCGTCATCCTGGTTATAAAGATCCTTCAGAGTTTCTTGTTCCTGTAGTTTACAGAACTGACACACAGATTATCAGAGCACAGATTAACAAAGATTAACAAAACAGATATTAACAGAGCACAGATTAACAAAGATTAACAAAACAGAGATTAACAGAGCACAGATTAACCAGATTATCAGAGCACAGATTAACAAAGATTAACAAAACAGATATTAACAGAGCACAGATTAACAGGGCTCAGACTTCAGATTAACAGAGCACAGATTAACAGAACTCAGAGTTTAGATTAACAGAACACAGATTAACAGAACACAGATTAACAGAGCTCAGAGTTTAGATTAACAGAGCACAGATTAACAGAACACAGATTAACAGAACTCAGAGTTTAGATTAACAGAGCACAGATTAACAGAGCTCAGAGTTTAGATTAACAGAGCACAGATTAACAGAGCACAGACACAATCCAGACCTGAACAAGGAGAGCTTGCGTTATGAGTTCACGTGTATCATCTCCCATTCGACTGGGCTTTATTCTGCTCTTACTTTATTCAGTGTGCCACAAGGTCAATTTAACCACTTTTTCAAAAAACATTTTCATATAAGAATCTAATTTCTTATCATTTCTGGAGAAAATAATAATAAATAAAAACCATTGTTGTGCTTTGTTATACCTCAGGTTAGGGGTATCTCCAACACTAAAGCACTTTCAGAGTCTTTCCTTCAGACAGGATCTATTCAAGTTACTGAACATCTAATTTGCCTCCTTTCTTCTTCTTCTTGTCATCATTCTTCACTTTTATTGATTTTTTCCTGGTTGAATTCATGTAGCACTTTATAAAGTGCTACAGAAAACATCATCAATAAATCAGAAGGTTTTCACGGTCACAACGCCGTAACCTGTTCTAGGCAATGCTCTAAATTCCACCAGAAGCACCGTATTCTCATCGTAGAATACGCGGCACAGACAAGCAGCACAGAGAAGATCACGCTGACAGGAAGTCAGACACAGAAACAAGAAAATACGCTAATTTTCACGCTTGTTTTCACGCTACATTAACATTGTGGCACCAGACAGGAAGTCAATCAGTTAGAGACAGGTGAGACGAGATTTTAAGCAGAGAAAAAAAACATTTTGATTCATTTTTGAGGACAAAACACACAAATAAATTACGTTGGGCAGGCAACATACTCTGAAACGCTCTTGTGGGAATTTGAAGAACAGAATTTCGGGCTAATGATGCTAGACTGAGGAGAAGGCTAATGATGCTAATAATACTAATGACGCTAATGATGCTAATGATGAAAAGTACCTGTCTGTAGAGACTGAGTGCGACCGGTTGGTTCCTTAGCGTCATGAAGAAGTCTCCTCGGTTCATCTCATTCTTCAGGTAAGTCACCACCGTGTAAACTGAAAACACAGGAAACCATCAGTGTGACATTATCCACCTAATAGACAGGTGGTGGGCGGGGCTAAAAGACTCACCCAGGTCAGTGTCGCCACTCTCCACAGCTTTACTGAGAGCCAACTGACTCCTCTTCATCTTTAGCAGCAGAGGAACCTGTTCTCCAGACCGAGCCTCGAAGTCCAACAACTGACACAGAAAATGAATAAGGTACAAAATAAACACATTCACAACAACAACAACAGACACAGAAACCCACATATAAACACAAATAATGTATGTAAAGTAAATTTCTGCCAACTCAAATATAAACACAAATAATGTATGTAAAGTAAGTATCTGCTGACTCATATATAAACACAATGTATATACAGTAAATATCTGCTGACTCATATATAAACATATAATGTATATAAAGTAAAATCTGCTGACTCAAAAAAACATATAATGTATATACAGTAAATATCTGCTGACTCATATAAACACATAATGTATATAGAGTAAATATCTGCTGAATCATATAAACACATAATGTATATAGAGTAAATATCTGCTGACTCATATATAATGTATATACACAGTATAATGATTGGGTTTATGATGTCAACATTACGTTACCTTAATGGCGAGCTCAGTTCGTCCACATTCATAAGCTTTAGCTGCAATGTGTGAATAAGAAACCCCAGGTGAGTCTCCCACCTTCACACACACAGCCCGGGCTATCGCCTCGTCTGATAGGTCCTTCTGCTGCACCTGGACACGCCCACAACCACAACCACATCAAACATGTGAGATCTACAGGTAAATCTGACTAAAAAACACAGGCATGTGAGGTGGGAGGAGTCAGGTGAGACAGGAGCAGTGGGAGGAGTCATATGATCCTGGCATGTAAGAGGAGTCAGGTGAGACAGGTTACCTTACAGGAAGCCCAGTGTTTGAGGACTCGGCTGACTCCCTGATAATCTGGAATCTTCAGGTAGCGGCAGATTTCTATCGCTAACGGATAAAACTGTCGATACACCAACCTGAGAGACAGACAGGTACAGAGAGACAGACAGGTGAGAGAGACAGAGACAGACACAGACAGGTACAGAGAGACAGACAGGTACAGAGAGACAGAGACAGACAGGTAGAGAGAGACTGACTCACCTGTCGATCAGTACCTGTAGAGTCATCTGTTTGAATCTGAGGTCAGAAGTCAAGGAGCTCATTGCCACGGTAACAGACTGACATGAGACTGGTCCAATTGGTTGTTAGTAGTCAGTGCTCATTAACCACCAAACACTACAGATTAAAGACCCCCGTACACTACAGTTCCCATGATGCACCAGTGTGTGAGGATACTGAGTGTATGTGAGTGGCAGGCCCACGTCGCTCTCTCTGACTGCGTTCAGAACTCGCAGTTCTCTGCAGGTCGACACGAAAGGATCCGGACTAAAGTCGGTCAGAAAACATTTCCCGAAGGACGCCGCCTGGTGGACAGAATACAGCATTACACCGCAGAACACAGAGAACCCTGAGAACCCTGAGAACACTGAGAACAATGCGAACAATGAGAACAGAGAGAACACTGATGGAACAATAAGAACCCTGAGAACCCTGATGGAACCCAGAGAACAGTGAGAATCCAGATAACCCAGAGAACAATGGGAACAATGGGAACCTTGAGAACCCTGCGAACCCTGATGGAACAAACGTCTCACCCTCAGCAGGGATTTCTGGGTGTTGGTGTCATATTCATGTCCTGCTGCCTCCACACACTGTCGGACTGCTTCTCCCAGCATGCTTTGCTCCTTGATCTCCCTCAGGTACTCATCTGCCTTCTGACTGGACTTCTACACAAACAGAGAACAGTTGTTTATATTTAGGGACCGAGCCAGTGGCCGCTGGAGGTCCCTATTGTTTTTGCTCGATTTCTTACCTATTATTATTATTAGGGACCGAGCCAGTGACCGCTGGAGGTCCCTATTGTATTTGCTATGTTTCTTCTTCCCTATTATTATAATTTTTAGCACTTTTGATTGCGTTTTTGCCCCCCTGAACATATACAAAATCTTGTATACAAAAAAGTGGTCAGGCCTGGTGAAAAATGTGATATTCTATGCGTCGCTTTCGGGTCAGCCACTAGGTGGCGCTACTATCATAAAAAGTGCGTTTAGGTTAATAACTTCTGCATTATTTGTCGCACATTAAAAAAACGTATATCCACGCGTTCGCTGAATCTCCCCATAAAGGCCACGCCCACTTTCGCCTATAATTTTTTTTCGTTAGAGCACGAAATGTCCTTAAACTACTTTTTCGTGTTCCTCCTACACACTTTGTCCGATTCGCAGGAAATGTTTCACCTAGCACCTGGGGACCGCCCTGGCAAAAAAAGTAATTTGAACATTTTTGAAATTTCAAACAATAAGCACGCTATAAATTTAGCACTTCCTGTTGATTTTTCGTCAAAAAAGGAAGTGGATCATTTCTCCACATTGGTATGTCCGATTGACACCAAGCTTGGGTCCATTGTTCCTCATGTCTTCCTTGGGCACCGTGCACAATTTCAGGCCATCACCACAAGATGGCGCTCTTTAAAATGAAGAAGTTTATATCTCTGCAACAGCACGTTTGATTTGAATGAAACTTGGTAGGATGCTTGCCCATGGCTCCCTGAGGCTCACCTAAAAAGGAAAAAAAAAAAAAAAAATCACACCACTGGGTGGCACTCTGGTGGCAGGATAAATCACTGTGCGGAGACATAATAGTTATGAATATGAAATTCACAGGGCACGTGTACAGTGGTGCCTGAAGCTCACATACCAAAAATAGTGTTTGTCGTGTTTGTAGCGCCCCCTACAGGATAAAAAAACAGCAGCCCCGGCGCCACATTTCACCGATATGTACGAAACTCGGTAGGAACGTGTAACATGCTGTGACGTACAAAAAAGCCGCTTGGACCTATACCCGAAACCCCACAGGAAGTCGGTCATTTTGATTTTGATTTTCGGCGAATTTTTCTTGTGTATTTGAACAAACTCCTCCTAGGGAATTTATCGGATCTGCTTCAAAATTGGTCAGTACAGTCAAAAAATGGTGCTGATTAAAAGTTGTGCTATTTGTGCATGTACATTAAAGGGCGTGTCCGTGGCATGCCCTCAAAGTAGGCCAGGTTGAATCAAATGTCAAACTGTGATGCCATTTCCGGCATTTTGCAATGATTTTCAGCATATAACCGCTATAACTTGAGTGACATTGTCCAATCGGCTCCACACTTCAAATGCTTGATAACAGTCCCGCCCTGAACACGTGTACATGACAATATTCAGACATAGTGATAGCGCCACCTACTAGCAACAGGAAGTAAGCGCTGCGTGGTCCGCATGTGCCGCAGCACGCCCAGAGTTGCGTGGAGCGCGAGGTCCTGCCCAATGCTGCTTGCAGCTTTAATCATTATAATTATTATATCCAACCTGCAGAGAGTCAGACAGGTTATCAGACAGACACTACCTCATACTCCCTGTGGGCCTCCAGCAGCAGAGCGCCAGGAGCCATGGAGGCGATCTTGAAGATGTCCTGACAGACCAGAGGAACCTCCTGAAGCAGCTCCTGATTGGTTGAGCTGATGATCCGAACACCGTCCAGCTCTCCCACCAGAACGCACTGATCCTCCATGGGGAACCTGAGGTCAAAGGTCAAGGGCCAAACTGGAACGACTCAACAGGTCTCATTAAACAATGGAACAGGCTTCAGGAGAACCAAAATAAGCCCCAGATGAACCAAAATGAGCTTCAGGAGAACCCTAATGAGCTTCAGAAGAACCACAATGAGCCTCAGATGAACCACAATGAGCTTCAGGAGAATCCTACTGAGCTTCAGAAGAACCAAAATGAGCCTCAGATGAACCCTATTGAGCTTCAGGAGAACACTAATGAGCTTCAGGAGAACACTAATGAGCTTGAGGGGAACCCTTATGAGTTTCAGGAGAACCCGGACTAACTCTTTGTGGATCCAGTCTTAACTGGTTTAAAGTAAGGCTGTTGTGGCCAAACGATCTCAAAACTAATAAAATCGAGGGGAAACGATTTTTCTTTCATTTTCTGTTGTGCAACGTTGTATAGAAAAAAGCTGTGTCCCAATTCAGGCCCCTGAATTGGGACACAGCCACAGTCTGCGTATTTCGCGAATGCGTATTTCCGTCTCTCCCCCACGCAGTTGTTTTCGTTGGAACAGGTAACGCGGCCAGCTACACTAAAAGGAGACTTACAAATGTTTATGGGGAAAGGAAAGTGTAACTGAGGACTTCCTTGCAAAGTGTTTTTGACAAATGTCCAATAAATGCAGCATGTTTCTGAAGTTTAAAAAAATAATCGTTTGAATAATCGTGATTTCAATTTTGACCCAAATAATCGTGATTATGATTTTTTCCATAATCGAGCAGCCCTATTTTAAAGGATACTGGATGGTGTCGTTACAGACTCCAGCCACCATGAGCAGTCTGTCCCACATCAACACCACAGACGGCTGCTGACTCTTCGGTCTGCGACACCTGGACAGGTAGAAAGGGTCAGACAGGTTAATGGACAGACAGGGAGACAGACAGGGTGACAGACTAGGAGACAGACAGGGAGACAGACAGGTGTACGTACCAGACCATTTGTTTGGGAGGTGTCGACTTTTTGGTGTCGACTTCACTCAGTTTGTCCTGCAGACACAGAATCAGCTGTCAATCAATCACACAGCCCCCGCCCCCTCAGGTTAGATCAAGCAGCTGATTGGACAGAGGAGCAGCTCACCTGGAGATGGGAGGAGCCTGTCCAAACATGTCCAGTGTCAGTGAAGAGAGCCAGGTATTTATAGCTGAAAGACACAGACATGTGGACGATACTGCCAGCCTGTGGACCGAAACCTGGAGGACACTGAGGACAGACAGGTAAAGAGACAGACAGGCGAGATTACCCGTCTGTTTCTCTATCTGTCTATCTCTTATAACTAAAAGACAGACATGTGAACGATACTGCCTTTCTCTCGGTCTCACCACAGCAGTACAAGATGTATTGTCCAGGATGTAGAGTTCAGGTCCGGTGGACAAGAGGACTTTAGTCTGTCTGTCCTGAGTGAGGACGACCCAGCAGGACGGCCTGCCCCGCAGACCTGAAGACAGGCAGACAGGTCAGAGAGAGAGAGACAGAAAGATTTCATCAAATTAGATCGAGTAAAAGCAGAAGTGAGCCAGGTTACCTGGGACTTCAGGTAACCTCCGGAGTTTCAGGTCGTCGATGTTTGTTGCCAAGGTGAAGCGGGAAGAGCCTGTTACTATGGCGACGCCTGTTCCATACGGAGAGTGGAACACCTTGGCTTCCAACACCTGACTCTGGACCACTTCCTGTCAGATCAACAACAAGCAACGCTGACTGCCCCGTACTACAGTGGTTAGTTAACTAGTTAACAGACTTACCTGCCCCTTACTACAGTGATTAGTTAGCAAGTTAACAGACTAACCTGACCCATACTGAAGTGTCTCTTGAAGGATCCGAACACATCATAGATCAGAACCGATCCGTCCTCCTGAATACACAACAGCTCATCACTGACCGTCCAACCCAACTGGACCACAGGGCCACTCTTCCACTGGCAGACAGACAGGTGGAGGCAGAGAGACAACTCATTACAAACTGTTCAGAACTATTACTATTATTATTATCATCACAGTAACACAGTTTATGTTTATTGATCCCGGGAGAACTAATTATTCAGCAGAGAATAATGGACATTATATTATATTAGAGTATTATTATTAATACTCCAATATATATTAATAATAATAATAATAATAATAATAATAAATTCTACCCAAAGTGAACACTGACCGGGAAGCTGGTGATGGAGACTCCAGACGCAGAATAAATCTCCAACTGTGGACGAGAACTGGGAGAACGTCTGTGTGGTTCTCTGAGGAGAGCTGACCGACAGACAGACAGACAGACAGACCGACAGACAGATCAGGAGCTGATTCATCCCCATATAAAATGTATTTTAATGTTCCCGTTTTAATAATGAGGATGAAAGACTGTGTGTGTGTGTGTGTGTGTGTGTGTGTGTGTGTGTGTGTGTGTGTACCTATGGGTCCTCCGTATGGAGCTGCAGCCACCAGACAGTCTCTGAGTCCATCCCTCAAATTCCAACACATCTCATACAGCTCGGTTTTACTACACACACACACACACACACACACACACACACACACACACACACACACACACACACAATTATAGAGTTTTGTTCTCTTCCACCAGTCTCCATTTAAAATTCGCTCATTTTAACGCTGCCGTGTTTCTCAGTGAAATCAACAACACTCGTTAACCTGACTAAACTCGGGCTGTGATTGGTTCCAGTCTTCTGCTCAATTCGTCAATAAAGTAAATCACCTGACATCACCTGTTGTGCGTGATTAAACGTTTCAATGTAACTTATTGCGGGGCATTGTGTCTGCTAACAGTTAACACACACTGTCAATTACATTTAAAGCTAGCCTGAAGCTAACGTTAGCAGTGTCACATGATGAGCTGACGTTAGCTGTGGATGCTAGCTGCTGTGACCGGTGAACAAGAGATAAACTGACCGATAAAAAGCTTCTCCCAGCGGGTTCCAGTTGGCTGTGATGAACGCCATGTTGTTTCCCACGGGAGAGTCTGAAGAGGATGAAGAAGATGATTCACTGTTAGCTTTCAATCAATCAGCTGATCACTTCCTCATCAACAGCAGCTTTCTTCTTCTACGGTACCGTCTTCTCGAGCGGTCACTGTCGCCCCCTGGTGGCCGCTGCGCACATTGATTATGATTATGATGATGATGATGATTATTATTATTATTATTATTATTTAACCACAAAGTCGTAAACTGTTTAAATAAATACAACAAGGTTAATGTTAGAGATACAATTCATTATTATTTATACTTTAAATATTATAACATTATTTTTAATCTACAGCTCTTCATTGTTTAGTGTACCACCATCTGTCACTGGTTCCCCTTTCAGCACTGAAACCTGGACTCTACTTTTACCAGAGTATCCTTTATTACTCGAGTATCTGTACTCCGAGTACTTTTACTTCCTCTGACTGAATCCAAACACTTTTACACAACATGGACATTAAACTTTCAAAGGTTGTTATTTTCTTTGTTCTTTTCAAAGAACTTTGTATCTGGAGCTTTCAGCTGTGTCTCATGGTCTTCTTCAGAGGAGGAAGCTCCGAGTATAAATATTATAATATATAAATAATATTAATATCAGTTACTGAAGGTTTCTTGGTAAAGGAGAGATTATAAGTCTTCAGTGGAAAAATATGTTCTCACATTCTGTGGGAGGGAATTCCTGACGTTCCCAAATGAATCCTCAGTTAAAGGAAGGAACCCCCCCTCCGCAACATACAGTGTATTGTGTTTATGAATTCCATGATGTGAGCGTCTCTTCCTGTTTCCACCTCGTTACCTTCTGACCTTCCTCAGAACGGTTCTGTGTTCTCTGCACGCATTCACTACAAAGGCTACAAATAAACTCTGAGAACCGGCGACAGTCAGTTAGTGACAGGTTCCCAGGAACATTCAATTCAATTCAATTCAATTCAATTCAATTTTATTTGTATAGCACCAATTCATAACAGAAGTTATCTCAGGACACTTTTCAAATAGAGCAGGTCTAGACCGAACTCTTTAAAACATTAATTACAGAGACCCAACAGTACCACCATGAGCAAGACCTTGGAGACAAGGGCAAGGAAAAACTGCCTGTTAAAAGGCAGAAACCAACTGTTGACATGAGAACTTTGGAGAACCTTCACATTCACATTCAGTCCGTGGAGACGACTTATAAATGTTGTATTTTAACAGTGAAGTTCTGTAAACAGGCCTTTGATTAGAAAACAAACCAGAGGGCGAGAGAGAATCACACAAAAAGAGGGAGAGAGAGAGAGCGAGAGAGAGGGAAAGAGAGAGAGAGACATTCACACAGAGAGAAGCAGAGAGAGAGAGAGAAAAAGAGAGAGACAGAGAGAGAGAGGGAAAGAGAGAGAGAGACATTCACACAGAGAGAAGCAGAGAGAGAGAGAGAGAGAGAGAGAGAGAGAGAGAGAGAGAGAGAGACAGGTTTCCTTCCAGATGACTTCACCTTAAAAACATGAGCCTCTCTCTCTTTCTCTACACACACAGAAACACAGTCGTCATGGTAACAGACCCCTCCCCTCTGGGTGTGGTGGAGAGACACTGAAGCCGCAAAGAGAGAGAGAGAGAGAGAGAGAGTTAACCCATTCAGTGCCTGTTTATTGATCAGATTATGTATTCTGTTTATTCTGTCTTTTATTTTGACATTTCTGTGATTTCCTCTCATTAAAAACTTTAATAAAACTACTACCACCAGTACTACCACCAGTACAACAACCAGTACTACAACCAGTGCTACAACCAGTACTACTATCAGATCCTAACAGAGTGGTTTAGTTGTGGGAGGGAAGGAGTTAAAGGTGTGGATGTTTCCACAGTTGGGAAGTAAGTTGGAAAGTTTTCCTCTGAGCCAACCAATCAGATTGCAGAGAGAGAGAGAGAGAGAAAGAGAGAGAGACAGAGACAGAGAGACAGAGAAGGCGGGCGAGGTAGAGTTTCCACAGTTTTTCTACAGCAGTGAACTTTCTGCTGTTTTTGGTGTTTTTCGGTTTGAAGTTGAGTTGTGTGTGAGGACAGACTCGTCATGGTGACCACAGAGACCCACCAGGCCCAGGACCTGCTGGTCCCCGCACAGAACCAGGACCAGCTAGACCAGCAGCAAAGGAACAGCAGGATGAGAACCCGGCCTCCCCCTCGTCCCCCCTGGCAGGATTCGACCCGGACACAATGAGTCAGGGTCCCGTCAATGCCATCACGGTCCTCACTCTGCTGGACAAACTGGTCAACATGCTGGACACCGTGCAGGAAAATCAGAACAAGATGGAGGTGAGCCAGGGGCGGGACCACACCTTAACATCAGGTCTGAGTGTGGGACACCAGTAGAGACAGGATTCAGGATCAGGGCAACAGAAAATTGGTTCAAACCAAACTCCATTAAAAAAACTTTGTTTTTAGTCGTCACCGTCAACTGAAGCTTCAACTGCATGAACAGGGACATACAGAAAAGTACAGGGCAGTCCAAACCAAACTCCACTGGAAAAACTTTATCTGCAACTCACTAAAGAAACAGTTCAGACTTGTTTGTCCTACAGTTTCCAGTTTCAGAGAAACTTTCCAAACCAAAGGCCACTTAAAAAACTGCAGATTTTGCGTCTATGTGTTCTCTGTCTTCTCTCTCTGGCCTCGGTTGGTGTTTTTATCTCTTATGAATACAAAGATCTAATTTTGTCTCACATTCAGAAGTCACATGACCCACAGCAGCACCCATAGCTGCAGGTTAAGTAAGCTGGTTAGTAGATGTGTAACTCTGCTGTGAGAGTGGATTCCTGAGATGTTTGTCATATTAAGATGCTTTAGCTAAAACTGCCCTGATGGAGACAAACAAACTCATAACTCTGAACTTTGGCTCTGGAGCTACTTCCTGTTACTGTATTGTGTTGATTATAGTTTACAGTGTTCTTTAATAACATGTTAGAACAGGTTTTTGAAACCAGCTCCTGTCTCACACATTAACAGACTGTCCACAGAAATATTTACAGATTTGTGTCCATAAGAAGAACTAAAGTCAGACTGAAACCAGATTCTGAATAAACAAACTGTGGAACTGAGCTCAGACAGTTCATTATCTCCTACTTCAATCAGGATTAATTGAGCTGTTGTCTCATGTTCTACTAATTATTTCAATTTAAGGGTCTACTCCTTAAAATGTTCAGAGGAAACTGGTTACTGAAGAGCTTCTAGCACACGAGGGAATACTGAAGTGTAAGTGCATGGAAAGCTCAAAGGTTTTTCCATCATAAACATCCTCAGTTTTATTCAACATTCAAACATTTTACTACTTTAATTTCATTGGAATTGCAGCATCCAGAGTATTCACTCACAGGTGAAATTTAACATAATGAACTTTGACCTGTACATTCACACAAATGACCAAGAATAAGCCTTCCTTACAGTGCTGTGGGAGTGGACGGATAGCCACAGAGTCCAAAATAGAGGAAGCTAACTTATTTTCAGTTTTATTAGAAACACGTTACATGTTAATGCAGCTTTTAATAAACTGTGGACACTTATTGTTCCATTAGTAACAAGCTAAGATAATGAGCTAATAAGCTAATGAACAGTCCAGACAACATGATGTTAGCGGTTAACTTTCTAGCTACTGTAGTACACAAACAAACATCAGGAATCTCAAGCAGCAGATTTATTGTCAAACCTTCCTTGACTTCCTCACTTTGAACTGTCGAGTGAGTCAGCATCTAGGATGATGTCTTAATGGTTGTTTCAGGTGCACCAGGTGGAGATGGAGGGTGTGGTCAGAGGGATCCAGGCTGATATGACCAAACTGTCCAAGAGCCACAGTCACACCTCCAACACGGTCAGCAAACTGCTGGACAAGAGCCGTAAACTGTCCGTCACCATGAAGGAGGTACAGACTGGTTGCTGGTTTGGTCACATCTGTACAGGTAGATTTAAACTGGTCTGATCACTGGTTGTGTGTCTGCAGGTGCGAGATAAGATGGAGCGTCAGGGACTCCAGGTGAAGAAGCTGGAGGCGAATCACGCCCACCTGATTAACAGGAACAACTTCAAAGTCCTCATATTCCAGGTGAATGAGACATAAACCACGGTGACAGGAGGTCAGAGGTCAGTCAAAGGTCAGAGGTTCTCCATTTTCCATCAGTAAAGGGTTCTCCATCAGTAAAGGGTTCTCTATAAGTAAGGTGTTCTCCGTCAGTCAAGGGTTCTCTATAAGTAAAGGGTTCTCTATGAGTAAGGTGTTCTCCATCAGTAAAGGGTTTTCTGTAAGTAAAGGGTTCTCCATCAGTAGGTTGAGACATTCGTTCTCTGTTGGAGATTTTCTGTCTGTGGCCATATTTGGTCGTCGGCTGCAGCAGGAACTGAAGTGGATAAACTTTATAGAAAACAAAACCGAGGTCAGAGGTGAGAGTGAGCTGTCATCATGTGGTCTGGTTGTCATGGGTCCAACAATCGGCGTCCATCAGGGTTCTCAGTGTTTGGAACAGATACAGTAGAAGTAAACAACAGTAAAAGTGCTGCTAACATCATGTACTAATACTGCAGTAGTAGTGCAGAAGTACTGCAGTAAAACTACAGTAACTGGAAGTAAATCTCGGATTACTGTACATACTTTCAGTACTGCAGTATCAGTGTGTACCAGTGACGTGCGGTCAGGAGAGGCAACATCCTGTCATCATGGAAAAAATTAAATATATAATAAACAAATAAATTAAATGGTTATATTTATCAAATGGTTTGAACTATGAACTCATTTTCCATTTCACTTAAACAATTTTGAGATACGGGGAAGAGACGCACAGTGAGGCAGCAGCAAGCTGAGCCTCACCTTGGATTGCGCAATCCCTCACAAACTGTGCTCTGCCATGCAATGAGAGCGTGTTACTGTCGCTCTGTATGTTACCAATCAAATGTTTCAATCAAGCCCCCCCCCCTGACTTTCCATAATTTCACTTGCTTCATGGTAGGGGGCACTCGTGAGCCCAGAGATTCTGATGCTACTCCGCAGCTGCAGAGTAAATGACAGCAAGCTAGCATCTTACAGTCCGTGGTTACAATTAGTGAGTCAAGTGCAGCGATCTTTTTTTTTCCCTCTCGAATGCCTCCTGCCGTATGTTTTTGTTGTTTATTTGAGTATTCAGGCGTCAATCGGTCATTATCCAATCAGGGTCTATTAGAGATGAGTATGGGGTAACCTACTGGATTCTGGGAGGGCGGGATTAAGAGAGTAACGGAGCAGAGACGTAAGAGAGAGAGAGACGCTGTGCTGTTCATGAGTTTCTTAAGTGTTGTTAAAGTTGTTTTATTTCTTTAATTAAAAACGCTGAGGGTTTTTATGAGTCTGGACTGCTGAGAGAACGAAGAAGACAAGTTTTGGTGTGAGTGCTGAACAAGCGCATAAACATTAGCTTTGTGTGGACTGTTGCTAGCGGACGAGCATTAGCGTTGCTAGTCGGGAGGAGAAGGACGGCGCACATGCATGTGAGGAGCTGGGTTTTCTTACATGGACTAGTTTCACAACTTTTCATCAGCCGCCACTGGACAGAGGTTTTGAACTAAACAAACAACGTTGCTATCCAGTGTGAGTGTAATCAAAAGGATCTTCACATGATCTTCACATGACCTCCAACTGTGCGCCAGCATGCATGGTACCATAAACTGAACAAACTAAAAACCCCGGGTATTTTCTGTGATTTATTTACATTTTTATTTGGGTCATGTTGAATAAATGTTCCCCTATTTTTTTTTTTTATTGAAACTGTGTATACTAATGTTGCAAATGGAGTAAACATTGTGGTTTTATGACTGAAAAGGAAGGTGGTTATTAAAAAGTATGCATGGGAGTTGAACTTGGCCTCTCTGCACCCTAGTGAAAATCAGGTTATCTAGTTGAAGTAAATGCATAGAAATTTCATATTTAGTAGGCTCCTACCAATTCACCTCCCATGCTAAATTATTTAAAAGTAATCAAGGTAAACATTTTGTTACAAATTAGAATTGAGTAGGAGGGCTACATTTAGAAATCTGATTCTGATGAAGTCAGTGCCTCACCAGCCATAACCCTCCCCGCACGTCACTGGTGTGTACTTTCAGTACTGCAGTATCAGTGTGTACATACTTTCAGTACTGCAGTATCAGTAAGTACATACTTTCTGTACTGCAGTATCAATGTATACATACTTTCAGTACTACAGTATCAGTGTGTACATACTTTCTGTACTGCAGTACCGCAGTATACATACTTTCAGTACTGCAGTCAGTGTGTACATGGGTTTCCAGTCCCACTGACACTAAACATTCCTGTCCTCCCTAAAATATCCAGCATTCCTTAGTGGGTGTTGTTCTCTCTGCTTTTTTAACCCTTTCACTCTGCCCTCCCAGTGTTCTGCTGATCTGTTTTGAAGTATTTGTACTGCGACTCAGTTTACACATACTGAGTACCACTGTATGGACAAAAGTACTTACTGTACTTCCTGTTTGAAGGAAATAGACAAAAGAGAACTCTTAAAGTTGAATGGAGGAAATGCTCAGCTGTCCACATACGTTTTCTTCTAGTTCCCCATTTTTCTAAAGTAACCCAAATGTTCCCCTAAGGTAAAATGCCTAGGTAAATTCCTTTGAGGTTCCACAAAGGGCCCACTATGTCACGACCTCTGACACAACTCTGGGACAGACGAAGATGTAGCAAAAATGATATTAATTTATCCAAAATAAAATTAAAACAAAAGGCGCTCTCAAGGAGGATCAACAAATCAACACAAACGTCAATTGAAAGATGAAATAGCTGGAACACTTGACAAAACTCTTTCTACCAACTGAACAAGACAAACTGACAAAGACAAAGGGAGACAAGGACTATTTATACCAGGTGTAAGTGAAAACAGGTGAAAACAATCAGGGGCGGGGCAGACATTTATAAAGGCGGGAAAATCACACAAAGGGAGGAAGTCGGGGTCTGAATTGTGAGGAAAAAGGTGAGTACAAAATAAAACAGGAAGGACTAAACATGAAACACTTAACATGAACATGACTAAAATTAACACACTTGACGAGACACAACACACTAACATTTTTGTATGGGTTTCTTAAGTTTTTACTGATGTTCCCCTTGCAATTCCCACAGGTAGCTCCCATTTTAAGGTTCCTCCGTTCATGAAGTTTCTCCATGGCCACCGAATGATCTCCTAATGTTCTCCTAAGCTTCCCCCAAGATTCCAGTAAAAATGCTCCTAAGGCCTCATTAGAATTTTCAAGGGAATGTTCCATGAATATTTTCCTAATGTTCTCTTCTCACCTTCAGGAGGAAAACGAGATCCCCTCCAGTGTTTTCATAAAAGATCCTCCTCCATTCCCTCGTGATGAGATTTTGGAAGAAGGCGATGAATCAGCACCAGGCATCGTTGATGGCAATCGATCCCAGGAGAGCGGGCTGCAGACCATCGACCTATCATCTGATGAGGATGTTGGGCTGGACGCGGAGCTAGAGGAAGAGGAAGTGTGGCCTCATGATCTGGAGAACATGGAGAAATCCAGAGCTGAGAAACTGAAACGCTCCAGTCTGAAGAAGGTAAGAATCACAGACAGGTGTACAGACTGACAGACAGGTGTACAGAAAGACATAGATGTGTAACTGATTCTCTCTCTGCAGGTCGACAGTCTGAAGAAGGCATTCTCCAGGCAGAACATCGAGAAGAAGATGACAAAGATTGGAACAAAGATTGTTTCTCAGGAGCAACGAGAGAAGATCAAACAGAAAACCTCCAGCCTGAAGGTTTCACCTCTGACATTCAGTATCAGAAAGGTACTGAGATCTCAAAGTTCCTCTAAGATTCCCCTAACATTTTATAAAGGCACCCCAAAGGTTCCCCAGCGGTTCACCAAAAGTTACAGTAAGGTTCTATTAAGGTTCCCCTAAAACTCCAATTCAGGTCACCCGAAGTTCCCAGAACAATCCCCAAATGTTCCCCAGTGTTTCCTTCACAGTTTCCTCTAAGGTTGCCCTGAGCCTCCAGTAAAGCTCTCCCAAGGTACTGCTGATGTTCCTCCGAAGGTACCCTCTGCAACTCTACTGGCTGCCTAGGCTGCCCTAACACTTCAACTTAGAGAACCCAAGGTTCTCCCAGTGTTTCCCTCTCATTTTTCAAACATTCTCCTGAAGTTACCTCAAGGTTCCAGCTTTTTTTGTGTTGTTTTATTTCCTGTGACTTCTCCCCTCCATCTCTGTTTTCAGCCTCGCAGCAGCTCCGACTCTCAGCCCACTGAAGGCTCCACTCAGGCCGGGGAAGCAGTGATCACTGAGGCTGAGGTCCAGCTCTCCCCGCTGGGCGGCACCGACCAGGATGTCCCCTTCACCGAGGTCCACGCCCAACTGGCCCCAGCTGAGCAGGAAGAGAAGGAGGAGGAGATGAAGGAGGAGGTGAAAGAAGAGGAGGAGAAAGAGGAGGAGGAGGAGGAGGAGAGGGGAGGTGAGGAGGCATCAGGTGTGGAGGCAGATCCGTTGGTGGTTTCAGAGGGAGTGAGTCAGGAGTACGCTCTGTCCACCACCCTGCGCCAGGAGGAGAAAGAGGAGGAGAAAGAGGAGGAGAAAGAGGAGGAATCCTAAACACTCTTCATGGAGTGATCGATCAGAGTTCAGATCTGAGTTGTGATCGATCAGAGACTGAAGTTTTGTCTTGTTATTGATACATATATTTTTATTAAGTGTCTGCACACAGGTTGATTGATTGATTCCAGATATCTGATCAGTTGATATTTAATGTTTTTACACGTCACCATGAAAACTGCATATCTCCAAAACATCAACTTTTAAAGATCCGATCAATTTTTAGATTAAAGTTTTGTTTGAAGTTGGAGAATTTTAATGTTTAATTCTTCAACTGATCTGAAAACCTAAAACTTTAAAACCTTATGATATGTTGTTTTTCTTGGTCAGCAATGTTCCTTTCAGGTTCCTTTTTACGTTTATTTGTGTTTTATTCAAAACCAGCTGATAATAACTAATGATCAATAACAGATAAATCAATATAGCGTAAAAACAGTAGTGGAACCTGGTTCTCAGGGATTACTGAGGTAAACATGGTGCTTAACAGAACCCTGAGAACATAAAACATTACTCTAACATTCTTCCAATGTTCCTGTTGTGTATGAATATACAAATTTTTTCTCACCTTGAGGTTCCTCTAAAGTTCTTCTACTCTATCCCAATAATTTCCCTAATGTTCCTCAAAGTTTAGCCAAACATTCATCAAAAGATCCCTTTAACTAAAGTACCTCTAAGGTTCCACTGAGCTTGCCCATTGTTCCCCCAGGGTTCCCATAGAGTTTCTCAGAGGTTCCTCTAAGGTTCACCTAGAACTCTGCTAAGGCACTCCCAAGTTTTGCCCAAGGGTCCCCAAAGCCCCTACCAGTTCCTCCAAAGGGTTTTCCACTAAAGTTTTTTCCAAAAGTTTCTCCTATAAGGTTCCTCTACCTTTGTCTTAAGGTACCCCCAACATCCTCTAACATTGGTCTTCCAGCGTTTTCTTAGCATTCCCTTAAAGGTTCTCCTAACATTCCTGTGAGGTTCCTGCAAGGTTCCTCTAACATTTCCCCTCGGTTCCTCTAATGTTCCCCAAAGGTTCCGCTAACATTCCACTTGGTGTCCCCTCTAGGGTTCCCTTAAGTTTCCACTGATGTTTCCCCCAACTTTTTCTTAAGGTTCCTCTAAAGTTCCACTAATATTCTCCTAATGGCCCTCTGTTACTGAAATGAGTTCTATCAGAAATGATCTGTGTGTTCCAATGATCAGTTAATGATCAATAAGTCGATCAGTTTGGTTCTTATAGCCTCTGTGTGTGTGTGTGTGTACACTGAATAATAACAATATAACTGCATATTATTCACCCTGAAGTATTGATAACTGACAAACTGATCAACAGACCTGATCAAACAGTTTGATCTGTGACAGACTGATGATGTATATTGATGAATATTGATGACATAAACAGTCTGTTTTGTTAAGAACTGAACAATCAAACTGTTTTATCTCTCTGTTGTTACGGTTTTTCATTTTATTTTGACAGAAATAGAAACTTCCTGCTACCAAAGAACATTTCCTGTTTGACTTATGTTACCTGTCCGACTGTCAATCATCCAACAGGTGTGTGACAATCACCTGAAAATAAAGAATAAAATCAACTTCCTGTCTCCTGGCTCTCTTTTTAACTCTTAGTTCTATGAACTGAAATGAGTGTCATGTCAATAAAAGTAAAAGCAGTAATACTCCATTACTAGTATTAAGTACTAGTATGAGTACTGCATTCAAAAGTATGTTTATTTGTGTACTTCAAGTATCTAAAGTATTTGTTATGTAGAGGGCTCTAAAACATATTAAAGTTATTATTATTGTTGGTACTTTATACATTTACACTATTTATACTATGTTGCCTCCTTCTGGATGAACTCTGAACTCTGTTCTTCTGTGGTTCAGTTCATTCAGCAGGTCTTTGTAGTACAAGTTTAAGTACAAGTATTTTCAGCAACATTGGCTGAAAAGTAAAAAGTTATTTATTATTCAGAAGTGTTAATACCCTTAACAACAGGATTATTAATGTATAAATATCATTTTAATGTAGTTGATTTCTGTTGAATCTGAAGCTTTATATTATTATTATTATTATTGAAACAAAATGTTCTGTAGTTTAAAATAACCTTTTAGGAGTTCTTTACAGAACCTGTTAATGATTCTCTTTAGAATCGGTTGTTTCTAGTCTGGTTCCTACTGAGGCTCTTCTGACCTTTGACCTCAGCTGTCTCTGAGGGAGAGGGTGGGGTCAGAGTGTGGGGTGTTCTTTCCAGGAGCCAATGGGAGGGCCCAGGGGTGGGGCTTAAAACCCACACAACCCATAGAGGGGCAGGGGGCGGGCCTGATACGTCACACCACATTCACAGTGTTTGGTCCTGATTCTTCATCCAGAGTACTGAGCACAGTACTACAGAGTACTACTTGTACTGGATGCAGTACTTGTCCTGTAGTAGCAGATGGATTCAGAACCCCCCTCCGGCCTCTCTCTGGTCTCTGTGTTATCTCTGTTAGCATGTAGCTTCCAGGTGTTAGCAGCCGCCATGTTAACACGCAAGTATGGTGGGCGGAGCTCTGCAGAAGACAAATGGATCCTGCTGTGGCTCTTCTATGATGTCATTGTCCACCTGACGTTGGTATGACCAATCAGATTTTACTTCTTGTATCGAGTTTATGGTTTAATATTCGTTGTTTATTTGTTCTTATTTGTTTGTCCTCAGGAAGGTCCATTTGTTTACCTCTCTCTGGTTGGGACGGTGAAGACGTCTGAAGGTCCTCTTGCTGAGCTCTGTGAGTATTTACTTTTTATTTCATACAGTACTTCATTCAGTGCTTCATTCAGTACTTCAATCAGTACATACATCAGTACTTACATCAGTACTTCACTCAGTACTTCATTCAGTACTTCATTCAGTACTTCAATCAATACTTCAATCAGTACTTCAGTCAGTACTTCAGTCAGTACTTCACTCAGTACTTCACTCAGTACTTCACTCAGTACTTCAATCAGTACTTCATTCAGTACTTCAATCAGTACTTCATTCAGTATTTCAATCAGTACTTCATTCAGTACTTCAATCAGTACTTCATTCAGTACTTCACTCAGTACTTCACTCAGTACTTCAGTCAGTACTTCAGTCAGTACGTCAGTCAGTACTTCAGTCAGTACTTCAATCAGTACTTCATTCAGTACATCATTCAGTACTTTATTCAGTACATCATTCAGTACTCCACTCAGTACTTCACTCAGTACTTTATTTAGTACATCATTCAGTACTCCACTCAGTACTTCACTCAGTACTTCACTCAGTACTTCACTCAGTACTTCTACTCTACAGTATTGTGACCAGAGACTAGACCACTAGAGGGCACCATACACTGCTTCAACAGTGTGTACTTTTAAATGGTAAATGGTAAATGGACCTGTACTCAAAGCGCGTTTACACTACGTGCCACATTCCTATCTGACCTCTGTCTCTGTCTATCTGTCTCTTCCTGTCTGCGTGTAGGGAAGGAGTACGGTAAAGCCGACAGTCGCTGGTTGATTTCTGATCCGACGATTGTCTCAATAGAAATTCTGACTGTCGTCCTCGACTCTGTGTTGGCTCTACTGCTGATCCACGCAGTACTGAAGGACAAGTATTACAGGTAATACTACAACAAGTACTACAGATAGACTACAGACTTTAGTATTGTAGTACTCAGTACTGTGTAGTAGTGTAGTACTGTAGTACCGTAGTACTGTAGTATTGTAGTACTCAGTACTGTGTAGTACTGTAGTATTGTAGTACTCAGTACTGTGTTGTATTGTAGTACTGTAGTGTTGTGGTAATGTAGTATTGTAGTACTTAGTACTGTGTAGTATTGCAGTACTTAGTACTGTGTAGTACTGTAGTATTGTAGTACTCAGTACTGTGTTGTATTGTAGTACTGTAGTGTTGTGGTAATGTAGTATTGTAGTACTTAGTACTGTGTAGTATTGCAGTACTTAGTACCGTGTAGTATTGCAGTATTGTAGTACTTTAGTATTGTAGTTCTCAGTACTGTGTAGTATTGTAGTACTGTAGTACTGTACCGAGCACTATAATATTGTAGTATTGTAGTATTATACTGAGTACTGTAGTATTGTAGTACTTAGTACTGTGTAGTATTGCAGTATTGTAGTGTTGTAGTACTGTAGTACTGTACTGAGCACTATAGTATTGTAGTATTGTAGTATTATACTGAGTACTGTAGTGTTGTAGTACTGTAGTATTGTAGTACTGTAATATTGTAGTACTCAGTACTGTGTAGTATTGTAGTGTTGTAGGACTGCTGTACTGTATTATTGTAGTATTGTAGTACTCAGTACTGTGTAGTATTGTAGTATTGTAGTATTATACTGAGTACTGTAGTACTGTAGTACTGTAGTATTGTAGTATTATACTGAGTACTGAGTACTGTAGTATTGTAGTATTATACTGAGTACTGAGTACTGTAGTATTGTAGTACTGTACTGAGTACTGTAGTATTGTAGTACTGTAGTACTGTACTGAGCACTGTAGTATTGCAGTACTGTACTATTGTAGTATTGTAGTACTCAGTACTGTGTCGTATTGTAGTACTGAGTACTGTGTAGTATTGTAGTACTGTAGTATTGTAGTATTGTAGTATTGTAGTACTGTAGTATTGTAGTACTGTACTGAGCACTGTAGTATTGTAGTACTGTACTATTGTAGTATTATACTGAGTACTGTAGTACTGTAGTATGGTAGTATTGTAGTACTCAGTACTGTGTAGTATTGTAGTATTATACTGAGTACTGTAGTACTGTAGTATTGTAGTATTATACTGAGTACTGTAGTATTGTAGTATTGTAGTATTATACTGAGTACTGTAGTACTGTAGTATTGTAGTATTATACTGAGTACTGTAGTATTGTAGTATTGTAGTATTATACTGAGTACTGTAGTACTGTAGTACTGTAGTATTGTAGTATTATACTGAGTACTGTAGTATTGTAGTACTGTACTGAGTACTGTAGTATTGTAGTACTGTAGTACTGTACTGAGCACTGTAGTATTGTAGTACTGTACTATTGTAGTATTGTAGTACTCAGTACTGTGTAGTATTGTAGTACTGTAGTATTGTAGTACTGTACTATTGTAGTATTGTAGTACTGAGTACTGTGTAGTATTGTAGTACTGTAGTATTGTAGTACTGAGTACTGTAGTATTGTAGTACTGTAGTATTGTAGTACTGTACTGAGCACTGTAGTATTGTAGTACTGTACTATTGTAGTATTGTAGTACTGTAGTATTGTAGTACTGTACTGAGCACTGTAGTATTGTAGTACTGTACTATTGTAGTATTATACTGAGTACGGTAGTACTGTAGTATGGTAGTATTGTAGTACTCAGTACTGTGTAGTATTGTAGTACTGTACTGAGCACTGTAGTATTGTAGTACTGTACTATTGTAGTATTGTAGTACTCAGTACTGTGTAGTATTGTAGTACTGTAGTATTGTAGTATTGTAGTATTGTAGTACTGTAGTATTGTAGTACTGTACTGAGCACTGTAGTATTGTAGTACTGTACTATTGTAGTATTATACTGAGTACTGTAGTACTGTAGTATGGTAGTATTGTAGTACTCAGTACTGTGTAGTATTGTAGTATTATACTGAGTACTGTAGTACTGTAGTATTGTAGTATTATACTGAGTACTGTAGTACTGTAGTACTGTAGTATTAATAAATAATAATAATACATTTTATTTATAAGCGCTTTTCTAAATACTCAAAGACACTTTACATAAAAAAATAAAATAAAAAATAGAATAAACATAAAAGCAGCCAAACAACATCAAATAGTAAAACATTAAAAACACATCAGACTTAGCTAAACATTAAAAGCAATTTTAAAAAGGTGAGTTTTTGTCAGTGATTTGAATGTTGGAAGGTCGGTACAGTCACGGATGGGTTTGGGGAGAGAGTTCCAGAGGGAGGGGGCAGCTACAGAGAACGCTCTGTCGCCCCAGGTTCGGTGCTTGGTCCGGGGGTGGAGGAGTCAGGAGGTTTGCTTCAGATGAGCGGAGGCTGCGGGATGGATTGTGGCGATGGAGCAGGTCAGTCAGGTAGGAAGGAGCCTGGTTATGGAGGGCTTTGTGTGTAAGGAGGAGGATTTTGAACTGAATGCGCTGTGGAACTGGGAGCCAGTGGAGGGTCTGGAGGACGGGAGTGATGTGATCACGGGTGCGGGTGTGGGTGAGCATACGTGCAGCGGAGTTTTGGATGTATTGTAGCTTATTTAGAGTTTTGGATGGTGTGCCATAGAGGATGCTGTTGCAGTAGTCGATTCTGGAGGTGATGAAGGCGTGGATGAGGGTTTCAGCAGCAGAGAAGGAGAGTGATGGGCGAAGACGGGCAATGTTCTTGAGATGAAAGAAGGCAGTTCTCGTGATTAGGTTTATGTGATGTTCAAAGGAGAGGTTAGTGTCAAAGATGACTCCGAGGTTGCGACTGTGGGGGGATGGAGACAGGGTGGAGTTGTCAATGGTGAGGTGGAAACTGTCTGTGGTTTTGGTGAGGGATTTGGGGCCGATAATGATAAGGTCTGATTTGTCACAGTTGAGTTTGAGAAAGTTGGAATGCATCCAGGATTTGATGTCGGTGAGGCAGTTGGAGAGAGTCGAGTGAGTGCCCGGGGTGATGGATTTGGTGGAGATATAAAGCTGGACGTCATCGGCATAACAGTGGAAGTGGAGACCATGGTGGCGAATGATGTTGCCAATGGGGAGCAGGTAGAGTATGAAGAGGAGAGGACCAAGCACCGAACCCTGGGGGACGCCTTTGGGACAGGGGAGCAGTGGAGGAGGTGCAGTTGTTGACATGGATGAATTGTTGTCGGTCTGTGAGGTAAGATTTTAGCCAGGAAAGTGCAGTGCCAGTGATGCTGAGAGAGGACTCAAGACGGGAGAGGAGAATGGTATGGTTGATGGTGTCAAAGGCTGCAGTGAGGTCCAGGAGGATAAGGATGGTGAGGTGGCCGGAGTCAGCGGAGAGGAGGATGTCGTTGGTGACTTTCAGGAGGGCTGTTTCGGTGCTGTGTTGGGAGCGAAAACCGGATTGAAATGGTTCGAACAGTTCATTTGAGCAGAGGTGGGTTTTGAGTTGTGTGGCGACAATACGTTCCAGTATTTTGGACAGAAAAGGAAGATTGGAGATGGGCCGAAAGTTAGACATGATGTCAGGGTTGAGTCCAGGTTTTTTGAGGATGGGGGGTGACAGCAGCCAATTTGAGTGAGCGGGGGACTGAGCCGGACTTGAGAGAGGAGTTGATGATTTCTGTGATGAGTGTGGAGATGGCTGGTAAAGAGTCCTTGATGAGGTGAGATGGGATAGGATCCAGGACACATGTAGTGGTTTTCATGCCTGTCATGATTTTGGGCAGCTCCCCTGGTGACACGGGGCAGAACTGAGACAGAGGCTGAGAGGCGAAGGGGGGGGGAGCAGATGAAGGAGTGGGATTGCAGGCTGTGGGGGCAGGAGCGGAGGACAGATTGTTATAAATGGTGTCGATTTTTGATTGAAAGAATGAAAGAAAGGAGTTGCATTTGTCAGTGGTGAATGACTTGGAGGTATTGTCGCTGGGCTTGAGGAGTTTATTTACTGTAGAAAACAGAGCCTTGGGGTTGGTGGAGCCAGCGTGAATGAGGTGAGAGTAGTAGGTGGACCGGGTGGTGTTGAGGGCATCCTTGTACTGCAGGAGGTAGTCTGTAAAAGTTTGGAGATGAACAGTTAAACCGGTTTTCTTGTAAAGTCTTTCAAGTTGTCGTTTGCGTGTTTTCATTTTGTGCAGTTCAGGAGTGTACCAGGGGGCAGAGTGGGTGAATGAGACGGTTTTGGTTTTGATGGGGGCCAGCTGATTGAGACAGGAGGAGAGTGTTTCGTTGTAGAACTTGGTGAGGTCAGAGGGGTTGTCAGTCAGCGGTGGGGGGGAGGAAGATATTTTACTTGCAAGAGAGGTAGTAAGAGCTGAAGGGGAGATGGATTTGAGGTTTCTGAAAGATATTGTCCGTTTATCCTTAATGGTGGGAATGGGGATGTCAATGTCCGTGATGATTGCCAGGTGGTCGGAGATGTTGAGGTTGAAGCTGGAGAGGTGAAGTAAGGTGAGACCAGTGGAGCAGACCAGATCCAAGATGTGACCACGGCTGTGGGTGGGAAAGTTGACGTGTTGGGTGAAGTTGAAGCAGTGTAGTAGTTCCAGGAATTCAGTGGCAGATTTGCAGTCATTGTCAATGTGGATGTTGAAATCTCCCAGAAGAAGAACGGAAGGTGAGATGGCAGATAACTGAGTTAGAAAGTCAGAGAAGTTGGTGATAAAGGAGGGGTTTGGTTTGGGGGGCGGTAGATGATGGCAGTGACCAGAGGAGTGGGACCAGAGAGTTTGAAAGTGAGGTGTTCAAAGGAGTGAGCAGCAGGGATGGAGATGGTGGATGTTTTGATGTCCTCCCTGTAGATTGCTGCTACACCACCTCCCCGCCCCTCAGGTCGGGGTTTGTCAATGTAAGTGTATCCGGTGGGTGTGGTCTGGTTGAGCAAAAAGTAGTCCAGAGGTTTGTGCCAGGTTTCAGTGATACAGAGGAAATCCAGGTTATTGTCACTTATGAATTCATTCAGAATGAGACTTTTATTGTTAAGTGAGCGGGTGTTGAGCAAAGCCAGTTTCAGGTGACGTTGCTTCGTGAAAGTTTGAGAGGACCGAGGAAGGGGGCGGAGATTAGATAGGTGCACATGTCGTTTGTTGTGATGACGTAATGAGGAAGTTGCGGTGCGTGAGCAGGACCAGATGGATGGGATAGAGTTAGGAGTTGAACAGTTGTAGATGAACATACGACCAGAGCCTCTGTGTGGAGGACGGCGAAGTAGTCCAGTTTCACGGAGGATGTCGATGCAGTCCGGGCGTTGATGGTTGTTGAGTGAGTGGAGGACGGAGGTGGAGTACAGCGGCGGCATGATCCAGGTGTGGAGCGCTAGCACGGAGCTAGTGCTAGCTTGTGACCATGAGCCAGGTGTCTGTGGACGGAGCCGTATCGAGTACTCCAGAAGAATCCACAGGGTGATCCACAGCATAACCGCAGCAGGCGATCTGTGGTCCGATGATGAGGCGATGAGGAGAGTGGCCCCCGGCCTGCTAGCCTAGAGGACCCGGTGATGATAGGAGGTCGTCAGCTCGATGCGGTGGTGGCCAGCGGAGGAAGCCAGCCGAAGCCCGACAGAACCGACCACACCGGGACGGAAAGATCCCGGGAGGACGGGATAATCCGATGAGGAGGAGAGGGGCCGCCGGCCTGCTAGCCAGGGGGTCCAGGTAGGGAGAGGACGTTGTCAGCCTGATGCGGTGGTGGCCAGCGGAGGAAGCCAAAGCCAAAGCCCAGTAAAGCCGACCACACCGGGATGGAAAGATCCTGGCAGGACGGGCAGGTGGGCTCGAGCTGGCAGAGAAGATGGCAGGGAAAGACCGCAGGAATGGCCACCCCGAAGGCAGGGCGATGAGGCTATGCCGAAGTCCCGGGGATCCTGTAGCTAGCAGGAGCTAGCAGGACGGTGGGAGGACTTCACAGGTACGAAGCAGATAGATAGCAGTGAATCTGTTTGCTCTCCAATTTCAGAGGACTGCCAAACCAGACTATCTGGTGTGGTGAGGCGTAGGTCAAGAGACAAAAACTTTATCATAAACTATTGTCGGAGACGGAGCGGCAGCCAAGGTGCGCCAGCATCCGCCATCATTGTTTGAAGTAGAGTCAGTGTTAGATTTTTTTTTTTGCAGATCTCCTCGTTGTATTGTAGTATTATACTGAGTACTGTAGTATTGTAGTATTGTAGTATTATACTGAGTACTGTAGTACTGTTGTACTGTAGTATTGTAGTATTATACTGAGTACTGTAGTATTGTAGTACTGTACTGAGTACTGTAGTATTGTAGTACTGTAGTACTGTACTGAGCACTGTAGTATTGTAGTACTGTACTATTGTAGTATTGTAGTACTGAGTACTGTGTAGTATTGTAGTACTGTAGTATTGTAGTACTGTACTATTGTAGTATTGTTGTACTGAGTACTGTGTAGTATTGTAGTACTGTAGTATTGTAGTACTGAGTACTGTAGTATTGTAGTACTGTAGTATTGTAGTACTGTACTGAGCACTGTAGTATTGTAGTACTGTACTATTGTAGTATTGTAGTACTGTAGTATTGTAGTACTGTACTGAGCACTGTAGTATTGTAGTACTGTACTATTGTAGTATTATACTGAGTACGGTAGTACTGTAGTATGGTAGTATTGTAGTACTCAGTACTGTGTAGTATTGTAGTACTGTACTGAGCACTGTAGTATTGTAGTACTGTACTATTGTAGTACTGTACTATTGTAGTATTGTAGTACTCAGTACTGTGTAGTATTGTAGTACTGTAGTACTGTACTGAGAACTGTAGTATTGTAGTACTGTACTATTGTAGTATTGTAGTATTATACTGAGTACTGTAGTACTGTAGTATGGTAGTATTGTAGTACTCAGTACTGTGTAGTATTGTAGTATTGTAGTACTTTACTGAGCACTGTATTTCCTGTGTACTTTCAGACACTTCCTGCAGGTTGCTCTGAGTGTGTGTGAGCTGTACGGTGGCTGGATGACCTTCTGTCCCGATTGGCTGGTCGGCAGTCCTCACTTGAACACATCCAGCTGGCTTTACCTGTGGGTCTACCTGGTCTTCTTTAACGGGGTCTGGGTCCTGGTCCCGGTCCTGTTACTGGTCCAGTCCTGGTTCTCCCTGAGGAGGCTGCACAAGTTCATTCCAGACAAACATGCAAACAGGAAGAAGATGTAGAGACGATCAACTGATCAACTGACCACCAATAAATCAACACTATTGATCAGTGACTGTTGGGACAAACTAAACACAAACTGTGATTGATCATCAATCTGGTTGACTGGTTTACTGGTTCTATTTACTGGTTGACTGGTTCTGTTTACTGGTACTGTTTACTGGTTTACTGGTTCTGTTTACTGGTTAACTGGTTTACTGGTTCTGTTTACTGCTTGACTGATTTACTGGTTCTGTTTACTGGTTCTGTTTACTGGTTTACTGGTTGACTGGTTCTGTTTACTGGTACTGTTTACTGGTTTTGTTTACTGGTTAACTGGTTTACTGGTTCTGTTTACTGCTTGACTGGTTTACTGGTTCTATTTACTGGTTCTGTTTACTGGTTCTATTTACTGGTTTACTGGTTGACTGGTTCTGTTTACTGGTACTGTTTACTGGTTTACTGGTTCTGTTTACTGGTTAACTGGTTTACTGGTTCTGTTTACTGCTTGACCGGTTTACTGGTTCTGTTTACTGGTTCTGTTTACTGGTTATGTTTACTGGTTTACTGGTTCTGTTTACTGGTTTGGATAATGTAAGATAACATTAGCTCTTTTGCTAACCTGGACAAGCTAGCTAGGTAGAGTAGCAAAATCTTATGTGGCTAACCTAAGCTTGGTTGCTTGCTAACATTATTGCTAGCAAAGTACTAACAAGGTATTTTGTGTTGATCATAGTGGTTATACATTTTATCAATCAACAACCTCTGTGGCTGCAGTTCCTCTGACGTCCACTAGAGGCTCCTGCAGTGAGTCTCCATATTAAACTACATCAGTAACCAGGCTTCATTCAGCTTCATTAATCATCTTTATTTATTTATTATTACATATTTATTCAGCATAAATAATACATGTTTTATTTCTAATCCTCCTATTCCTCCTCCTCCTCCTCTTCCTCTCAGCTCTTCTTGATCAGTTTGTTGACAGACATGAAGGCCTGTTGGAGGCCGAGTCCCTTCAGAGCGCTGCAGGCCTGAACCTCCCACAACCGGTCAGTGTAACTGGGCAGATCCAACTGGTTGGAGATCTGAGGGAGGAGGAGGAGGAGGAGGAGGGAGAGAGATGATGAGAAGAAGAAGAGGAGTAAACAGCTCCATCTAGTGGTAGTTCAGCTGTAAACGTTGTTCCCTAACGAGGAAGCTTCTTTTTTTCTTCCTAGTGACCTTTTGGTTGGTATTAGTACTTTTACTGACCTGAATACTTCCTTCACCCTTTCCCTTTAAGAGAAGTGGATTATGGGTAACTGAGTGTGTGCTGTTAGGGACATTACAGCGCTGGCTGTGGTTATCTTTAGCAGCTGGTTTTCGGTATGTGTTCATACCTCTCGTATGGTCATGGAGTTTGGCAGGTCCTTCTTGTTGGCCAGAACCATCAGAGGAATTCCTCTTAACTTCTCCTCAGTCAGGACCTTCTTCAGGGCCTTCTGGGCCTCTGGTATCCGGGTTGGGTTGCTGCTGTCCACCACGAACACCAGAGCCTTACAGTCGTCAATATAGTACCTGAAGAAGAAGATCGAGCTGTATCATTAAACCGTTTATAGACTAGGGACGTCCTGACCAATCCGAGTCATTAAACACTGAGTGTCTGCAGATACCGATTCCCGATCCGATCCTATCCGAAGCTCTGCATTACATTTTATTTTGTTACATAATAAAAGTAAATAATAACAAACCCTCTGTAATGTTTGTTTGGTGTCGGTGGGAATAAAAACAGATTGGATCAATAAATTAAATAAATAGTAATAGCTGATACCGATCAGTTAACAAAATGCCTCTATCGGCACTGATACCGATTATTGAGATCTGGACCTCCCTTCTATATTTAGCTGATTCAATCAATAATCAATAATCATTGACTGTTTGCCATCCACTGTTTAGATCTTGGTGCTTTTTTAATTCTAGATTTGAACCGGATGAAGGATTTTAGTCATCGGACGTCTGGATCTTAAGTTATCAGAGAAACAAGCTGAGCTAACGTTAGCAGCAGCTCGGCTCGCAGCCCCTCCGGGACGTCCTTTGTCTGTCCAACAGCGTGGGAGAAGCAGTGATTGTTAAAGTGGAACTGCTTTATTCAGTGTGTTTAAGGTGGAACTGCTTTATTCCGTGTGTTTAAGGTGGAACTGCTTTATTCAGTGTGTTTAAGGTGGAACTGCTTTATTCAGTGTGTTTAGTGGTTTTAATCAGTGGGTCTGTTTGTGTTGGAGAGGAGGAGACCTCTGTGGATCATTGGGCTCCCGGTAGAAACCTCCTGAACCATGAACACTGAAGGAATCCTAACCGGGAGAAGCTGACTGCAATGACACCAATGGTGGTGAAGACTCCCATGATCCCATGCTGCTTCACCACCTCATCACACTACATCTGTTGTTGTTTGGATGTGAAAGAAAGTACACACAGAGATTTCTGTTTGTTTGTTTGTGTTACTTACCTCCAGTTGGGTCTCATGCTCTTCTGTCCGCCGACGTCCCACACAGTCAGAGACGTCTTCTTGTCCAAGTCCAGAGTTCCCACGTTGAATCCGATGGTCGGCGACGTTTCCATCACCTACGAGTTTGCAGACAAACACTGTTGATTCTGTCCCAACCTGTTTATATCTACCTGTCCACAGCGGCCTCACCTGTCCTGTCAGCAGTCTGGCCAACAGAGTCGACTTTCCAGCCGAGTCCAAACCCATCAGGATCACCTGAGTGCACAAACACACGTTAAAGTTCACAAGTGTTGGTTATCACATCACAAAAACATCTCAACATACATCAGAACTGATTCTGGTTCTGCCTTCTGGCTCCATTCATGTGACCGCAGCCTGAAGGTTCCCAACAACCAGCATTATTCCCAGGATATTAAATATATATAAAGTATTTCCTCCCTGAGAACCAGAACCACAATCGGGTTTATTACCCTTAGAGAAACATTTTACTTCCTGTCTGTAATATGAGCTTTATTCTGAAACATTTCCTTTACTTCCTGTATGTAATATGAACTTTATTCTGAAACAATTCCTCAACTTCCTCTCTTTAATATGAACTTTATTCTGAAACATTTCCTTTACTTTCTGTCTGTAAAATGAACTTTATTCTAAACTCTCTTATATCGTAGTAATCAGCCAATCAGCTGCTGAGATATTGTCCATAAAGCTGATTATTAATGATACTAACTGTTAGCATCAGTCAGTATAACAGAACAGTTCTCACATTAAAATCTCAGTTCTGGTTCTGGTTCTGGTTCTGGTTGCTGACTGAATCCTAAAGGAAGACATTAATGAAAGAAAAATACCCTAATAAACGCAGTACAAGTACTCTACAATGATACTGAAGGGACTAATTGATTAACTGTTGGGTAATACATCTCATAAACTCAGTAATTGTTCTATAATACTGATCAGTATTGATCAGTATTGATTGAGTTACCTGAGGAGAAGTGGAGCTACGAGCTTGACCCATATCCTGTAATCAACTGTCTTCTTCTGCTACTGACTGAGACTCACCTGGATAACGTCTCCCAGGTGTGTTCAGGTGGGTCCAATCAGAGCAGGTCATGTGACTGTGAGACGGGTCCGACTGCATTCCTGTGCCGGAGGCAGGTCGAGTGTCTGCAGGCTGATTTTAAACCCAGAGAAGAAGAAAAACTCAACAAACATAAACAACATTATAAGTTCATAAATAAACAAGTTATTGTAAACAAATATAAGTAATTACAACCCCTAAAGGAGGTTTATTTTATTATTACTTTTAATCATTTTATTCTTTTATCAAATTAATGAAACATTTCCTCTACTTCCTGTCTGTAATATGAACTTTATTCTGAAACATTTTGTATCTTCCAGTCTGTAATATGAACTTTATTCTGAAACATTTCCTCTACTTCCTGTCTGTAATATGAACTTTATTCTGAAACATTTCCTCTACTTCCTGTCTGTAATATGAACTTTATTCTGAAACATTTTGTATCTTCCAGTCTGTAATATGAACTTTATTCTGAAACATTTCCTCTACTTCCTGTCTGTAATATGAACTTTATTCTGAAACATTTAGTATCTTCCTGTCTGTAATATGAACTTTATTCTGAAACATTTTGTATCTTCCTGTCTGTAATATGAACTTTATTCTGAAACATTTTGTATCTTCCTGTCTGTAATATGAACTTTATTCTGAAACATTTTGTATCTTCCTGTCTGTATTATGAACTTTATTCTGAAACATTTCCTCTACTTCCTGTCTGTAATATGAACTTTATTCTGAAAATTTTTGTATCTTCCTGTCTGTGATATGAACTTTATTCTGAAACATTTCCTCTACTTCCTGTCTGTAATATGAACTTTATTCTGAAACATTTTGTATCTTCCTGTCTGTAATATGAACTTTATTCTGAAACATTTTGTATCTTCCTGTCTGTAATATGAACTTTATTCTGAAACATTTTGTATCTTCCTGTCTGTAATATGAACTTTATTCTGAAACATTTTGTATCTTCCTGTCTGTAATATGAACTTTATTCTGAAACATTTTGTATCTTCCTGTCTGTAATATGAACTTTATTCTGAAACATTTTGTATCTTCCTGTCTGTAATATGAACTTTATTCTGAAACATTTTGTATCTTCCTCCTCCTCCAAGTCAGCGGTGAGGAGGAGGAGCGGTGTCCTGTGAGGAGGAGTTTGTCTCCGGGTATAAAGCTGTCTCCTCCGACCTCCTCCCTCCTTCTTCTTCCTCCTCCCCGCCGGTTCTTCTTCTTCTTCTTCATCGTCATCATCATCATCATCATGGGCTTCGGTGATCTGAAATCCGCCTCCGGCCTCAAAGTGCTCAATGACTTCCTGTCGGAGCGCAGCTACATAGAGGGGTCAGTATATATACGGGTCCGGGTCTGAAGGGTCCGGGTCCGGGTCCGGGTTCGGGTTCGGGTCCGGACCGCAGAAAACACTGGAAACTGCTGCAGCTGGCGGTGCCGCCATCTTGGCTCTGCGCTGAGCTAACAGTTAGCTCACAGTTAGCGGTTTGACTTTAATGTGATCAATAATCGATAAGAGGCTGTGTCCGGTTCAGTCTGAAGGAGGCGTGAACCGAAAACTGAACTGATTGATTACTGATAATTGATAACTGATAACTGAAGCTTCATGCTATCACTAGTTAGCATCAAGCCACATGGTGCTAACATGCTAACACTGTGCTACGTGTCAGATGAAGTTTCAATGTATCGATCAACAGCCAATTAAAGTCCTGATAGTTATTGATAGTTTACGGCCTGTCAATCAATGTTTTATTAACGGATTGGTTTAAAGTTTATTGATCCTCAGAGGAAGAACAAAGACAAATAACAGATGATATATTGATTTATATTTACACACGATACTGAAGGTTTGTTATTATTGATTGATTGATTGATTTACAAATCAACTGATACATTCTTTTAATAAAGTTATTGATCCTTCATATCGTACTTAAAGTTTCTAAGAAGTTGAATCAGTTCTAGTTAATGTTCCTGCACTGATTGATTATGGATCAGTAGCTGATCAGTATTGATTATGGATCAGTAGCTGATCAGTATTGATTATGGATCAGTAACAGTCCCTGCAGATGTGGTTATGATGATCTAACTCACCATCTTTCGGCTGATCTTGAGATGAAACTTTCTGATCTGAAACCTCTGCAGAGGATTTTATTGATCTTAAGTTCTAATCCTGACTGATTTATTGATTACCTGAGCAGCCCAACCCAGGTGTGCTAGTCACGGTGTTTCCTGTCCTCAGGTACGTCCCCTCTCAGGCCGACGTGGCGGTCTTCGATGCGATCTCGTCCTCGCCCTCCGCCGACCTGTGCCACGTCCTGCGCTGGTACAACCACATAAAGTCCTACCAGAGCCAGAAGAACAGGTGAGGACGGCGACATCATCAGTGTGTGTGTGTGTGTGTGTGTGTGTGTGTGTGAGACACATCAGTGGAGTAAGCCCCGCCCCCTCCTGTCAGTCTTCCAGGTGTGAAGAAACCTCTGGGTCAGTACGGTCCTGCGGGTGTAGCCGACACCACCTCTGGCTCCGCCCCCGCCGCCTCAAAGGACGACGACGATGATGACATCGACCTTTTCGGCTCCGATGACGAGGTGAGGTCCCAGTGATGTCATCAAGGTGTGTCCTGTCTGTGTGATTGGCGTTAATGAACCCTGGGTTCTGTCTGACAGGAAGACGCAGAGGCAGCCAGGCTGAAGGAGGAGCGTCTGGCAGAGTACGCCGCCAAGAAGTCCAAGAGTACGTAATCTCAGTATTGACCAGTGAGCGGTATTCTGTTCCCTGATTGGCCGACTCTTAGTGATGATTAACCAATCACCATCTTTCGACTGACACCTGATGGACACCTTGTTTACCTGAGAGAGTTTCTGGCCTCCTGTCGGTGTTCATGAGAGGTTTCCATGGTAACTGACTGACTCCTCCCCCTCAGAGCCCACCCTCATCGCCAAATCTTCGATCCTATTGGACGTGAAGCCGTGGGACGATGAGACGGACATGGCCAAGCTGGAGGAGTGTGTGCGCAGTATTCAGATGGACGGACTGGTCTGGGGACAGTGTGAGTACTGCATGTAGTACACAGAGTACTGCAGCTGATCAGTATTGATTATGGATCAGTAGCTGATCAGTATTGATTATGGATCAGTAACAGTCCCTGCAGATGTGGTTATGATGATCTAACTCACCATCTTTCGGCTGATCTTGAGATGAAACTTTCTGATCTGAAACCTCTGCAGGGGATTTTATTGATCTTAAGTTCTAATCCTGACTGATTTTATTGATAACCTGATCAATTAATCATATCTGTTGTTCTGTAGCCAAACTGGTCCCGGTGGGTTATGGCATCAAGAAGCTGCAGATCGGCTGCGTGGTTGAAGACGACAAAGTGAGCATGTTTACCTTTTTAGTAGTAGTAGTAGTAGTTGTTGTTGTTGTTGTTGTTGTTGTTCACCTGTGTTTGTTTGTGTGTGTCAGGTGGGCACAGACATCCTGGAGGAACACATCACAGCGTTTGAGGATTTTGTTCAGTCGATGGACGTCGCTGCTTTCAACAAGATCTAAAACCAACAAGCAAGAGTAAATAAAAAAAGCACTTGAACAGAAGAAGAGTGTTGTTTATTGGAGTTCGACCAGCAGGGGGCGCTCTGTTGTTGTTGTATAAATATTTAAACTCTTCTGTGAACGGTAACAATCAGACTCAGCATTGTTTAACTAAAGTTTAAGATATTTACACTAAAGTGAGAAACGTAGAAAATAACTTTAATTTAAAATAATTAATAATAATACTACAGTAATCAGAATAGCGTTTATTGACGAGTAAGTTTACACATACGAGGAATTTGCCTTGGTGCATACAATATTAATTATTTAATATAAATAAAGATCTAAGAGCTGTACAAGAAAATTCACAATGTGCAAGATATAAAAACTAAAGGAAGTATTAATGAGTAGTAATAAATGTACACAGACTGTTACATAAGTTCTATGTATTAATAGGGTTGCTATTTATTATGTGTATACAGGTGTAGTAGTCTGTCTGACCTGTATTATTATTATTATTATATTTATATATATTATAGATATGAACCATTGACTGTATATAAAATAACGGGTGCAGTACTCTGTCTGACATGTATTATTATTATTATTAATTTATATATATTATAGATATGAACCATTGACTATATAAAATAACGGGTGCAGTACTCTGTCTGACCTGTATTATTATTATTATTATATTTATATATATTATAGATATGAACCATTGACTATATAAAATAACGGGTGCAGTACTCTGTCTGAACTGTATTATTATTATTATTATTATTATATTTATATATATTATAGATATGAACCATTGACTATATAAAATAACGGGTGCAGTACTCTGTCTGACATGTATTATTATTATTATATTTATATATATTATAGATATGAACCATTGACTATATAAAATAACGGGTGCAGTACTCTGTCTGACCTGTATTATTATTATTATTATATTTATATATATTATAGATATGAACCATTGACTATATAAAATAACGGGTGCAGTACTCTGTCTGACATGTATTATTATTATTATTATATTTATATATATTATAGATATGAACCATTGACTGTATATAAAATAACGGGTGCAGTACTCTGTCTGAACTGTATTATTATTATTATTATATTTATATATATTATAGATATGAACCATTGACTATATAAAATAACGGGTGCAGTACTCTGTCTGAACTGTATTATTATTATTATTATTATTATTATATTTATATATATTATAGATATGAACCATTGACTGTATATAAAATAACGGGTGCAGTACTCTGTCTGAACTGCTGGGGGCGGTATAACTCTGCTGGTCAATGGCAGTTTCCCGCCCTGCCGGAGTTTGAGCAGCAGAAGAAGAGGTAGACCGGAAACTAAACATAGCGGTGGAGCAGCGCGCGGCGGAAGGAGACTTTAATCTGTGTGAAAGTAAACAACAACAAACAAACAACAGCAGGTAATCAAACGGGTCGTTTATCGATTATTTACCGGAGCTAGCCAATCGGTTTCTGTGTAAGCAGGCCGCTCAGCTAACAGGCTAACGTAATGCTAACCGCTAGCCGGCTGCTAACGCCAACAGCGGCTGTAACGGCGGAGGCACGTCACCGCCAGCAGCGTCACCATGGTTACTGTGAGCCCGGTTTAACCCGGCGCTATCCCGGCTGTGAAGAACCGGGTCAAATAACCCGGCTTTATGAACCGGGTTCAAACAGAAGACGTTAGCGCTGCAGCTAACTGTTAGTTAGCTTCACACAATCAGCCAATCACAGAGCAGTTACCGCCGTGCTCTGATTGGTCGACCTCAGAGTGACGTCACCCCGTGGTTTGTTACGGAAACTCAAAATAAATAAAATTCTGTTTCGGTTTATTTTATATAAAACATTATATTATATAAACTATATTACAGTTTACACTCAGAGGATCACTGTTAGTTTATATATTATATTATAATATTAGTTTATATAAAACATTATATTATATAAACTATATTACAGTTTACACTCAGAGGATCACTGTTAGTTTATATATTATAATATATTATAATATTAGTTTATATATTATAATATATTATAATATTAGTTTATATAAAACATTATATTATATAAACTATATTACAGTTTACACTCAGAGGATCACTGTTAGTTTATATATTATATTATAATATTAGTTTATATAAAACATTATATTATATAAACTATATTACAGTTTACACTCAGAGGATCACTGTTAGTTTATATATTATATTATAATATTAGTTTATATAAAACATTATATTATATAAACTATATTACAGTTTACACTCAGAGGATCACTGTTAGTTTATATATTATATTATAATATTAGTTTATATAAAACATTATATTATATAAACTATATTACAGTTTACACTCAGAGGATCACTGTTAGTTTATATATTATATTATAATATTAGTTTATATAAAACATTATATTATATAAACTATATTACAGTTTACACTCAGAGGATCACTGTTAGTTTATATATTATATTATAATATTAGTTTATATAAAACATTATATTATATAAACTATATTACAGTTTACACTCAGAGGATCACTGTTAGTTTATATATTATATTATAATATTATTTTATATAAAACATTATATTATATAAACTATATTACAGTTTACACTCAGAGGATCACTGTTAGTTTATATATTATATTATAATATTAGTTTATATAAAACATTATATTATATGAACTATATTACAGTTTACACTCAGAGGATCACTGTTAGTTTATATATTATAAAAATTATAATATTAGTTTATATAAAACATTATATTATATAAACTATATTACAGTTTACACTCAGAGGATCACTGTTAGTTTATATATTATAATATAATATTAGTTTATATAAAACATTATATTATATAAACTATATTACAGTTTACACTCAGAGGATCACTGTTAGTTTATATATTATATTATAATATTAGTTTATATAAAACATTATATTATATAAACTATATTACAGTTTACACTCAGAGGATCACTGTTAGTTTATATATTATATTATAATATTAGTTTATATAAAACATTATATTATATAAACTATATTACAGTTTACACTCAGAGGATCACTGTTAGTTTATATATTATAATATATTAAATATTAGTTTATATATTATAATATGTTATAATATTAGTTTATATAAAACATTATATTATATAAACTATATTACAGTTTACACTCAGAGGGTCACTGTTAGTTTATATATTATAATATGTTATAATATTAGTTTATATAAAACATTATATTATATAAACTATATTACAGTTTACACTCAGAGGATCACTGTTAGTTTATATATTATATTATAATATTAGTTTATATAAAACATTATATTATATAAACTATATTACAGTTTACACTCAGAGGATCACTGTTAGTTTATATATTATATTATAATATTAGTTTATATAAAACATTATATTATATAAACTATATTACAGTTTACACTCAGAGGATCACTGTTAGTTTATATATTATATTATAATATTATTTTATATAAAACATTATATTATATAAACTATATTACAGTTTACACTCAGAGGATCACTGTTAGTTTATATATTATATTATAATATTAGTTTATATAAAACATTATATTATATGAACTATATTACAGTTTACACTCAGAGGATCACTGTTAGTTTATATATTATATTATAATATTAGTTTATATAAAACATTATATTATATAAACTATATTACAGTTTACACTCAGAGGATCACTGTTAGTTTATATATTATAATATAATATTAGTTTATATAAAACATTATATTATATAAACTATATTACAGTTTACACTCAGAGGATCACTGTTAGTTTATATATTATATTATAATATAATATTAGTTTATATAAAACATATTATATAAACTATTACAGTTTACACTCAGAGGATCACTGTTAGTTTATATATTATATTATAATATTAGTTTATATAAAACATTATATTATATAAACTATATTACAGTTTACACTCAGAGGATCACTGTTAGTTTATATATTATAATATATTAAATATTAGTTTATATAAATTATAATATGTTATAATATTAGTTTATATAAAACATTATATTATATAAACTATATTACAGTTTACACTCAGAGGGTCACTGTTAGTTTATATATTATAATATGTTATAATATTAGTTTATATAAAACATTATATTATATAAACTATATTACAGTTTACACTCAGAGGATCACTGTTAGTTTATATATTATAATATGTTATAATATTAGTTTATATATTATAAAATATTATAATATTAGTTTATATAAAACATTATATTATATAAACTATATTACAGTTTACACTCAGAGGATCACTGTTAGTTTATATATTATAATATATTAAATATTAGTTTATATATTAGAATATATTAGATATTAGTTTATATAAAACATATATAAACTATATTACAGTTTACACTCACTGTTCATCACTGTTAGTTTATATTAGAATATATTATAATACAGTAAATATTAGTTTATATATTAGAATATATTAGATATTAGTTTATATATTAGAATACATCAAATATTATTTTATATATTACTAGAATACATCAAATATTGTAATATAATAATGTAGATAAAATCAGGCACCCAGAGGGCAGCTTTTTACTGAGTGCAGTTAGCTGATAATTAGCTTTGATTAGTTAGTAATTAATAAAAGTAAATAGTTGTGTTTTAAATGCTATCAAAAGATATTTGTTGTTTATTTCTGTGTTTGTTTGTTGGGAGATTATGTCATGCTAACTGCTCTCTCTCCAGGCCCATGGACTCTCCACCTGAAACTCTCACCTGGTTACCGTTGGTTACAGCATGGAGCGCTCTGATTGGAGGGATAGCTCACTGACTGCACTGCCTCCAGGTGAGATCTCGTTAACAGATAATTAACTTAATTATTAATTATATTTTGTTTGTTTGTTTTAGAGCTTGTCAGTTATATTGATTATATGAACTCTGTTCTAATAATAATAATCATTGATTAATAACGTGTGTGTTTCAGATGATGTCACACTCATCTGATGAAGGTAAAAACTCAAACACACCATCAGGTTATATTTTATTCACTGCACTGATAATACTGTGTGTGTGTGTGTGTGTGTGTGTGTGTGTGTGTGTGTGTGTGTGTGTGTGTGTGTGTGTGTGTGTGTCTCAGATGACCAGAGGAGGGCGGAGTCTAGCAGCAGGTGAGTCTACCTGTCAATTATTGTCATTATTAATCAGAGATGTTAGAAGTCCTGGAAGGTCATGAGGTCAGATTCCTCTGCCAACCAAACTTTAATCTGTATTAATCAATTATTTATTCATTCAGTATTGATCAATAATTTATTCTGTATTGATCAATAATTTATTTATTCTGTATTAAACAGAAGATGATGATGTTGTTGTTGTTGTTGTTTTTAATTGATCGTGAGGTGATCATACCTGAGTGTTTCTGTCGACAGGATGTGGGCGGAGTCTCAGCCGGGTCCGTCCAGGTGTCAGGTGCCCAGCAGGCAGGGTTACTGTGGATACTGCAGAGTCCTGTACAGCAACCTGGACCAGGTACACACAGACCTTAATACCCGTCCAATCAGAATCAACGACACGTTAACGACATCATGCGTTTCTTCTCTCAGCACCTGTCCAGCCTCCAACACCTGGATTCTGTCCGGGCGTCCTCCCGAGGGTCCAGCACCGTCTCCTCTGCCAGCAGCAAAACCAAACTGACCCTGCTGGAGCGCTTCCTGCAGGACGTCCTGCAGCACCACCCCCACCGCTACAAGGACCCCAGGTAACTAAAACAAACACACCCCCACCGCCACAAGGACCCCAGTTAACTAAAACAAACACACCTGTTAGCTGGGTATGTTTGATATGTTGACGTGTGTCTCTGTCAGGCCATCTCACGCTGACCTCCCGTCAGTCTCCGCCCCTCCGTTGCCGAGGGAGGAGCTTGATGAAGTCTGTTTCTCGGACGACAGCCGCTCGCTGGGAACCCGTGAACACCTGCCGAGCTCTGACGGCGACGGCCACGTACGCAGCCAATCAGAGAGTGTGTCTGCACCAATCAGAGGACAGGAGGAAGGAGGAACTGCCCCCGCAGGGCGCATACAGACTCCACCCAAACACACACAGACTCCACCCACACAAACACAGACCCCGCACCCTGTCCACAGGAAGGCCCACAGGAAGACGAACAGGAGGAAAACCAGTGACTCCTCGTCCTCCTCCTCTGCCCCAGAGGGGGCAGACCCCGGTGCAGACCCCGGTGCACACCCCGGTGCACACCCCGGCCCCCAGGCCCCCTCAGGGATGAGGCCCTGGCTGAGCTGGCAGAAGGAGAGGAAGGAGGCTCATAAAGAGGAGGCCTTCTCCTCAGATCACAGCGACCCTCTGGACCGGACCATTGAGGAGGTTTGTTGTTATTTTTTGTTGTTTATTAATGATAAAGGAAGGTAAACATGTTGTTTGTGTTGTTCATCAGGTAATCCAGATGTGTTGTCATGGCATCACTTCATGCCAGCAGGAGGAGACAGACAGCCTCCACTTCAGCCTTCCCGTCTCCGTGGAAACACAGAGTGATAACTGGGACTCACCTGTACAGGTAAGAGTCAGTGAGGCTGTGTGGGAGGCGACCTTGTTGTTATTTATTCTAAAGAACCGTTCTGTGCAGGTGGTTTTACAGCGAGGACAAACCCTCGGGGACACACCTGTCCAGGTGAGTCAGATGGAGGAACGCGACCTCAACCATCTGATGGATGTTCAGGTGGACCTGGAGGACCAGGTGTACTCGTGCCAGCTTGACTCCGCCCTCCGTGGCGAGCGGCGAGAAGGGGGCGGGGCCAGGAAGGGCGAGGGGTTCTGGACTCTTCCGATAGAGGAGGTCTTGCCGACCCCGGCACATATCCCAGAATCCTTCAGGGGAAAGACCTGGGCCCAGATTGAACAGGAGGACGAGGAGAAGGTGAACAAACTGGTCCAACAGTTCAGACGGGAGAGATTCATCTGCTACTTCGACAGCGAGTCTCTGGCCAGGTAAGATACACACTCACCTGTACTGTTATATTTATATAAAGGTATAGACTCACCTGTACTGTTTTATCTGCTGTCAGGTATGGTAGGAGGAGCCAAAGCAAAAAGGGGCGTGGTGGGAAGAGGGAGGTGGAGTCAGACACTGGCATCCTGCCCTTATTGGACTGTGAAGAAGATGCGTACATCAGGAGGAGGAGGAGGCGGGGCTTCAGAGTGGCGTCCAGGTGTCAGGTGAGATGACGGGCAGTTTTCTGTATGTGAGTCGCTCTCTGTTGGTTCCTAAATATCACCTGTGTTTCTTCCTTCAGGTGGTCAAAGTCAGTCACAGCACTCAGACCGTCCGATTGGTCGTTCCAGCTGTCCGTCAGCCAGAAGCCCCTCCCACCAGCGTCCCTGCAGCCAATCAGGATGCAGCAGAGAGGACTCCTGATGTGCAGACATGGCGATGCCTGCCACCGTCTTACTCAAAAATCATCACGCCTCTTCAGCCTCGCACCTCTGTGGTCTACCTGCTCTGCTCCCCCTCAGGCCCCGCCTCCAGCGGCACACCTGCACCCAAACGCTGCAGGAAGAAGAGACGTCCGCTGGACCTGCAGGGGTTAAAGGTCAAATACAAACAACTTCCTGTGAGGTTCTACGACCCCAGCAGCAACCGCATCCTCAAGAACCCCCCCAAAGGCTTCCTGTGGCGCCGGGGCTCTGCCCCCTCCAGCCCGCCACCGCCATGCGTCCGTCAGCTGTTTCGAAGTCTGAGTCCAGACCTGAACACAGACAGACCGCTGGGGGAGGGGCCAGCAGAGTCCTCTAGGGTCAAAGGTCAGAGGTCATCAGACGCCACCTTCACCAACAGTTTCCTCCTGAGCACGCTCAGTAGAGTCTCAATCAGGGGGCGTGGCAGGACAACTCAAGCCCCGCCCCATACACCTAACAGCGGGTCAGAGCAGGGGAGGGGGGGGAGGAGGGAAAGGACACGCCCCCCATCCTCCACCAGGAGGACCAGGGCTCAGGCCACGCCCCCCCAGCCAAGGAGAGAAGGCCTGCGCCAGGCTGGACCCGGCAGGAAAGTCCCCGGCTCCACAGGCTCGCCTCACCCTCCCTCACCCCGCCGGGGGAGGACCCGGAGGGGGCGGGGCTGCGACAGGAGTCGAAGGTAGTGGGATACCTGTCCAGGTAGCAGCCTCATTTATAAATTCAGAAATAAAAGGTGCCTTCACTCGTCAGACAGAAGTCAGGACGATCGATGATCCATAAACATTGATCACATTAATAAAGTATCAATGTTAAGTATCAATAATGAGTAATGAGGTGGTTTTCAGTGTCAGTTTATAAACGAGGCTGCTGGACTTATATGGAAGTTTGTTGATGTCAATATTAAAATAAATTTTTTTTTTTACATTTTGTGTGTGCAACAAAAACTTAAATTTATAAATTTCTCCGTCATGATTTTAGTTTGTTTTCCGACATTTTGTTTTCATCATTCAACATCATTCAAATAAAAACAATCATTAAAAGATTTATTTTGTGCTGCAGCATAAACAATTTTAATAATTTTTGATGACTTTTGATTTAAACATTTTAATACATCAAGAAAATAAACATTTGTTTTTAAATATTATAAATCATGAGAATTAAATTTAAACATGCACACGAATGAAAGTGAAATAATGTTATTATAATGTTGGCAGCTGTATGTTTCCATAACACACCTGTCTGTCAGGTGAAGCAGCCTCTGGTACCTTTTGTTCAGTTGCTGTTTGTTGTTAATATCTTTTTATATCTTTACACTTTGTTTATCTAATTATGGGTGAGTTCATGTTGAATAAACAACTTTTATAACCTGATCTTCAGCGTGTGTCACTGTTTGTTCTCACAGCATCCACCAGGTGGTGTATCGAGTCCCCCACCTGGTCTGCAGCCTCCAGAAGCTCCGCCCTCTTCCTCTCACCTGAAACTAAATTAAAGGCATTGTACGGAGGAGTGTGGACTTCAGGTTTAAATGTAAAAAACAGCATTTACATGTAACCATAGTAACCGCCATGTAAACAACGGCGGCGTTCACTGACTGTAACCTAAGTAACCGTTTCCTTCATTTTCTATAAATGTAACACATTTATTCATGATAACTCACCTGTCTGTCTCTCTGTCCACCTGTCTGTCGCAGTCTTCAGTCTCTCCACAGTCTCCTGCAGCAGCTCCGCTGGACTACATATCCCACAATCCTTTTCTTCACACAGACAGGCGTCTTCTTCCTGTTGCTCCGCCTCCTCTGGGCCATCCTGCTGTCTGATTGGACGACAGCAAAAGCTGTCACTGGCCAACACCCCCCCTTCACAGTGGATGTCACATGACGGAGGTAGGTCCTGGTGCATTGTGGGAGATGGAGTTTGTTGTTCTTCCTCGCTCCACTCGTCCTCTGTCATCAGCACCACCTCCTCCTCATCTTCTGTATTTCTATCTGCATCAGAAGTTGGCAAACCGTTTTCTCTCTCAGTGTTCTCCATGTTCTCAGTGTTCTCCACTTTCTCAGTGTTCTCCACGTTCTCAGTGTTCTCCACGTTCTCAGTGTTCTCCATGTTCTTACTGACGCTGCTTTGTTGTGTGTTGTTGGCGTGTTGTTGAGCCTCCATCTTGTTCAGAGCCTGAAGAAGGAAAGATGAACAAATATTCAATTATTAATTTTTTGATATAAATATTTATATATTCATTGTATTTATTATTATTAATTGCAGACTTATTTACAACCTTGTTGAAGTCAGTGCTGTATATACAGGGCAGAGGTCAGTGCTGTATATACAGGGCAGAGGTCAGCCCAGGCACACACACTTCATTCCAACAAAAGCAGGGTCCCAATTAGACGGAGGTCTCCTTTAAAAGCCTCCAATAGAGGCCTGGCCTCACCTGTGTGAGCATTCCCTGCAGACTGAGGTTGTGTTCTCGCAGCGTTTCCATGGTAACTTCCATCTCAGAACACCTGTCCTCCAGGATGCCCTGCTCTGATTGGACGGTGAGCCGCCACGCCTGCAGCTGCTGCTCCAACAGCCTGAAGACAACCACAGAAGAAGATGATGAGGTAGAACTCCAGAATGTCTGTGACTGGTTGATTCTGCTCTCTCACCATTTGTCTCTCTGCAGGTTTCTGACTTCAGTGAGCAGAGCCGACGCCTTCACCTGTCGTCAACAACAACAACAACAACAACAACCACAACTGTTATATTGGTATAAAACACAGGTCAAACCTCTGAGGAAAGGTTACAGAGGTCAGAGGTCACCTGCTGAGCTGGTGTCTCCTCGTCAGTCTGCAGAGCTTTAGAGGAAAACGAGCAGGGCGGTTGCACTGAGGCATCATGGGAAACATCTCTGTTGGAGGTGGGACTGTGACTGACAGCTGAGGCAGCCAATTGTGCTGAGGGATCCGAGGGAGGCGGAGCACTGGGAGACAAAATCCTGATTAACGGGAGATTAACGGGACAAAGTTAACGAGGGTCACACCTGACTCACCTGTTCTGACTCTCTCCTGGCTCCGCCCACATCCTGTCAACCTCTCTCCGTGTGTATCGCCGTGGCAACAGGGCATTACGAGTGCTGTGCACTAACGAGGACAAAGACTCTCTCCAGGTGGGCTGACAGACACAAACTGAAAGTTAAAAAGTTAACCTGTCTGTAGCTATTAGTCTGTCTTACTACCTGCCTGTCTGTAGCTGTGGGTTATTACCTGTGTATAATTACCTGTTTTTACCTGTGTGCTGTTACCTGTGTGCTGTTACCTGTGTGTTGTTACCTGTGTGTTGTTACCTGTGTTGTTGTGTGTTGTTACCTGTGTGCAGAATTCAAGCACTGGATGGTGAGTTTTGTGTTTTCTCGTCTGTCTGTCGGTCAGGAAGCAGCTCTGACACACGTGGACGTTCACACACTTCATACAGCGATACCTGAACACACACACCTGACATAATCCAATCACTGGAGTCTAGTTAACTACAGTCTAGTTAACTATAGTAGAGGCTAGTTAATTGTAGTACAGTCTAGTTAAACCACAGAAGTAGAGTCTAGTTAAACTACAATAGAGGCTAGTTAACTATAGTAGAGTCTAGTTAAACCACAATAGAGTCTAGTTAACTATAGTAAAGTCTAGTTAAACCACAGTGGAGTCTAGTTAAACTACAGTAGAGTCTAGTTAACTAAAGTAGAGTCTAGTTAACTCTAGCAGAGTCTAGTTAAGCTGTAGTAGAGTAGTTAAACCACAGTAGAGTCTAGTTAAACCACAGTGGAGTCTAGTTAACTATAGTAGAGTCTAGTTAAACCACAGTAGAGTCTAGTTAAACCACAGTGGAGTCTAGTTAACTATAGTAGAGTCTAGTTAAACCACAGTGGAGTCTAGTTAACTATAGTAGAGGCTAGTTAACTATAGTAAAGTCTAGTTAAACCAGTGGAGTCTAGTTAACTATAGTAGAGGCTAGTTAATTGCAGTACAGTCTAGTTAAACCACAGTGGAGTCTAGTTAACTATAGTAGAGTCTAGTTAACTATAGTAAAGTCTAGTTAAACCACAGTGGAGTCTAGTTAACTATGGTAGAGTCTAGTTAAACCACAGTAGAGTCTAGTTTAACTACAGTAGAGTCTATTTAAACAACAGTAGAGTCTAGTTGAACCACAGTAGAGTCTAGTTAACTATAGTAGAGTCTAGTTAAACCACAGTGGAGTCTAGTTAACTATAGTAGAGGCTAGTTAATTGTAGTAATGTCTAGTTAAACCAGAGTGGAGTCTAGTTAACTATGGTAGAGGCTAGTTAACTATAGTAAAGTCTAGTTAAACCACAGTGGAGTCTAGTTAACTATGGTACAGTCTAGTTAAACCACAGTAGAATCTAGTTCAACTACAGTAGTCTTGTTAAACTACAGTAGAGTCTAGTTAACTATAGTAAAAGTCTAGTTAAACCACAGTGGAGTCTAGTTAACTATAGTAGAGTCATAAGTTAAACCACAGTGGAGTCTAGTTAACTATGGTAGAGGCTAGTTAACTATAGTAAAGTCTAGTTAAACCACAGTGGAGTCTAGTTAAACTACAGTGGAGTCTAGTTAACTATAGTAAAAGTCTAGTTAAACCACAGTAGAGTCTAGTTAACTATAGCAGAGTCTAGTTAAGCTATAGTAGAGTGTAGTTAAACCACAGTAGAGTCTAGTTAAACCACAGTGGAATCTAGTTAACTATAGTAAAGTCTAGTTAAACCACAGTGGAGTCTAGTTAACTATAGTAGAGTCTAGTTAAACCACAGTGGAGTCTAGTTAACTATGGTAGAGGCTAGTTTACTATAGTAAAGTCTAGTTAAACCACAGTGGAGTCTAGTTAAACTACAGTGGAGTCTAGTTAACTATAGTAAAGTCTAGTTAAACCACAGTAGAGTCTAGTTAAACAACAGTAGAGTCTAGTTAACTATTGTAGAGTCTAGTCAAACAACAGTAGAGTCTAGTTAAACCACAGTAGAGTCTAGTTAAACAACAGTAGAGTCTAGTTAAACAACAGTAGAGTCTAGTTAACTATAGCAGAGTCTAGTTAAGCTATAGCAGAGTCTAGTTAAGCTATAGTAGAGTGTAGTTAAACCACAGTAGAGTCTAGTTAAACCACAGTAGAGTCTAGTTAAACCACAGAAGATTCTAGTTAACAGTTAACTATAGTATAGTCTAGTTAAACCACAGTGGAGTCTAGTTAACTATAGTAGAGTCTAGTTAACTATAGTAAAGTCTAGTTAAACCAGTGGAGTCTAGTTAACTATAGTAGAGTCTAGTTAAACCACAGTGGAGTCTAGTTAACTATAGTAGAGTCTAGTTAAACCACAGAAGATTCTAGTTAACAGTTAACTATAGTATAGTCTAGTTAAACCACAGTGGAGTCTAGTTAACTATAGTAAAGTCTAGTTAAACCACAGTGGAGTCTAGTTAACTATAGTAGAGGCTAGTTAACTATAGTAAAGTATAGTTAAACCAGTGGAGGCTAGTTAATTGCAGTACAGTCTAGTTAAACCACAGAAGATTCCAGTTAACTATTGTAGAGTCTAGTCAAACAACAGTAGAGTCTAGTTAAACCACAGTAGAGTCTAGTTAAACAACAGTAGAGTCTAGTTAACTATAACAGAGTCTAGTTAAACCACAGTGGAGTCTAGTTAACTATAGTAGAGTCTATTTAACTATAGTAAAGTCTAGTTAAACCACAGTGGAGTCTAGTTAACTATAGTAAAGTCTAGTTAAACCACAGTAGAGTCCAGTTTAACTACAGTAGAGTATTTAAACAACAGTAGAGTATAGTTAAACCACAGTGGAGTCTAGTTAACTATAGTAAAGTCTAGTTAAACCACAGTGGAGTCTAGTTAACTATGGTAGAGGCTAGTTAACTATAGTAGAGGCTAGTTAATTGCAGTACAGTCTAGTTAAACCACAGAAGATTCCAGTTAACTATTGTATAGTCTAGTTAAACCACAGTGGAGTCTAGTTAAGCTATAGTAGAGTCTAGTTAACTATAGCAAAGTCTAGTTAAGCTATAGTAGAGTGTAGTTAAACCACTGTAGAGTCTAGTTAAACCACAGTGGAGTCTAGTTAACTATAGTAGAGTCTAGTTAAACAACAGTAGAGTGTAGTTAAACCACAGTAGAGTCTAGTTAACTATATTAGAGTCTAGTTAAACCAGTGGAGTCCAGTTAACTATAGTAGAGGCTAGTTAATTGTAGTACAGTCTAGTTAAACCACAGAAGATTCTAGTTAACTATAGTATAGTGTAGTTAAACCACAGTGGAGTCTAGTCAAACCACAGTAGAATCTAGGTAACTATAGTAGAGTCTAGTTAACTATAGTAGAGTCTAGTTAAACTATAGTAGAGTCTAGTTAAACTACAGTAGAGTCTAATTAAACCACAGTAGAGTCTAGTTAACTATAGTAAAGTCTAGTTAAACCACAGTAGAGTCTAGTTAAACTACAGTAGAGTCTAGTTAACTATAGTAGAGTTTAGTTAAACCAAAGTAGAGTCTTGTTGACTAGTGGTCTGTGTTGGCTCACCTGAGTCCGGTGATGGGGAAGGTCTTGCAGGTGTGGCAGCGGACGCTGTGACTGACGTTCTGACTGATGCACAGGCGATACAGAGTGGGTAACCACAGCAACAAGCGTGGCTCACTCTGCAGCCATGATAACACATGTTGTTCACTCGCCGTCGGGGTCAACACCTGTAAACACACGGAGTCAGCGTGTCGTCATGACAACCTCCAATCAGCTGCGGCCAGGGGTTCGTTGTTTTCTCACCCCGTTAAAACACGACTTCACCGCTGCCTCTATGCCACCGAACACACCTTCTTCCTGAACCGCCGCAGGAACCTGAACACACACACACACACACACACGTTAGAGGGAGGAGAGGGGCATGCTGGGAAATGTAGTTTGTACTGTTGTTACCTGGCTGAGGTCCTGCAGTAAAAACCTGAGTCCAGACCTGCTGACTGATCCTGAACTGTAGACAGCCACCAGAGCTGCAGATAGACAGGTACACAGTCAAAAAGACAGACAGACAGGTACTGACCTCTGTATTTGAGCAGCAGCCTTTCAGCACACAGACAGGTACACACAGACAGACAGACAGGTACTGACCTCTGTATTTGAGCAGCAGCGTTTCAGCACACAGAGCAATCAGAGCAGTTTGAAGAGAAGCAGCTGAAACACAACCAGCCTGAGTCCTGAAACATAAACACATAATTATACATAGACATTATTCAGGTACAGATTGTATATGTATTATTATTTATATATATTTTCAGGTACAGATTGTAAATATATATATATTCAGGTACTGATTGTATTTATATTCATATTTATATTTATATTTATATATGGGGCTGCTGTGGCTCAGAGGCAGAGCAGGTTGTCCCCCAATCGGAACGTTGGTGGCTCGATCCCCGGCTCCTCATGTCACATGTCGAAGTATCCCTAAGCAAGATACTGAACCCCAAAAGCTGTGCAGCGGTGTTCGAATGTGTATGAATGAGTTAGTTTCTGTTCGATGGACTTTACCATCACTGAGTGAATGTGGCACGTAGTATAAAAGTGCTTTGAGCGGTCGCAAGACGAGAAAGGCGCTATACAAGTACAGGTCAATTTACCATTTACTGTCAGTTTATGTTCTGATTTAAGTTGTTTATCTGTAAACACTGAGATTGGTCAGTGTTTATTTACAGTATGCTGGATGCAGCTGCTGTTGTGTTTCCTTGTTTGGCCTCATGGTGGCGCTGTTGTCTCACTCTATGTGACTGGTGTTACTACTAACATTAATAACATATCGCAGTAAGCAGCTAAATAGAATTCAGCCATTTTATTATTGGAACTCCTGCTTGTTTGAAAAGAACCGTTATTGTTTATCATTACTAATACATTCTGACTGACCTGTCGTACAGTCTGAACAGCAGACTGCACGTCTCCTCTGGAGCCTCCACAGTCACATGACCTGGCACTTCCTGTGACACATTGTGGTACATCCTGTTCACAATCTGGGTCACTTCCTCTCTGTTAAGCCCCACTTCGTGACACAGTTTAGCCCCGCCCACCAGGGAGCGGAGGGCCGCTGTGATGTGTCGAATGGACACGACGTCCACTGAGGGAAAACAAACACACTGCAGTCCACTCATGTGCAGTACTTATATAATAACAACAACAACAACAACAATCATAATAAAGGACTGACTGTGACAGAGTTTCTGCACAGACACAAGCTTCATGGACACTCTGTAGACGGATGGACGGATTTCATTGAGTCCTTCTGAAAGAACCGATAAATAAACATCAATAAAAGTATTTAACAGTATAAAACCAGCAGAACACAGTTTACCACCAGTAGAGAACCAGTAGAACCAGTATATAACAGTAGAACACAGTATTGGACCAGTATAGAACCAGTAGAACACAGTATTGGATCAGTATAGAACCAGTAGAGAGCAGTATAGAACCAGTAGAACCAGTAAAACACAGTATTGGACCAATAGAACCAGTATAGAACCAGTAGAACACAGTATTGGACCAATACAACCAGTATAGAACCAGTAGAACAAAGTATTGAACCAGTATAGAACCAGTTTAGAACCACTAGAACAAAGTATTGAACCAGTATAGAACCAGTAGAACACAGTATTGGACCAAAACAACCAGTATAGAACCAGTAGAACACAGTATTGGACCAACAGAACCAGTAAAGAACCAGTAGAACCAGTATAGAACCACTAGAACAAAGTATTGAACCAGTATAGAACCAGTATAGAATCAGTAGAACACAGTATTGAACCAGTATAGAATCAGTAGAACACAGTATTGAACCAGCATAGAACCAGTAGACCCAGTATAGAATCAGTAGAACACAGTATTGAACCAGCATAGAACCAGTATAGAACCAGCAGACCCAGTATAGAATCAGTAGAACACAGTATTGAACCAGTAGAACAAAGTATTGAACCAGTATAGAACCAGTATAGAACCAGTATAGAATCAGTAGAACACAGTATTGAACCAGTATAGAACCAGTATAGAACCAGTATAGAATCAGTAGAACACAGTATTGAACCAGTATAGAACCAGTAGAGAGCAGTTTACCGATGCTGTCCAGATCCATGATGATTTCGGGTGACGTCGGTCTAAAAACACAAACTGAACAAAACAAATATGTTTATTAATCAGAACAAATGATCAATAATAATAGTAATAAAGATATATATATTGATATCAACAGAAACAGACAAAATATTGATAAACAGAAACAGTCAATATATTGATATCAACAGAAACAGTCAAAATATTGATATCAGAAACAGTCAATATATTGATAAACAGAAACAGTCAATATATTGATAAACAGAAACAGTCAAAATATTGATATCAGAAACAGTCAATATATTGATAAACAGAAAAAAACAATATATTGATATCAATAGAAACAGTCAATATATTGATATCAACAGAAACAGTAAATATATTGATAAACAGAAACAGTCAATGTATTGATATCAACAGAAACAGTCAATATATTGATTAACAGAAACAATCAATATTTCAATCAATCAATAGAAACACAAACAGACTCACCGGCTTCCTCCTCTGTTGGACTTTAAACTGATCAACTGCAGCTGCTAAATTATTGATGAAGCTTACTGCTTCTCACCTGTCAGCTCCACTCACCTGCTGTCTGCGGACCAATCAGCAGCAGGCAGAGTGCTGACATCACTGTCACTGAGCTGAGGTCTGTTTAAAGAACAAAAACATCATGAGAGAGAGAAACCTCACATTGTGACACTTGTTATTGTTTATATTAAATATAATGATTATTAATGAAATATTAATGATTATGCTCATTGACCTTTGACCTCTGCCAGGAGATGGGCTGAATCTTACTGATTTCTTGGTTCATGGTTGCAGTTTGTGTTTACTGTGTTTTCGATGATGATGATGATGATGATGATGATGCTGATCATCCACTCTTCAGTCCTGTTTCTGTTTCAGGAAGCTGAGCGAGCGGCTGATCTGAATGAATGTTTAATGAGCATGGTGTGATGATAAGTGTTTGAATGCGGCTGCTGTGCTGGAGCTGTGAACTCTCTGTGTGTGTTGGCTGCTGACCTCCTCTGCTCTTTGTTTGGGACTGAACTGAAGCGGATTGTCTCTGGCTCTGAGCTCTCTTTGTTTCTGGGTCGTTCAAGGACAAAACAACAGGAGCTTTTCTTCTTCTGCACTGAGATAAACGCTAAAACACACAGAGCCTGTCATCTCCCACCTTCATCACATCATCACATCATCACCAGGCTGTGGGGATACTTGGAACCACACTAACAGGCTACAGTCAGCTGTATTCTCAGCTAAATGCTAATATCACCAAGCTAACAAAGTGCAGCTGAGGCTGATGGGAGTCTGTAGTTCTGCAGGTATTTGCTCATGAACCAAAGTGTTGGACAGATTCAAATGTTGACCTGATGGTGGCGCTAGAGGGAAAGTCAGAGGATCAATAAAGTTATTACAATTCATCCTGAATGTCTGAACCACATTTCATCACAATCCATCCAATAGTTGTTGAGATATTTCAGTATTCCTGTCAAAGTATCAAAGGAATCCAGACTACTGATACATCCACGTGAGACGAGTGTCGATGTGTCTGTGGATAAATGTGTAGTTCAATGTCCATGGGACACTCCAGACCCTCAGCCAGAGAAAACAAGTCTCTAAAGTTCAGCAATGATACAAAGTTTCATTCTTTATCCTTAAAAGGAAATACTCAGAGTACCGTCAGATGAACCTTTAGATCCTTCATTCAGACACAGAAGAAAAGTAGGAACAATATCTAAACGTGAATATAGAATAATTACAATAATACAAAATACAAAAGAGATTAAATGTAATTATTTCAGGTCAGCATAGAAAACAAAATCTATCAGTGGTAGACCGACCAAGGGTTTATGATTCAGCCACAGACAAACGCAAGAGGATGCAAACGACCACAAAGAGACTTAAAACCAACACAGGGAGACTAACAACCTCAATTAATCGGGTACAGTTGAGTCAAGATCGTTCACGTATCAGTTGAGTCAAGATCGTTCAGGTACAGTTGAATCAAGATCGTTCAGGTACAGTTGAATCAAGATCGTTCAGGTACAGTTGAGTCAAGATCGTTCAGGTACAGTTGAATCAAGATCGTTCAGGTACAGTTGAATCAAGATCGTTCAGGTACAGTTGAATCAAGATCGTTCAGGTACAGTTGAATCAAGATCGTTCAGGTACAGTTGAGTCAAGATCGTTCAGGTACAGTTGAATCAAGATCATTCAGGTACAGTTGAATCAAGATCGTTCAGGTACAGTTGAGTCAAGATCCCACAGTATTTGGAATTATAATCATAGTATTCAACACCCTCTGATCTCATGTTAATTCAGAACGCTGCAGCACGAGTACTGACAGGAACTACAAAAAGAGATCACATCTCTCCTGTACTAGCTACTCTGCATTGGCTCCCTGTAAAATGTAGAATAGAATTTAAAATCCTCCTCCTCACCTATAAAGCTCTTCATGGTCAGGCCCCTTCATATCTTAAAGAGCTCATAGTACCCTATTACCCCACTAGAACACTACGTTCTCTGAATGCTGGGCTACTTGTGGTTCCTATAGTCTCTAAAAGTAGAACAGGAGCCAGAGCCTTCAGTTACCAAGCTCCTCTCCTGTGGAACCAGCTTAACATGCATTCCATTAATGCATGTTACTAACTTCACTTCTTCCCCGGAGTTCTTGTGCTTTCTCGTCTCGCAGGTTCTTATCGATATCGATATGACATTGTCCCCGTGCACGGGCGCCGCCAAACGTCTAAGCCACGCCCCCCAGAATCAGCCCCCAAGACACGTAAGGCGCACATGTACGAAAATTGCTACGCATGTGTATCATGATAAAAGAAGCAGAAAAGCCTCTTGGACCCATGCCCCAAAACCCACAGGATATCTGCAATTTCAATTTTTAATTTTCATCATTTTGTGGTCATTTTTTACTTTTTGGGCTTGTATTTGAACGAACTCGTCCTAGGGAATTTCTGGGATCTGCTTCAAAATTGGTCAGTACAGTCACAAAATGGTGCTGAATGAACGCTGTTCATTTTTTGACTATACGTTGAAGGGCGTGTCCGTGGCGTGCCGTCAAAGTTGGCCATTTTGAACGAATGTCACACTGTGATGTCATTTTTGGCATTTCAGGGCTTCTATTTTAACTAACTCCTCCTACAGGTTCTATTGGATCTACTTCAAAATTGGTCAGTGCAGTCAGTTTTTTTCGTCCAACATTGTGCCCGTGGCGTCCCGTGGCATCCAATTTCAAACCTTCGCCATGAAAGAGGGATTCATCATAACTTCTGCGTACATGATCCGACTGCAACGAAACTTCACATGTTTGATAAGAGTCCCGCCCTGAACACGTCTACATGACAATATTCAGTAAAAGTGAGAGCGCCACCTAGTGGTGAAAGGAAGTGTCATTTTTTTATACTTTCATGTTCTACTCCTAGCAGGATGATCAGATCCAGCTGAAATTTACTTATGAAATGCAAAACACATTGTTGATGATATGTGATGAATGTGGTGAGTGGGCATGTCTGTGGGGTGGCGGGAAGTTTTGATGTACTGCCACAAAACACGAATTCGCTATAACTTGAGTGTACATTGTCCAATCGGCTCCAAACTTCACATGTCTGATAAGAGTCCCGCCCTGAACACGTCTACATGACAATATTCAGACATAATGATAGCGCCACCTACTGGCAACAGGAAGCAACCGCTGCATGGCCATTTTGAGCTGATTTACGTGAGATTTTCATGTCGTGGTCCGCACGTGTTACGCCGGCACGTGACGCGGCCGCAGCACGCCCCGAGTTGCGTGGAGTGCGAGGTCCTGTCCATCGCTGCTTGCAGCTTTAAATATTATTATTATTATTATTATTATTACTACAGTTACTATTATTACTATTGTCACTGCTCATTGTCCCCCATCGTTGCTGTTGTCGTCGTCATCATCTTCTTCATGTTCATCATCATCGTCACTACTATTAGTGTAGTTGTTGCTGTGCACCTGTCTGTCTGTCTGTCTCTCTGTGTCTCTCTCTCTCTCTCTCTCTCTGTCTCTCTGTCCCACCCACCTAGAGCCGAAGGGTCTGTCCTAGGCTTCTGCCTCTTAAAAGGCAGTTTTCCCTTGCCCCCCTTACAAAAGGTCTTGCTCATGGTGGTACTGTTGGGTCTCTGTAATTAATGTTTTAAAGAGTTCGGTCTAGACCTGCTCTATTTGAAAAGTGTCCTGAGATAACTTCTGTTATAAATTGGCGCTATACAAATAAAATTGAACTGAATTGAATTGAATGTTTAGTGTCGTCTAACATTCAAAATTATTAAAATAAAAACAAGAAACAATGAAATGATTATTGTAATTATTTTCCAGCATGCATCATCAGGCTCCTCCCAGTGGGTGTGGCCTCTTCAGCTCCACTCAGCTGTCAGTCAGAGACAGTGTCCCCACTCTGTCTCTTCTCTCCTCAAAAACCACAACAAAAGTACTGCTGAGCTGGAGTATTACTGTGACTGCTGCTGGGTGAGTTATTCTGCCCTGAACAGACCTTCTGTTGCTCAGTGGAACAACTGTTGACTGTTTCTGTGCGGCTGTGCACTGATTCCAGATGAGTGTGTGAGCTGTGCTGAGGTGAAAATGAAGCGCTCTCTGGGGATCTGTCTGGTGATCTGCTCCGCTCTGATCGGACTCGGTACGTTTGATTCTATATGTTATTTCGCTCTAACTGATCCCACTGAACCTATTTAATACTTTTATTGATTGTTTACTGATCACCAATAAAATACCATACAGATACTCATTGTGTGTCACTGGTCAGTAATCAATATTCTATGGACTCAGATTTATGTGAATATAACAAAACTTATTAAATATCACTAAGTTTTATATATCAAAGATATTACGTAATAGAAATTGACATAAAATAAAACTCTAATTTCAAAGTCAACAATCATTAATTGGTCTTCTGTTGTTTTATAATCCAGATCAGACTTTCACTGTTTGATCATATCAACATAAATCTGATTCCCTAATAATATTGTTTCCATTTAATCCTAAAATTATAAGTTGTGATAAGAATTTAGGTTCCTCTGACCCAGAAGATGATTGATCCCTCAGTCCCTGTTGGTACAAAGAGACATTTGGGGCCAGAAAAGAAAAACAAACTCTGCCTGGAGCTGTAAAACATATTGGAGCTTTATAATGCAAATACCTCGCTGCAGATTGGAACAAACGTTGGTTAAAGAAAACTAATCTGTCCATGCACTGTTCTCTATTTTGATATTTGTTTGTTGGATTTGGACCCATAGCTCGCCTAGTTAGGGAGACCCAGAAATTCATTGCAACTGAGGTTCAACAGAATAAAGAGGATAATTTCAGTTACCCAGATGCTTTTTATTTGGAGTGTAATAATGCGACAGTAATAATAATAATGGTAATTCATTTCCATATAGTAGTTTGTGAAAACCACAGGGAGCCTACCCCTGGCCTAAATCCCAACCCCTCCAGAACCGACTGGAACCCGTTCTGAGTTTAACCCGTAACCTGAAGTCATTCAAGACTCTAAATCTTTTGTCACTTTCGGATGAAATGTGTTTCAGGATCAGCCATTCGGTGTTACAGCTGTAAAGACTACACCGCCAGCTGCTCCAAACAACGAGACTGTAGCTACGACGACGCCTGTCTCACACTCAATGAGAGAGGTACCTATACCTGCATTTGTACTTCTTCCTGTACGGCAACCATAGAGACTACTGCCAAACACTTCCTGTTCACAGCTTCCATTAGCTTCCATTAGCTTTAAACTCTTCAGTGCTTCTACTGAGATTCCACTGTTTCTATTGTTCTGCTGTTTGCTGTGCAGGGGGGATGACGTACCGTCAGTGTCTGAAGTACTCAGACTGTGAGTACGGCCGACTGTCCCAGATGTTCCCCCAGGTAACAACCACTCTACCTGCCGTCCTAACGATAAAAGATATAAGGACATACAGCAGGATAGTATCTTGAGGAGATAATATCCTGATGTATGCCCATCCAGTTAAAGGAGAAAAGTCCTCAGACAACGACAGACAAACAAATTACTAATGAGTACGAGTTGAGCTTTAGATTCCTTTATGATGTAAACAACCATAAGGATGAGTTTTGTCATGTGATCAGATAAACTATATATAAAACAACTGCATGCTCATCCTGAGCAACTCAGTCTGTGGAGCCTCAAGCCCTATGAGCTGTCAATCACAAGGTAGCCCCGCCCTAAACCATACCATGCTTTATGGTCTGTTTTACCCTAAATGGGACCATCAGTTACTAAATGAACATCAAGCTTTATGGAAGAAGACTGAAACCAGTGACTGAGACAAGAAACTCATCAGGAAACTGTTTACTCATTCTCCATTAGCGTGAATGGGATCAGTTTATATTGCAGCCAGTGGAGCTCCCCCTGCTGGTCCTCACAGAGAATGTAGGTTTATATAGTGTATACAATATATATAATGTACGGAATCTATGTATTTATATAATACACAGAATCTATATTTATATAAGGTAAAGAATCTATATATTTACATAATGTACAGTATCTATATATTTATATAATGTATAGAATCTATATATTTATATAATATACAGAATCTGTATATTTATATAATGTACAGAATCTGTATATTTATATAATGTACAGAATCTGTATATTTATATAATGTACAGAATATATATATTTATATAATATACAGAATCTGTATATTTATATAATGTACAGAATCTGCATATTTATATAATACACAGAATCTATATTTATATAAGGTAAAGAATATATATATTTATATAATGTACAGTATATATTATTTATATAAATACTGTCATTGTATAAATATAAAGACACTGTCATTAATCCTGACAGATATAAACAAGAAATTAGTTCAGCTACGTTGACGATTATTAATAACAATACAAATCAATATATGGGCTCAGTCTCAGCAGGTGAGAGATAAGATCTGTCCCGCTGGACTCAATATATAACAATATATATATATATATATATAATATATATATTTAATGATATATAATGTGTGACAGATCTTACTCATTTATGCTTAATAAACTGTATTTCATTTCCACAAGTGATTAATTCATGAATTTGAGGCGTCAATATGGAGGAAGGAAGGAGCCTCTGTGATGACGTGTTGTTCAACCTGATCAATAACTGTATTGATAATTTCCAGGTTTCCAGTTTTACCTTCAAGTGCTGCAACTCTGACCTGTGTAACTCCGCCCCATCCTCCACAGCGACCTCTGTGATTGGTCTGCTAGCCTCGGTGGCCGTCATGTGGTGGTGCATCCATTGATGCTGCTCTGTAGTGCCGCCCTGTGGCTGTAAACAATAACAACAGCAGGTTGAGCTTCTCTAACGCATTCATTCACCAACACTTTACTCAGTGTAGAAACACGAAGGCTTCTTCACCTTTTCTTTGTTTTTAAAGAACATGAACACATTATTTTACAGGTCCAGTAGTTTATCAGTAATAAATCTATAAAGTTTCCTGGACAGAACGATCACACACATTTATGTTTTCCTGTCTGTATTAGAGTCTCTTCATGACTTTTATTGTTATTGTCAGAATAAGTTGATAATAAATGTTTGTTTTTATCAGATTTAGAAAGGAACGAAATGAGTAAAATCATTTAAAGCCACATCAAGAATACTTTATTTACAGAAACTCTATTATTGTATAATTTAAACTACACAGAAAACATGTTTATTCTGTTTTTATTTACAGGAAACTGCAGCTTTAACTCCAGACCTTTCAAAATAAAGTGTTAAAAATTATGCGAAGCTGCTTCGCTCTTTAACTCAACAGCTTCACAACAATGTATGTAAATGAACATTAAATCAATAAATGGTGACCAACTGGAAACATACGGATTCTTTCTGATTGATTGATTGATTGATTAATTACAGTGTAGTGTTTATTTTTATTTTTTTATTTTTTACAGTTTAGTTATATATAATATATTTCAATTCAATTCACTGTTATTTGTATAGTGCCAATTCATAACAGCTTTTCAAATAGAGCAGGTCTAGACCGAACTCTTTATAACATTATTTACAGAGACCCAACAGTACCACCATGAGCAAGACCTTGGAGACAAGGGCAAGGAAACACTGCCTGTTAAAAGGCAGAAACCTAGGACAGATCCTCCGGCTCTAGGTGGGTGGTCGTCTGTCTCGACCAGTTGGGGTGAGAGAGAGAGAGAGAGAGAGAGAGACAGACAGACAGACAGACAGACAGACAGACAGACAGGTGCACAGTAACAACAGTATTGGCAATGGCAATCTAGCAGGACCATGGCAGGAGGCTCCACCAGGATCGATAAGAACCTGCGAGACGAGAAAGCACAAGAACTCCGGGGAAGAAGTGAAGTTAGTAACATGCATTAATGGAATGCATGTTCCAAAGCTGGTTCCACAGGAGAGGAGCTTGGTAACTGAAGGCTCTGGCTCCTGTTCTACTTTTAGAGACTATAGGAACCACAAGTAGCCCAGCATTCAGAGAACGTAGTGTTCTAGAGGGTTAATAGGGTACTATGAGCTCTTTAAGATATGAAGGGGCCTGACCATGAAGAGCTTTATAGGTGAGGAGGAGGATTTTAAATTCAATTCTACATTTTACAGGGAGCCAATGCAGAGAAGCTAGTACAGGAGAGATGTGATCTCTTTTTCTAGTTCCTGTCAGTACTCGTGCTGCAGCGTTCTGAATTAATTGGAGCGTTTTAATGGACTTATTGGGGCAACCTGATAATAAAGAGTTGCAGTAATCCAGCCTTGACATATAAACATATATAAACATTGTCTCTGGTATTTAAATTATTATAAATGTATTTATATAAACATATATAAACATTGTCTCTGGTATTTAAATTATTAATGTATTTATATAAACATATATAAACATTGTGTCTGTTATTTAAATTATTAATGTATTTATATAAACATATATAAACATTGTCTCTGTTATTTAAATTATTAATGTATTTATATAAACATATATAAACATTGTCTCTGTTATTTAAATTATTAATGTATTTATATAAACATATATAAACATTGTCTCTGTTATTTAAATTATTAATGTATTTATATAAACATATATAAACATTGTCTCTGTTATTTAAATTATTAATGTATTTATATAAACATATATAAACATTGTGTCTGTTATTTAAATTATTATTAATGTATTTATATAAACATATATAAACATTGTCTCTGTTATTTAAATTATTAATGTATTTATATAAACATATATAAACATTGTGTCTGTTATTTAAATTATTATTAATGTATTTATATAAACATATATAAACATTGTGTCTGTTATTTAAATTATTATTAATGTATTTATATAAACATATATAAACATTGTCTCTGTTATTTAAATTATTAATGTATTTATATAAACATATATAAACATTGTGTCGCCGAGAACATCCGGGAACTATCTGACGGATACGTGAGTCACGTGACGCTCAAGCGGTTTGAACGTCAGTTGTTGAGACTGTTAAATTAATGGCTCTGGATCTGGTCCAACATAGTCCGGATTCCTGGGAGGAGTCAGCTGTACAGTACTTCGAGGACAGGAACTGAGGAAACCCACGTTAAATCCAGACCGTAAACCAGACCCGGACCCTGAGACCTGGCGCTGCCCGCCGGAAGGAGCCGATTTACGGACAATATTTGATCAGGTGTGTGTGTGTGTGTGTGTGTGTGTGTGTGTGTGTGTGTGTGTGTGTCCCGCGGAGGGCGGGACGGAAGCCCAGAGGATCCCTGTTAATACAGCGTTGTGCTTCCTGTGCTTTAGGTTGCTGTATAAATATATATATAAATATATATAAAGTAAAAATGTTGTTGTTCACTAAAGCCCGTTTTAGTCCGTGTTCCGGTGTATGACCATATTTGGTAGTGGCTGTGTTACTTTGGTGATTCCCACAGGAAGCGGACTGACTGATAATCACGTGGTTAACGCCCTGCACTGTTTGTGAGTCACCTCCTCAGCCAGAGGATCAATAACTAGTTAGTCTGGAGCTAAATCAGCTTCTAATGTAATAACCAACTACCTCCGGGCAGAGGTCTGTAGTCTGGGTGGGGGTCTGTAGTCTGGGAGCGGGTCTGTAGTCGGGGTGGGGGTCTGTAGTCTGGGCGGAGGTCTGTAGTCTGGGTGGGAGTCTGTAGTTTGGGAGCGGGTCTGTAGTCTGGGTGGGGGTCTGTAGTCTGGGTGGGGGTCTGTAGTCTGGGAGCGGGTCTGTAGTCGGGGTGGGGGTCTGTAGTCTGGGCGGGGGACTATAGTCTGGGTGGGAGTCTGTAGTTTGGGAGCGGGTCTGTAGTCTGGGTGGGAGTCTGTAGTCTGGGCGGGGGACTATAGTCTGGGTGGGGGTCTGTAGTTTGGGAGCGGGTCTGTAGTCTGGGTGGGGGTCTGTAGTTTGGGCGGGGGACTATAGTCTGGGCGGAGGTCTGTAGTCTGGGTGGGAGTCTGTAGTTTGGGAGCGGGTCTGTAGTCTGGGTGGGGGTCTGTAGTCTGGGTGGGGGTCTGTAGTCTGGGAGCGGGTCTGTAGTCTGGGTGGGGGTCTGTAGTTTGGGAGCGGGTCTGTAGTCTGGGTGGGGGTCTATAGTTTGGGAGCGGGTCTGTTGTCTGGGTGGGGGACTATAGTCTGGGCGGAGGTCTGTAGTCTGGGATCGGGTCTGTTGTCTGGGTTTTTTATTATATATTAGTGTATATTATAATAATAATAATAATAATAATAACAACAATGTGTAATAATTATTATATATAACAGTGTATATAATAATAATAATAATAATAATGTGTAATAATTATTGTATATAACAGTGTATATAATAATAATAATAATAATAATAATAATAATGTGTAATAATTATTGTATATAACAGTGTATATAATAATAATAATAATAATAATAATGTGTAATAATTATTGTATATAACAGTGTATATAATAATAATAATAATAATAATAATAATGTGTAATAATTATTGTATATAATAATAATAATAATAATAATAATAATAATGTGTAATAATTATTATATATAACAGTGTATATAATAATAATAATAATAATAATAATAATAATAATGTGTAATAATTATTATATATAACAGTGTATATAATAATAATAATAATAATAATAATAATAATAATAATGTGTAATAATTATTATATATAACAGTGTATATAATAATAATAATAATAATAATAATAATAATAATAATAATGTGTAATAATTATTGTATATAACAGTGTATATAATAATAATAATAATAATAATAATGTGTAATAATTATTGTATATAACAGTGTATATAATAATAATAATAATAATAATAATAATGTGTAATAATTATTGTATATAACAGTGTATAATAATAATAATAATAATAATAATAATAATGTGTAATAATTATTATATATACTAGTGCAGTGCCCGTAGGAAGTATGTATTGCTATAGAAAAGTGTGAGGTTAAGTAGCTTTTTCATTGATGGCAAATGAGGTTGTGTTTGAAGGTGGGACGGCAGGGACATTTAGGACACATTATTTACTCCTGTAATATAGGCCAGCATACATCAGAGAGAGAGAGAGAGAGAGAGAGAGAGAGAGAGAGATTTGGGGATCCAGCGCATATTCTCCGCACCCTCCTCTGTGTGAAAGACTCAGATGCGGCGAGGGGGGAAATGTCGCTCTGTCCCTGATCCTCCTCTGGAGGTAGTATCAGGGACGCATTATTTTTGAACCGCCTACAGTGTGAACGGATAAGCTGACGGCGCGGAGCGAGGGCGTGTCGGTCAGACAGTCTGATAACTGCACAGGTCTCTCACTCAACTTAATAAAGAGAAATGTCCCACAAAGCAACGTTACAGGACCAAACAACAGTAACGTAGTAACTGTAACTGTCTTTGGAAACTTATATGAGGGGAAAAAAATACCACAGCTGTACGTGGAGAAGCGTCTGTCCTCCTGTCTGTCCTCCTGTCTGTCCTCCTGTCTGTCCTACCGACTCTTCGTCACATTTCTGCCCGCAAAACAGCGTCTGTCACCGGAGAAAAACTCAGAGTGTTAAAACATTCTCCGTCTTGCGGGTGAGGGAGTCAGTTTACTGCTGGTGATTATGTATAATTATGTAATTTAGAGTGAAAAACGTAACTTCGTCACTTTCCAGGATGTTTGGTGGGTCAGGATCTCAATCACTACACATTATAACAGCATCCATATGATTATAAAGTGTCCGCGGGTTTAGTTTGAAGGGGGGATACAACTGGGAAACACCTTCAACACGGGCTCTGCAGTGATTGGCTCTGGTGCGCACGTGGCTATGGTGGCTATCGTTGGCAACGCTAGCGGAATTCAGAAATAATTTATGAAATAATTTATTAACGGTATCTTTGTAGTCCAAACAAAGCCGACGATGCACACCCTTAAACCACACAGCAGCCATGTGGAAACTCTCAGGTCAGTCTGATGATGACGTATATTACAGTGTATATAATAATAATAATAATGTGTACTAACCTGCTGCTGGGTGAGTTATTCTGCCCCGAACAGACCTTCGGTTTCTCAGTGGAACAACTGTTCACTGTTTCTGTGCGGCTGTGCACTGATTCCAGATGAGCTGTGCTGAGGGGAAAATGAAGCGCTCCCTGGGGATCTGTCTGGTGATCTGCTCCGCTCTGATCGGACTCGGTACGTTTGATTCTCTGTTATTTCTCTCTAACTGATCCCACTGAACCTATTTAATACTTTTATTGATTGTTTACTGATCACCAATAAAATACCATACTCATTGTGTGTCACTGGTCAGTAATCAATATTCTATGGAATCAATCATTATCAGTAAATATAATTAAACTTATATTAAATAACATCCTGATCATGATATTGATCAGTTTATTGACAGCTGATTAGTGAGAACGTTCACTGTACTTGGACCGACTGGATCCGGTTCTGAACTGGACTCCGAACCAGACTCCGAACCAGACTCCGAACTAGACTCCGAACCAGACTCCGAACTAGACTCCGAACTAGACTCCGAACCAGACTCCGAAGCAGACTCCGAACCAGACTCCGAAGCAGACTCCGAATTAGACTCTGAACCAGACTCCGAACCAGTTGATATGTGTTTCAGGATCCGCCCTGCAGTGTTACAGCTGTCAGGGTCCAACCAGCTGCACCACTCAACAACAGTGTGGCTCCGGAGAGGACGCCTGTCTCAAACTCACCGATACAGGTACCACTTCCTGTTTACAGCTTCCTGTTAGCTTTAATCTCCTACTGACATTCTACTGACATTCTACTGACGTTCTCCTGTTTACTGTTTGTTCAGCAGGTAGAAAGACTTACCGACAGTGTCTGAAGTACTCAGAATGCAACTTGAACAGCCTGCCTGGGAAGTTCCCCGAGGTAACAACAGCTCCACCTTCCTATATATATATATATATATATATATATATATATATATATATATAATTTATATTTATAAACTGTAAATAAATAAATACATATTTATATTTATATACAGTGTATATATATTTATATACATACATGTATACACACATAGAAATAAGACTATTAGATGCAACTTATAAAGTGTTTTTAATGAATTTGAGGCTACAATATGGAGGAAGGAAGGAGCCTCTGTGATGACGTGTTGTTCAACCTGATCAATAACTGTATTGATCATTTTCAGGTTTCCAAGTTTACCTTCAACTGCTGCACCTCGAACCTGTGTAACTCCGCCCCCTCCTCCACAGCGAGCTCTGTGATTGGTCTGCTGGCCTCGGTGGCCGTCATGTGGTGGTGCATCCACTGATGCTGCTCTGTAGCGCCGCCTTGTGGCTGTAAAGAAAAACAGCAGCAATAATTATATTGTTTACTACACAAAAAACATGTTTATTCTCTTTTTATTTACAGGAAACTGCAGCTTAATGGCTGATCTTTCAAAATAAAGTGTTAAAATTGAAGCTGTTTCGCTCTTTAACTCAATAATTTACTACATTACAACATTTAATAAATGGTGACCCACTGGAAACTGATTGATTGAATATTGATGATTGGAAATGCTTGAAATTCTGTTGCAGGAGGAATATGTCATTAAAATACAACTTTATTTAAAATTAAATAAGTAAACATTCTGCTACTTACAATAAATAATAAATGTTTGTAAATGTTTCAAAGATTAAAACTGACCTTTAAATAAAAGACAAACATCTTCAGCACCCAACCTCAGGTTTCATTATTTATAGTATATATGATTATAGTGTGACTGTTTTTTACAGTGTAATGTTGTTTTTACAGTGTAGTGCAGACATATTTTTTTACAGTGTAAAGTATAATATATATATTTTTTAGAATGTAAAGTGTAATATATAGATATGTTTTACAGTGTAAAGTGATATATATCTTAAAGTGTAATATATATATATTTTAAAGAGTAATATATATTTGTTCTACAGTGTAGTGTAATATATATATATTTTCTATAGTGTAAAGTGCAATATATATTTTTTACAGTGTAAAGTGCAATATATATTTTTTACAGTGTAAAGTGTAATATATATAAAAAAAAATTTACAGTGTAAAGTGCAATATATATTTTTAACAGAGTAAAGTGTAATATATATTAATTTTTTTTACAGTGTAAAGTGCAATATATATTTTTTACAGTGTAAAGTGCAATATATATTTTTTACAGTGTAAATTGTAATATATATTAATTTTTTTACAGTGTAAAGTGCAATATATATTTTTTACAGTGTAAAGTGTAATATATATTAATTTTTTTTACAGTGTAAAGTGCAATATATATTTTTAACAGTGTAAAGTGTAATATATATTAATTTTTTTTACAGTGTAAAGTGCAATATATATTTTTTACAGTGTAAAGTGTAATATATATTAATTTTTTTTACAGTGTAAAGTGCGCCTCAATGCTCAGCTCTTCCGGGTCTGTGATGTCACACTTTGAGTCATGTTTTCGGCAATATACAGGAAACTGACAAATATATTTTCAAAATAAAAGCACCATAGTTGATTTCATGGACATATGAGCTCTTTTATTGTCTTAATTCTGATGTTTCTGGTTCTGTTACTCTGTAATAATATTTCTGTTCTTTTAATTATTCAGTTTATTCATTATTATTCATTTTAGATCATTTATTGTTTGACGTTTTCCTGTTTGTCTTTATCTGTAATATTATTATTATAACGTAAATGATCATTATAATGTGTAAATACATTATTATTACAATGTAGATAATTATGTTAATATTATTAATTATAATAATGTTAATATACTGTGGTCTGAGGTTTACTCTTTGTTTTATAACATCTTTACATTTTTGTTAAAACGTTTAAAACGTGATGTTCGCTGAGTGAGTCGGTGCTTTTATTGTGAAAGCTCACAGCGGAAGTGGTGTGCGCGTTGTTTGTAGCTGACAGAAGAAGTCGCAGGTTGCTCGCGACAGGATGAAACTAATCTAAAATCTAAAAGAAAAGAAGAAGACGCTGCTGCTGCTGACGTCATCATGGCTCTGAAGGTAAGACAGGTGAACTATCTGTGACGGTCGGTGACCTTTGACCTCTCACCTGCCGCCGCTGATCGATCGCATCATCATCAGACTCGCTGCCGGTTCGTGCAGAATTCCATAGAGAAAAGAGTGAAGTCAAACAGGCGGTAAACGGTCCGGTTGAAGCTGAAAAATAATTATTAGAATATTATTAACGCGGCCGAATATTTCTGTAGGAAGATTAAAAAGTTTCTCTTCAAAGACAAACAGCAGAAAAAGGAAATAAACTGGCTGTATATGAATATAAACATCTACAAACAACATCTCAAATCCTAATGGAGTCTGGTAAGCACCATGAAGCTGTCAAATGAAAGAAAATACCGAAATATTGTTGGTCACTCACAGTTTTATTGACATATTAATAAAGTATTTATCTTTTGGGATGGATTTCCTAAAGAAAGAAGCTAATTTCACAATAAAATGTGTTTAAATATTGAAATATTTCTTAGACTTAGACTTCTCTTTATTGATCCCTTTGGGATGACTCCCGCAAGGAAATTGGATTTCCAGCAGCTTACAAGAACACTTGTATAGAAAATAGAAGAGGTATAAAAAAATACAGTATAAAAAAAATACAGTATAAGATAAACAATAAACTCATAGCTAAATATAGATAGAAAATAGATAGATAGATAGATAGATAGATAGATAGATAGATAGATACTTTATTCATCCAAAAGTAAACAATAATAAAAAGTAAACAATAAACTCTTAGCTAAATATAGAAAGTAGAGATAAGAATAGAAGTAAAATAAAATTCACGGAAAATAAAATAAAACCACAACAAGATACTGGAATAAGTAGATACATGCTGCTGAATGATTATTAATCATTATTATCAGTTAATAATAATTATGAATCATTATTATCAGTTAATAATAAGATCCAAATGTAAATATATATATACGTATAAAGAGAGAAAGCTGTTGACAGGAAGTCGACTCACTGATATCCAGGTCCTCTCACACTGAGGCTTTACTGTACTTCTGAGGACTTTAAAACGCCATGTCAGCGTTTTAAATATGTCAACACACTCACTCACTCATGGTTATAACACACGGTGTGTGTGAATGTGTGAGTGAGTGACACTGCAGACTGTTTTAAATGGCAGATGAGACAAAAACAACACAGAGAATTCGTCCAATCTTCATCCTTATATCTTCATCTTCATATCTCAATCAGACATTACATGTTTAGTTGTTGTTGTTGTTGTTTGTTTGTTTCAGGCTCAGGTTCTGTACGACTTCACAGCTGAACCAGGAAACAACGAGTTGTCGGTCCGACAGGGAGAGACAGTCACTGTGTTAGACCAGGTACACACACACACACACACACACACACACACACACACACACACACACACACAGTTGTAACCTGTGTGTGTGTGTCTCTGCAGACTGTGGGTGGAGGCTGGATCAAAGCCCAGAACTCTAGTGGACAAACCGGACTCGTACCTGAAGGATATTTACAGGTGAGGGAAGCTTCTTTCACAGCTGCTGTTAGACATTTGTATGATCTAATATCTGCAACACATAGAGACTGAAAACCACCACAAAGAGACTGAAAACCACCACAAAGACACAAAACCACCACAAAGAGACTGAAAACCACCACAAAGAAACTCAAAACCACCACAAAGACACAAAACCACCACAAAGAGATTGCAAAACACCACAAAGAAACTGAAAACCACCACAAAGACACAAAACCACCACAAAGAGATTGCAAAACACCACAAAGAAACTCAAAACCACCACAAAGACACAAAACCACCACAAAGAGATTGCAAAACACCACAAAGAAACTCAAAACCACCACAAAGAAACTCAAAACCACCACAAAGACACAAAACCACCACAAAGAGTTTGCAAAACACCACAAAGAAACTCAAAACCACCACAAAGACACAAAACCACCACCAAGAGATTGCAAAACACCACAAAGAAACTCAAAACCACCACAAAGACACAAAACCACCACCAAGAGATTGCAAAACCACCACAAAGAAACTGAAAACAACCATAAACAGACTGAAAACCACCACAAAGACACAAAACCACCACAAAGAGACGGCAAATTCAATTCAATTCAATTCAATTTTATTTGTATAGCGCCAATTCATAACAGAAGTTATCTCAGGACACTTTTCAAATAGAGCAGGTCTAGACCGAACTCTTTAACATTAATTACAGAGACCCAACAGTACCACCATGAGCAAGCACTTGGCGACAAGGGCAAGGAAAAACTGCCTGTTAAAAGGCAGAAACCTAGGACAGATCCTCCGGCTCTAGGTGGGTGGTCGTCTGTCTCGACCAGTTGGGGTGAGAGAGAGAGAGAGAGAGAGAGAGAGAGCGACAGACAGACAGACAGGTGCACAGCAACAACAGTATTGGCAATGGCAGTCAAGCAGGACCATGGCAGGAGGCTCCACCAGGATCCATGAGAACCTGCGAGACGAGAAAGCACAAGAACTCCGGGGAAGAAGTGGAGTTAGTAACATGCATTAATGGGACATGAATGAGTGCAGAAAGAGAGAGGAAGAGAGTAGCTCAGTGCACCATGGGAAATCCCCCAATAGTCTAGGCCTATAGCAGCATAACTAAGGGATGGTTCAGGACTCACCTGATCCAGCCCTAACTATAAGCTTTATCAAAGAGGAATGTCTTAAGCCTACTCTTGAATGTGGTGAGGGTGTCTGCCTCCAGAACCACAACTGGAAGCTGGTTCCACAGGAGAGGAGCTTGGTAACTGAAGGCTCTGGCTCCTGTTCTACTTTTAGAGACTATAGGAACCACAAGTAGCCCAGCATTCAGAGAACGTAGTGTTCTAGTGGGGTAATAGGGTACTATGAGCTCTTTAAGATATGAAGGGGCCTGACCATGAAGAGCTTTATAGGTGAGGAGGAGGATTTTAAATTCAATTCTACATTTTATAGGGAGCCAATGCAGAGTAGCTAGTACAGGAGAGATGTGATCTCTTTTTCTAGTTCCTGTCAGTACTCGTGCTGCAGCGTTCTGAATTAATTGGAGCGTTTTAATGGACTTATTGGGGCAAACTGATAATAAAGAGTTGCAGTAATCCAGCCTTGAAGTAACAAATGCATGGATTAGTTTTTCTGCATCTGTCTGTGATAGTATGTGTCTAATTTTTCTAATATTACGTAAATGAAAGAAGGCAGTCCTAGAGGTCTGCTTTATGTGGGAGTTAAATGACAAATCCTGATCAAAGATAACTCCAAGATTCCTGACAGTGGTGCTAGAGGCCAAGTTAATGCCATCTAGAGTGACTATATCTTTAGACAATGAGTCTCTAAGGTTTTTGGGGCCAAGAACAAGAATTTCGTTTTTTTCTGAGTTTAACATCAGAAAATTGCAGGTCATCCAGGATTTTATGTCCTTAAGACATGTTTGTAATTTAGATAATTGATTAATTTCATTGGGTTTGATTGATAGATATAACTGCGTATCATCTGCATAACAGTGAAAGTTAATGGAGTGATTCCTAATAATGTTGCCTAAAGGGAGCATATATAAAGTAAATAGTATTGGTCCAAGTACAGAACCTTGTGGAACTCCATGACTAACTTTAGTATTTATGGAGGATTCATCGTTAACATGTACAAACTGAGAACGATCTGATAAGTATGACTTAAACCAGGTTAGGGCAGTTCCTTTAATGCCAATTTGATGCTCAAGTCTCTGTAAAAGAATATCATGGTCAATCACCACAAAGACACAAAACCACCTCAAAGAAACTCAAAACCACCACAAAGAGACTGAAAACCACCACAAAGAAACTGAAAACCACCACAAAGACACAAAACCACCACAAAGAGACTGCAGATCACCACAAAGACACGAAACCACCACAAAGAAACTCAAAACCACCACAAACAGACTGAAAACCACCACAAAGACACAAAACCCCCACAAAGACACTAGTCATAAATAAGTCATAAAATTGTAGCAGCATTGTTGTACAGTACAACTAAATAAAGTGATGAAGTGAAAATTGGGTAAATAAATGGCGTAAGTGACATTTGCTCAGGGCACAGTGTCTCCACTGTCCCTTTCGCGACCGGAGGTAGATGCGTTATATAGTCTGATGGCCACAGGACGACTCTGGCCCTTCTTGTAAACAGCCTCAGTGTTCTTGGCCCAGTCCAGTTTGTTATCCAGGTGTACTCCAAGGTATTTGTAATCCTGGACAACATCCACAGTCACACCGTTAATGGAGATGGGTTTGGGGGCAGATTTCCTCCTGCGGAAATCCACCACCAGCTCCTTAGTCTTAGTGGAGTTGAGATGCAGATGGTTAGTTGCACACCACTCAATGAAGGAGTCCACAACGCCCCTGTACTCCTCCTCCTTCCCCTCACTGACACAGCCAACAATTGCAGAGTCGTCCGCAAACTTCTGCAGGTGGCAGGACTCAGAGAGGAACTGAAAGTCCGAGGTGTACAGGATGAACAGAAAGGGGGAAAGAACAGTTCCCTGTGGAGCCCCAGTGCTGCTGACCACAGTGTCAGACACACCGTCCTGCAGTCTGACATACTGTGGTCGACCCGTCAAATAGTCCGTAATCCAGGAAACCAGGGGAGGGTCCACCTGCATCGCCGTCAGCTTACTCCCCAGCAGAGCAGGCTGGATGGTGTTGAACGCACAGGAGAAGTCCATGAACATGATTCTCACAGTGCTTCCCAGTCTGTCCAGGTGGGCGCAGGCACGGTGGAGCAGGAAGATGATGGTGTCCTCCACTCCTAATGTCGGCTGGTAGGCAAACTGAAGAGGGTCCAGTGATGAGCTGACCAGGGGCCGAAGAATTGACAGGACCAGCCTCTCCAGGGACTTCATCAGGTGAGACGTCAGCGCCACCGGTCTGTAGTTGTTGGAGAAGCTGGGACGCGCCTTCTTCGGTACTGGTACCAGGCAGGATGTCTTCCACATCACAGGGACCCTCTCCAGACTCAGGCTCAGGTTGAAGATGTGCTGCAGGACTCCACTCAGTTGGGTTGCACATGTTTTGAGGACCCTCGGGCTCACACCGTCAGGACCTGCTGCCTTGCCTGGGCGGAGTCTGCACAGCTCCTTCCTCACCTGCTCTGCAGTGAAGGTCTGTCTGCCAGGTGTGTTGATGGGGGTGGGGAGAGGTGATGGTGGGGGGGAGAGGACAGGTAGGGCGTAGTCAAGAAGGAACGGAGGGGGGCAGCAGGGCTGGAGGTTTGGAGGTGGATGGTTGTAGTGGAGCTGGGGGAGGGGTAGTCCGGAGCCCTCTCATCAAATCTGTTGAAAAACAGATTGAGCTCGTTGGCTCGTTCAGTACCACCTCCGATTGTCTGGCTGCCAGATGGTTTGTAGCCAGTGATGCTCCTCATGCCGCTCCACACGTCCTTCAAGTTGTTTTGCTGGAGTTTGTGCTCCAGCTTCGTCCTGTAGCTGTCTTTACCCTGTTGGATCCTCCTCCTTCCCTCCTAACCCCCCCCTCTTCTCCTCCCTCCCCCCCTTTTAAGGGGCCCTTTTTTTTTATTTAGGAGGGCCTTTTTTTTCTGGGGGGCCCCGGGTTGTTTTTGGGGAAAAAGTGTACAGTCGCTGTAGGAACAACACTGTTCCCACAGAAGTTGATGTACCCCGTTATGCAGTCCGTGAGATCATCAAGGTCCTCTCCGTGCGAATCACAGAGCAACTCCCAGTCTGTTTGTTCAAAGCAGCCCTACAAAGCTTCATCGGTCTCCTGTGACCATCTCCTCACAGTCCTGGTGGAGGAAGCCTCTGGACTTGGGGCTTATACAGGGGCTGCAGGTGAATGAGGTTGTGGTCTGATCTTCCAAGAGAAGGAAGTGCAGTGGAGCTGTAAGCCTCCTTAACATTGGCATATAGCAGGTCCAGTGTCTTGTTTTCCCTGGTGGGACAGTCCACAAACTGCTTGAAAATGGGCAGTGTTGCAGCCAGAGTGATGTGATTGAAGTCCCCAGATATCGCGATGAATGCGTCTGGGTGCCGTGTCTGTAGTCCTGTGACGACGGTGTGGATGACGTCACTTGCACGGGCCGCGTTTGTGGTCGGAGGAATGTAAACAACCAGGATGATCACGTGTGACAACTCCCTTGGCAGGTAATATGGCCGCAGACTCACGGCAAGCAGCTCAATGTCCGGGCTGCACACATGCTCCTTTACAGTAACGTGTCCAGGATGACACCCCTTGTTGTTAATAAGAATAGCAAGTCCCCCACCTTTCCTCTTGCTGCTCTCACGGTGACTCCTGTCCGCCCGAACAGTCTGAAAGCCGTCCACAGTTGCATTTGAGTCCGGAATGTCCTTGTGGAGCCACGTCTCCGTGAAACACAGCACGCTGCTCTCAAGATACACCCGCTGAGTCCTCACCAAGCCCGCCAGCTTGTCCATCTTATGAGCCAGCGACCTCACGTTTCCCATGGTGATGGAAGGGAGACATGGTTTATATCTCTGCTTCTTTTCCCGGTGTTTACGTCCAGCCTTACATCCCCTGTACTTCCTCCTCAGTTCTCTAGGGATTTCAGGCCTCTCCCGTATCAGCGCCGATGGTTGTAGCGACAACAGCTGATCTCGGGTGTAAACAATAGACCCGCCGCATTGTTGTGCCCAGACGGAGACGCGGTTGGGAAAAATTGTCCCAAGAATGAGACACATGGACAAAAAAACATGGAAAAAAGTTCCCAAACATAGTTGGCTAAGGTTAGCACAACAACTTACTGAAAAAGAAACAACAATGAATAAGAAAAAAATTACTAAAAGTGCGGAAAAGAAAGAGAGCAACTGTTGCTGGCCGCCGCTCGACACAGTGCCGAAACCGGAACTGGAAACCACCACAAAGAAACTCCAAACCACCACAAAGAAACTCCAAACCACCACAAAGACACAAAACCACCACAAAGAGGCTCAAAACCACCACAAAGAAACTCAAAGCCACCACAAAGACATAAAAACCACCACAAGGAGACTCAAAACCACCACAAAGAAACTCAAAACCATCACAAAGACACAAAACCACCTCAAGGACTCAAAACCACCACAAAGAGACTGCAAACCACCTCAACGACACAAAACCACCACCAAGAAACTGAAAACCACCACAAAGACACAAAACCACCACAAAGAGACTGCAAACCACCTCAAAGACACAAAACCACCACAAAGACATAAAACCACCACAAAGAGACTGCAAACCACCTCAACGACACAAAACCACCACAAAGAAACTCCAAACCACCACAAAGAAACTCCAAACCACCACAAAGACACAAAACCACCACAAAGAGATTGCAAACCACCACAAACAGACTGGAAACCACCACAAAGACACAAAACCACCACAAAGCGACTGCAAATCACCACAAAGACACAAAACCACCACAAAGAGACTGCAAACCACCACAAAGACACGAAACCACCACAAAGAAACTCAAAGCCACCACAAACAGACTTAAAACCACCACAAAGAAACTCAAAACCACCACAAACCGACTGAATACCACCACAAAGACACAAAACCACCACAAGGAGACTACAAACCACCTCAAAGACACAAAACCACCACAAAGACATAAAACCACCACAAAGAGACTGCAAACCACCTCAACGACACAAAACCACCACAAAGAAACTCCAAACCACCACAAAGATACAAAACCACCACAAAGAGATTGCAAACCACCACAAAGATACTGAAAACCACCACAAAGACACAAAACCACCACAAACAGACTGAAAAACACCACAAAGAAACTGAAAACCACCACAAAGACACAAAACCACCACAAACAGATTACAAACCACCACAAAGACACAAAACCACCACAAAGAAACTGAAAACCATCACAAACAGACTGAAAACCACCACAAAGACACAAAACCACCACAAAGCGACTGCAAATCACCACAAAGACACAAAACCACCACAAGGATTCAAAACCACCACAAACAGACTACAAACCACCACAAAGACACAAAACCACCACAAAGAAACTCAAAACCACCACAAACAGACTGAAAACCACCAAAAAAAAAACCTCAAAACCAACACAAACAAACTGAAAACCGCCTCAAAGACACAAAACCACCACAAACAAACTGAAAACCACCACAAACAGACTGAAAACCACCACAAAGACTCAAAACCACCACAAGGATTCAAAACCACCACAAAGAGACTGCAAACCACCACAAAGACACAAAACCACCACAAAGAAACTCAAAACCACCACAAACAGACTTAAAACCACCACAAAGACACAAAACCACAACGAAGAGACTGCAAACCACCTCAAAGACACAAAACCACCACAAACAAACTGAAAACCACCACAAACAAACTGAAAACCACCACAAACAAACTGAAAACCACCACAAACAGACTGAAAACCACCACAAAGACACAAAACTACCACACAGGGACTGCAAACCACCACCAAGACACAAAACCACCACAAACAGACTCAAAACCACTACAAAGAATTTCAAAACCATTGATGTGTTTCAGGTCGGCAGCAGTGGAGCTGGGGAGTCCAGGTCAGTGGGCGGGGCTTATGTCAGTAACCCAACAGAAGGATGGGACAGTCAAGGATACATGTACACACAACAAGGTAACACACAGTACTGTTGGACAGAGTACTGCAGTACTTTTAAAGTATAAAGTACTCTAAAGTTGTAACCCGGTTCAGAACTGTTTCCTGTCCCAAGCAGCTGGCGAGGACGATGATGGCGAGTGGGACGACGACTGGGATGACCAATCAATGGGTGGTTACCGTGGTGACTATCAGGTGGATGAGGAGGGTGGAGCTTCAGGAGCGAGCACCCACGGTCCCTCTGTCAAGATCTCCCTCAACAAGTACATACACCAGTAGATCTTACAGTATATTCCAGTATGTAATAATTAGTTAATTTAAATAGATCCTAGTGGATGTTCTGTAGATCCCAGTAGATATCAGTAGATCCCAGCGGCTGTCAGTAGCTCCAGATGAATGTCTGTAGATCTTAGATCAGTTGTCAGTAGATCTTGGTGGTTGTCAGTAGATCCCAGCAGTTGTCAGTAGCTCCAAATGAATGTCTGTAGATCTTAGATCCCAGTGCATTTCTTTAGATCCCAGTGGATATCAGTAGATCCTGGTGGATGTTAGTAGATCCCGGTGGTTGTCAGTAGATCCCGGTGGTTGTCAGTAGATCCTGGTGGTTGTCAGTAGATCTCAGTAATCTTGTGTTCTCAGGTTCCCATTCTCCAAAGGTCCGAGCCCTGAAGTCTTCTTGTTAGCCAAACCTCCAGCAAACAGCAGAGACAGACTTCCTGTCTACGTAAGTAACTTTATTGATCATTGTATCAAACTGTTGTCTGTCAGTGTGCTCTGATTGGCTCCTGCTCATCGTCCAATCAGATGGGAGAAGTGGGTCCGGTCTGGCTGTACCCGTTGGCTCCTCTGGACTGTGTGATCGCTGATCCCAAGAAAGAGTCCAAACTGTACGGACTGAAGAGCTTCATCGAGTACCAGATCACTCCCAATGTGAGAGTACTATACAGTACTACACTGCACTACACAGTACTATACTGTACTACACTGCACTATACAGTACTACACTGCACTATACAGTACTACACAGTACTACACTGTACTACACTGCACTACACAGTACTACACTGCACTACACAGTACTACACAGTGCTACAAGTGCTACACAGTGCTACACTGTACTACACAGTGCTACACGTACTACACTGCACACACAGTACTACACAGTACTACACTGTACTACACTGCACTACACTGCACTACACAGTACTACACTGCACTACACAGTACTACACAGTGCTACACAGTGCTACACTGTACTACACAGTGCTACACTGTACTACACTGTACTGCACAGTACTACACAGTGCTACACTGCACTACACAGTACTACACTGTACTGCACTGTACTACACAGTACTGCACTGCACTACACAGTACTACACAGTACTGCACTGTACTACACAGTACTACACTGTACTGCACTGTACTACACAGTACTACACTGCACTACACTGTACTACACTGCACTACACTGCACTACACAGTACTACACTGTACTACACTGTACAGTATGCAGTATTATACAGTAGTATACAGTAGTACGCAGTAGTACACAGTAGTAAGCAGTAGTATGCAGTAGAATACAGAAAAAAAAGCTGGCTCATAGGGAATTAAAATATCTGTAATATAGCTCGGAGCCAGACCTGAGCATGCTTTAAAAGTGATCAGTAAAATCTTAAAATCAATTCTAAAACAGACAGGGAGCCAATGGAGGGAAGCTAATATTGGAGTAATGTGTTGACGTCTGTTAAAACCAGTTAGAAGCCTAGCTGCTGAATTCTGTACCAGTTGGAGGCGAGAGAGTGATTTTTGATTTATGCCGGAGAGAAGGGAGTTGCAGTAATCTAGTCTGGAAAAGATGAATGCGTGAATTACTTTTTCCAGATCGGGGGGTATAAGCATGTGTTTTATTCTAGAAACAGAGCGTAGCTGATAGAAGCAGGACTGGACCAGTTTATTGACATGAGGGATGAATGTCAGCTCTGAGTCAAAATGTACACCTAGATTTCTTGCAGTGAGTTTTATGTTGACGGAGAAGGGACCAAGGGCTTGCTGATAATGACTAATATTGTTTGGGGGGGTGAACAATATGATTTCTGTTTTGGTGTTGTTAAGCTGTAGGAAATTTTGGGCCATCCAACTGTTAATATCTTTAAGACAGTCTAAAATAGCAGCTAGGCTTCCAGGGTCACCGGGCCTCAGCGGAAGGTATATTTGTGTGTCGTCTGCATAGCAATGGAATGATACATTATGGTGTTTAATAATCTGGCCAAGTGGGAGCATATAAATAGAAAATAAAATCAGACCTAAATAGAACCTTGCGGTACACCACAGGTAATTGGAGTTGTATTTGAGGAATAATTACCTGTGGTGAACGAGAAGGTTCTGACTAAAAGGTAAGAATAAAACCAACTAAAAGCAGTATCCTCGATGCCGACCCAGGTTTTCAGGCGGTCTAATAAAATCGCATGATCAACAGTGTTGAAGGCTGCACTTAAATCTAAGAGGAATAAAATTGCGCTCTCTCCCCTATCGGCTGCTGAAAGGAGGTCGTTGGTTACCTTGAGGAGGGCAGTTTCTGTACTATGTAAAGCTCTAAAACACAGTAGTAGTAGTAGTAGTAGTATGCAGTGGTACACAGTAGTAGGCAGTAGTATACAGTAGTATTTAGTAGTATGCAGTAGTATGCAGTAGTACGCAGTAGTATAAAGTAGTATGCAGTAGTATACAATAGTGTGCAGTAGTACGCAGTAGTATAAAGTAGTATACAATAGTATGCAGTAGTACGCAGTAGTACACATTAGTACGCAGTAGTATGCAGTAGTATACAGTAGTATGCAGTACTATGCAGTAGTAAGGCAGTAGTACACAGTAGCACACAGTAGTATGCAGTAGTATGCACTAGTATGCACTAGTACGCAGTAGTATGCAGTAGTATGCAGTAGTACGCAGTAGTACACAGTAGTACACAGTAGTATGCAGTAGTACGCAGTAGTACGCAGTAATTGTACACTCTCTCTGACCTCCCTGCAGACGACCAACAGACCTGTCAATCATCGATACAAGCACTTTGATTGGCTATATGAACGTCTGCTGGGGAAGTTCGGCTCTGCTCTGCCCATCCCCTCCCTGCCCGACAAACAGGTGACAGGTGAGCCATCGCCATGACAACCACACCTGTAGCCATGTGACCTCTGACCCCTGTGTTTGAGTGTTTACCTGTGCTGTCAGGTCGCTTTGAGGATGACTTCATCCGGATGCGTATGGAGCAGCTGCAGGCCTGGATGACGCGGATGTGTCGCCACCCGGTCGTCTCCCAGAGCGAAGTCTTCCAGCTCTTCCTCACCTACAGGGACGAGAAGGCAGGTTAAATCCCACCCCCTGTAGCTGTGTCAGCCAATCGGCTGTGAGGAGGTTTGGTGGCTGAAGTGTTGATGTTTCAGGAGTGGAAGGCAGGGAAGAGGAAGGCGGAGAGAGACGAGACGGTGGGACCAATGATCTTCAGTCTGATCGAACCTGAGGCTCCAGAGCTGGACCCTGCTGAGGTGTAAGTACTGCACAGAGCCAGACCAGGAGCCTGACCAGAAGCCAGACCATGATGTGTGTGTTTTAATGTGTGTTAATGTGTGTGTGTGTGTGTGTGTGTGTGTGTGTGTGTGTGTGCGCAGTGAGCAGCAGTGTGAACTCTACAGTCGGTTCACAAAGTCGATGGATGAAGGAGTCAAAGAGCTGCTGAATGTTGGAAACACTCACTGGAAACGCTTCACCGGACGTCAGTACGCAGTACTTATACACACAGTACACACAGTACTTGTACACACAGTACAATTCAATTCAATTCAGTTTTATTTGTATAGCGCCAATTCATAACAGAAGTTATCTCAGGACACTTTTCAAATAGAGCAGGTCTAGACCGAACTCTTTAAAACACAGTACTTATACACACAGTACACACAGTATAGACTTTTTATTATATTTTGTGTGTTGTTCGTTTGTGCGTTTGTTTGTTTGTTTGTTTGTTTGTGTGTACAGCGCTGCCTAAAGAGTATGAGCGGATTGGTCGAGCTTTCAGGAATCTATCGACTGTTTTCATCAGCAGCAAATATCCAGGTGAGGAGACAAGGAGGGATGGGGTTTTATTTGGGACAGGCTGCCTTTATTTGGGACAGGCTCCTTTTATTTGGCACAGGCTGCTTTTTTTTGGGACAGACTGCCTTTATTTGGGACAGGCTGCCTTTATTTGGGGACAGGCTGCTTCTATTTGGGGCAGACTGCCTTTAATTGGGACAGGCTGCCTTTATTTGGGGACAGGCTGCTTCTATTTGGGACAGGCTGCTTTTATTTGGGACAGGCTGCCTTTATTTGGGACAGGCTGCCTTTATTTGGGGACAGGCTGCTTCTATTTGGGACAGACTGCCTTTATTTGGGACAGGCTGCCTTTATTTGGGGACAGGCTGCTTCTATTTGGGACAGGCTGCTTTTATTTGGGACAGGCTGCCTTTATTTGGGACAGGCTCCTTTTATTTGGCACAGGCTGCTGTTTTTTGGGACAGGCTGCTTTTATTTGGGACAGGCTGCCTTTATTTGTGACAGGCTGCCTCATTTTGTTTGGCAAAATGAAACACTTTGATTGTTCCAACGGAAGTTTAAACATGTATATTTGTGTAGGAGATTAATTATTGTTGTTATTGTGTCTATGTTGTTTTTATTGTTGTTGTTATTATTGTTGTTATGATGTTTAGGAGAGGAGACACTGACAGACGCTCTGACAGCCGCTGGAAAAACATACGAGCAGATTGCAGAGATAGTCGCACAGCAGGTACAAAAATATACTACTATGATATAGTACTGTGGTACTGTGATATAGTACTGTAGTACTGTGGTGTAGTACTGTGGTACAGTGATATAGTACTGTGGTACTGTGATATAGTACTGTAGTACTGTGGTATAGTACTGTGGTACAGTGATATAGTACTGTGGTATAGTACTGTGGTACTGGGATATAGTACTGTGGTATAGTACTGTGGTACTGTGATATAGTACTGTAGTACTGTGGTACAGTGATATAGTACTGTGGTATAGTACTGTGGTACTGTGATATAGTATTGTGGTACTGTGATATATTACTGTAGTACTGTGGTATAGTACTGTGGTACAGTGATATAGTACTGTGGTATAGTACTGTGGTACTGGGATATAGTACTGTGGTATAGTACTGTGGTACTGTGGTATAGTACTGTGATATAGTACTGTAGTACTGTGATATAGTACTGTGGTATAGTACTGTGATATAGTACTGTGGTACTGTGATATAGTACTGTGATATAGTACTGTGGTACTGTGATATAGTACTGTGATATAGTACTGTGGTATAGTACTGTGATATAGTACTGTGGAATAGTACTGTGATATAGTACTGTGGTACTGTGATATAGTACTGTGATATAGTACTGTGGTACTGTGATATAGGATTGTAGTACTGTGATATAGTACTGTGATATAGTACTGTGATACTGTGATATAGTACTGTGATATAGTACTGTGGTATAGTACTGTGGTACTGTAGTACTGTGATATAGTACTGTGGTATAGTACTGTGATATAGTACTGTGATATAGTACTGTGGTATAGTACTGTGGTATAGTACTGTGATATAGTACTGTGATATAGTACTGTGGTACTGTGATATAGTGCTGTGATGTGGTACTGTGATATAGTACTGTGATATAGTACTGTGGTATAGTACTGTGGTACTGTAGTACTGTGATATAGTACTGTGATGTGGTACTGTGATATAGTACTGTGGAATAGTACTGTGGTACTGTGATATAGTACTGTGGTATAGTACTGTGGTATAGTACTGTGGTACTGTGATATAGTACTGTGGTATAGTACTGTGGTATAGTACTGTGGTATAGTACTGTGGTACTGTGGTATAGTAGTGTGGTATAGTACTGTGGAATAGTACTGTGGTACTGTGATATAGTACTGTGGTATAGTACTGTGATATAGTACTGTGGTATAGTACTGTGGTACTGTGATATAGTACTGTGGTATAGTACTGTGGTACTGTGATATAGTACTGTGATATAGTACTGTGATACTGTGATATAGTACTGTGATATAGTACTGTGATATAGTACTGTGATATAGTACTGTGGTATAGTACTGTGGTACTGTAGTACTGTGATATAGTACTGTGGTATAGTACTGTGATATAGTACTGTGGTACTGTGATATAGTGCTGTGATGTGGTACTGTGATATAGTACTGTGATATAGTACTGTGGTATAGTACTGTGGTACTGTAGTACTGTGATATAGTACTGTGATGTGGTACTGTGATATAGTACTGTGGAATAGTACTGTGGTACTGTGATATAGTACTGTGGTATAGTACTGTGGTATAGTACTGTGGAATAGTACTGTGTTACTGTGATATAGTACTGTGGTATAGTACTGTGATATAGTACTGTGGTATAGTACTGTGGTACTGTGATATAGTACTGTGATATAGTACTGTAGTACTGTACTGTGGTACTATGATATAATACTGTGGTACTGTGATATAGTACTGTGATATAGTACTGTGGTATAGTACTGTGGTACTGTGATATAGTACTGTGATATAGTACTGTAGTACTGTGATATAGTACTGTGATGTGGTACTGTAGTATAGTACTGTGATGTGGTACTGTGGTATAGTACTGTGGTATAGTACTGTGATATAGTACTGTGATATAGTACTGTGATGTGGTACTGTGATGTGGTACTGTGGTATAGTACTGTGATATAGTACTGTGGTATAGTACTGTGATATAGTATTGTAGTACTGTGATATAGTACTGTGGTACTGTGATATAGTACTGTAATATAGTACTGTAATATAGTACTGTGATATAGTACTGTGGTACTGTGATATAGTACTGTAATATAGTACTGTGATATAGTACTGTAGTACTGTAATATAGTACTGTGATATAGTACTGTAATATAGTACTGTGATATAGTACTGTGGTACTGTGATATAGTACTGTAGTACTGTAATATAGTACTGTGATATAGTACTGTGATATAGTACTGTAATATAGTACTGTGATATAGTACTGTAGTACTGTAATATAGTACTGTAATATAGTACTGTGATATAGTACTGTAGTACTGTAATATAGTACTGTGATATAGTACTGTAATATAGTACTGTGATATAGTACTGTGGTACTGTGATATAGTACTGTAGTACTGTAATATAGTACTGTAGTACTGTAATATAGTACTGTGATATAGTACTGTGATATAGTACTGTAATATAGTACTGTGATATAGTACTGTAATATAGTACTGTAATATACTACTGTGATATAGTACTGTAATATAGTACTGTGATATAGTACTGTGGTACTGTGATATAGTACTGTAGTACTGTAATATAGTACTGTGATATAGTACTGTGATATAGTACTGTAATATAGTACTGTGATATAGTACTGTAGTACTGTGATATAGTACTGTAGTACTGTAATATAGTACTGTGATGTAGTACTGTGATATAGTACTGTAATATAGTACTGTGATATAGTACTGTAGTACTGTGATATAGTACTGTAGTACTGTAATATAGTACTGTGATGTAGTACTGTGATATAGTACTGTAATATAGTACTGTGGAATAGTACTGTGGTACTGTGATATAGTACTGTGGTATAGTACTGTGGTACTGTGATATACTACTGTGATATAGGATTGTAGTACTGTGATATAGTACTGTGATATAGTACTGTGATACTGTGATATAGTACTGTGATATAGTACTGTGGTATAGGACTGTGATATAGTACTGTGGTACTGTGATATAGTGCTGTGATGTGGTACTGTGATATAGTACTGTGATATAGTACTGTGGTACTGTGATATAGTACTGTGATATAGTACTGTGATTTGGTACTGTGATATAGTACTGTGGTATAGTACTGTGATATAGTACTGTGATATAGTGCTGTAATGTGGTACTGTGATATAGTACTGTGGTATAGTACTGTGGTACTGTAGTACTGTGATATAGTACTGTGATATAGTACTGTGATGTGGTACTGTGATATAGTACTGTGGTATAGTACTGTGATATAGTACTGTGGAATAGTACTGTGGTACTGTGATATAGTACTGTGGTATAGTACTGTGATATAGTACTGTGGTATAGTACTGTGATATAGTACTGTGGTATAGTACTGTGGTATAGTACTGTGATATAGTACTGTAGTACTGTGATATAGTACTGTGGTACTGTGATATAATACTGTGGTACTGTGATATAGTACTGTGGTACTGTGATATAGTACTGTGATATAGTACTGTAGTACTGTGATATAGTACTGTGATATAGTACTGTGATGTGGTACTGTGATATAGAACTGTGGTATAGTACTGTGATATAGTACTGTGGTACTGTGGTATAGTACTGTGATATAGTACTGTGGTATAGTACTGTGATATAGTATTGTAGTACTGTGATATAGTACTGTGGTACTGTGATATAGTACTGTGGTACTGTGATATAGTATTGTAGTACTGTGATATAGTACTGTGGTACTGTGATATAGTACTGTGATATAGTACTGTAGTACTGTGATATAGTACTGTGATATAGTACTGTAATATAGTACTGTAATATAGTACTGTGATATAGTACTGTAGTACTGTGATATTGTACTGTAATATAGTACTGTGATATAGTACTGTAGTACTGTGATATAGTACTGTAGTACTGTGACATAGTACTGTGATATAGTATTGTAGTACTGTGATATAGTACTGTGGTACTGTGATATAGTACTGTAATATAGTACTGTGATGTGGTACTGTGGTACTGTGATATAGTACTGTGATATAGTACTGTAAAATAGTACTGTAATATAGTACTGTGATATAGCACTGTAATATAGTACTGTGATATAGTACTGTGATGTGGTACTGTGATATAGTACTGTGATATAGTACTGTAATATAGTACTGTGATATAGTAATGTAGTACTGTGATATAGTACTGTAATATAGTACTGTGATATAGTACTGTAATATAGAACTATAATATAGTACTGTAGTACTGTGATATAGTACTGTAATATAGTACTGTGATATAGTACTGTAATATAGTACTATAATATAGTACTGTAGTACTGTGATATAGTACTGTAATATAGTACTGTGGTATAGTACTGTGGTACTGTGATATAGTACTGTGATATAGTATTGTAGTACTGTGATATAGTACTGTGGTACTGTGATATAGTACTGTAATATAGTACTGTGATGTGGTACTGTGATATAGTACTGTGATATAGTACTGTAGTACTGTGATATAGTACTGTAATATAGTACTGTGATATAGTACTGTGGTACTGTGATATAGTACTGTGATATAGTACTGTGGTACTGTGATATAGTACTGTAATATAGTACTGTGGTACTGTAATATAGTACTGTGATATAGTACTGTGATATAGTACTGTGGTACTGTGATATAGTACTGTGGTACTGTAATATAGTACTGTGATATAGTACTGTAGTACTGTGATATAGTACTGTGATATAGTACTGTAATATAGTACTGTGATATAGTACTGTGGTACTGTGATATAGTACTGTGATATAGTACTGTGGTACTGTGATATAGTACTTTGATATAGTACTGTAATATAGTACTGTGATATAGTACTGTAATATAGTACTGTGATATAGTACTGTAGTACTGTGATATAGTACTGTGGTACTGTGATATAGTACTGTGATATAGTACTGTGATATAGTACTGTAGTACTGTGATATAGTACTGTAGTACTGTAATATAGTACTGTGATGTAGTACTGTGATATAGTACTGTAATATAGTACTGTAATATAGTACTGTGATATAGTACTGTAGTACTGTGATATAGTACTGTGATATAGTACTGTAGTACTGTGATATAGTACTGTAATATAGTACTGTGATATAGTACTGTGATATAGTACTGTGGTACTGTGATATAGTACTGTGATATAGTACTGTGGTACTGTGATATAGTACTGTGATATAGTACTGTAGTACTGTGATATAGTACTGTGGTACTGTGATATAGTACTGTAATATAGTACTGTGATGTTGTACTGTGATATAGTACTGTGATATAGTACTGTAGTACTGTGATATAGTACTGTGATATAGTACTGTGGTACTGTGATATAGTACTGTAATATAGTACTGTGATATAGTACTGTGGTACTGTGATATAGTACTGTGATATAGTACTGTAGTACTGTGATATAGTACTGTGATATAGTACTGTGGTACTGTGATATAGTACTGTAATATAGTACTGTGGTACTGTAATATAGTACTGTGATATAGTACTGTGATATAGTACTGTAATATAGTACTGTGATATAGTACTGTGGTACTGTAATATAGTACTGTGATATAGTACTGTGATATAGTACTGTAATATAGTACTGTGATATAGTACTGTGGTACTGTGATATAGTACTGTAGTACTGTGATATAGTACTGTGATATAGTACTGTGGTACTGTGATATAGTACTGTAATATAGTACTGTGATATAGTACTGTGATATAGTACTGTGATATAGTACTGTAGTACATAGTACTGTGATATAGTACTGTGATATAGTACTGTGGTACTGTGATATAGTACTGTAATATAGTACTGTGATATAGTACTGTGATATAGTACTGTAGTACTGTGATATAGTACTGTGATATAGTACTGTGGTACTGTGATATAGTACTGTAATATAGTACTGTGGTACTGTAATATAGTACTGTGATATAGTACTGTGATATAGTACTGTGGTACTGTGATATAGTACTGTGATATAGTACTGTAGTACTGTGATATGGTACTGTGATATAGTACTGTGGTATAGTACTGTAGTACTGTGATATAGTACTGTGATATAGTACTGTGGTACTGTGATATAGTACTGTGATATAGTACTGTAGTACTGTGATATAGTACTGTGGTACTGTGATATAGTACTGTGATATAGTACTGTGGTACTGTGATATAGTACTGTAATATAGTACTGTGGTACTGTGATATAGTACTGTGATATAGTACTGTGGTACTGTGATATAGTACTGTAATATAGTACTGTGATATAGTACTGTAGTACTGTGATATAGTACTGTGATATAGTACTGTGGTACTGTGATATAGTACTGTAATATAGTACTGTGATATAGTACTGTAGTACTGTGATATAGTACTGTGATATAGTACTGTAGTACTGTGATATAGTACTGTGATATAGTACTGTGGTATAGTACTGTAGTACTGTGATATAGTACTGTGATATAGTACTGTAGTACTGTGATATAGTACTGTGATATAGTACTGTGATATAGTACTGTGGTACTGTTATTTCTGATCCAGTCTGTTGTTTCTATCTATGTTTGTGATCAGGATGCTAGTTCATATTTCTGTATCAATAATACATTATTGTCTGACCTCTGATGAACTTTGACCTCCAGCCTGAGAAGGATCTTCATTTCCTGTTGGAGACAAACAATGAGTACAAAGGCCTGCTGGGATGTTTCCCAGAAATCATTGCTGTACACAAGGTACTGTAGTATTAGTACACACTGTAGTATTAGTAACAGTAACAGTAACAGTGTGTAACAGTGTGTGTGTGTGTGTGTGTGTGTGTGTGTGTGTGTGTGTGTGTGTGTGTGTGTGTGTGTGTAGGCTGCAGTGAAGGAAGTGGATCGTTTGGTTTCTGCAGGAAGAATCAACAGCAACGACAGAAAGTTCATGAACCAACGAATCAGCTGCATGAGCTACTCACTGCACGGTAACACACTGTACACACACTGTACACACACTGTACACACTGTACACACACTGTACACACACTGTACTACACACTGTACACACACTGTACTACACACTGTACACACACTGTACACACACTGTACACACACTGTACACACACTATACACACACTGTACACACACTATACACACTGTACTACACACTGTACACACACTGTACTACACACTGTACACACACTGTACTACACACTGTACACACACTGTACACACACTGTACTACACACTGTACACACACTGTACACACACTGTACTACACACTGTACTACACACTGTACACACACTGTACACACACTGTACACACACTGTACTACACACTGTACACACACTGTACACACACTGTACACACACTGTACACACACTGTACACACACTGTACTACACACTGTACACACTGTACTACACACTGTACACACACTGTACACACACTGTACTACACACTGTACACACACTGTACACACACTGTACACACACTGTACACACACTGTACACACAATGTACTACACACTGTACACACTGTACTACACACTGTACTACACACTGTACTACACACTGTACACACACTGTACTACACACTGTACACACACTGTACACACACTGTACACACACTGTACTACACACTGTACACACTGTACTACCCACTGTACTACACACTGTACACCACACTGTACACACACTGTACTACACACTGTACACACACTGTACTACACACTGTACACACACACTGTACTACACACTGTACTACACACTGTACACACTTTACTACACACTGTACACACTTTACTACACACTGTACTACACACTGTACACCACACTGTACACCACACTGTACACCACACTGTACTACACACTGTACTACACACTGTACACACACTGTACTACACACTGTACACACACTGTACACACACTGTACTACACACTGTAATATACACTGTACACACACACTGTACACACTGTACACACTGTACACACTGTACACACTGTACTACACACTGTACACACATTGTACTACACACTGTACTACACACTGTACACACACACTGTACACACTGTACACACTGTAGTACACACTGTACACACTGTACACACTGTACACACTGTACTACACACTGTACTACACACTGTACACACACTGTACACACTTTACTACACACTGTACACACACTGTACACACTTTAACACACACTGTACACACACTGTACACACACTGTACTACACACTGTACACACACTGTACACACTTTACTACACACTGTACACACTTTACTACACACTGTACACACACTGTACACACTTTACTACACACTGTACACACTGTACTACACACTGTACACACTGTACACACACTGTACACACACTGTACACACTGTACACACACTGTACACACTGTACTACACACTGTACACACACTGTACACACACTGTACACACACTGTACTACACACTGTACACACTGTACTACACACTGTACTACACACTGTACACCACACTGTACACACACTGTACTACACACTGTACACACACTGTACTACACACTGTACACACACACTGTACTACACACTGTACTACACACTGTACACACTTTACTACACACTGTACACACTTTACTACACACTGTACTACACACTGTACTACACACTGTACACCACACTGTACACCACACTGTACTACACACTGTACTACACACTGTACACACACTGTACTACACACTGTACACACACTGTACACACACTGTACTACACACTGTAATATACACTGTACACACACACTGTACACACTGTACACACTGTACACACTGTACACACTGTACTACACACTGTACACACACTGTACTACACACTGTACTACACACTGTACACACACACTGTACACACTGTACACACTGTAGTACACACTGTACACACTGTACACACTGTACACACTGTACTACACACTGTACTACACACTGTACACACACTGTACACACTTTACTACACACTGTACACACACTGTACACACTTTACTACACACTGTACACACACTGTACACACACTGTACTACACACTGTACTACACACTGTACACACTTTACTACACACTGTACACACTTTACTACACACTGTACACACACTGTACACACTTTACTACACACTGTACACACTGTACTACACACTGTACACACACTGTACACACACTGTACTACACACTGTACACACTGTACTACACACTGTACTACACACTGTACACACTGTACTACACACTGTACACACTGTACACACACTGTACTGCACACTGTACTACACACTGTACACACTGTACTACACACTGTACACACACTGTTCCACACACTGTACACACACTGTACTACACACTGTACACACACTGTACACACTTTACTACACACTATACACACTATACACACTGTACACACACTGTACACACTTTACTACACACTGTACACACTGTACTACACACTGTACACACTGTACTACACACTGTACTTCACACTGTACACACTGTACTACACACTGTACTTCACACTGTACACACTGTACTACACACTTTACTGCACACTGTACTACACACTGTACTGCACACTGTACACACACTGTACACCACACTGTACACACACTGTACACACTTTACTACACACTGTACACACTGTACTGCACACTTTACTGCACACTGTACTACACACACTGTACACAGTGTACTGCACACTTTACTGCACACTGTACTACACACACTGTACACACACTGTACTACACACTGTACACACACACACTGTACTACACACTGTACACACACACACTGTACTACACACTGTACACACACTGTACACACACTGTACTACACACACTGTACACACTGTACACACTTTACTACACACTGTACACACACACACTGTACACACACACTGTACTACACACTGTACACACTTTACCACACACTGTACACACACTGTACACACACACTGTACTACACACTGTACACACTTTACCACACACTGTACACACACTGTACACACACTGTACTACACACACTGTACACACACACTGTACACACTGTACTACACACACTGTACACACACACTGTACACACACTCTCATACACACTGTACACACTGTACTACACACACTGTACACACTGTACACACACTCATACACACTGTACTACACACTGTACACACTCTCATACACACTGTACACACTGTACACACTCTCATACACACTGTACACACTGTACACACACTGTACTACACACTGTACTACACAATGTACACACACTGTACTACACACTGTACACACACACTCTCATACACACTGTACTACACACTCTCATACACACTGTACTACACACTGTACACACACACTGTACACACTGTACTACACACTATGTGTACTACTTACTTACTTCCTTACTGTACTAAGCAGGGTTGTAACCATAGCAACCTGTCTCCTACAGCTGAGATGAACCATTTCCATAGCAACCGTATCTATGACTACAACAGAGTGATGCAGCTGTACCTGCGGCAACAGGTGACCTTCTACCAGCAGGTGAGGAGGATGGGGGGGCGGGGGGTTGCAGGTAAACAGCTCTGTGACGACATAATCCCCTCTCTGCTCTCTGATTGGTCAGATCGCTGACAAGCTGAGAGGAGCCCTGCGCCAGTTCACCACACTGTGAGGATGACATCACCGATGACATCACAGCCTAATGATGTCACTGTTACATTTCTAAAGTTTTTAATATTGCTAATTGATTGATTGATTGATTGATATAACATATTGCTTGTTTTCACTGAATTAAACTCGTCTTTGTATTAAAAGTGTTTATTTTTATATCCTCACTTCACACCAAACTCCATTTTAAGTTCTCTTATTTTAAGGTATAATATATAGATAATGTTTCAATAATATTAATAATAATCGTTAAGTTAAATTACCTGTCACTTTGGTCACATGATACACTACTTTATTAATCAATAATTAGGCGTATAAATCACTGAATGTTTTTGTTAAACTGTCATATTCATAGTGTTTCTACTTCACAACTTTATGTATATATAATGGATTAATCGTTGGTATCGACACAAACCTGCAGGGCAAGTGGACATTTAATTTGTGAATTTCTGAATGTAGTTTGGTTTGTTTTGACCTGTATGAACTGTATATTGATCGATACCTGGAGGGAAATACACCTGTATGACCTCTAGATGTGTCCATGCTGCCACCTGGTGGCTGAGAACTGAACTGCAGTGTTCAGAAAACTAAATCTTTTTTTTTCACTTGTGTTTTTTCTTGTAAAATTAAAATATATGAAAATAAAAGTTTCAACATTCGTCAATATGTGAGAAATATTTTTTATTACTGTAAAACAAACTAAACACACTTCGTAACATCTAAAAAGTATAAAAACTAACACATTAGCGTTAGCCTCTGATAATCACTTTAATTGACCTTTCCTAAGCCCCGCCCCTTTCAGAAGCTCACTCAACTTTCTTGTACTTAGATATGCTATGTGCTAGGCTAATGCTAACCACATTCTAATGTTAGCAGCACACAGATGGAGCTGGCTAACAATTGATAGCTAGCGTTTTGCTAACATTAGCTAACTTAAGACGTATATATATTAGCCTAGCATGTAGCATATCTAAGCACAGAAGAAGAGGAAGTTGACTGAGGCTTCTTAACTGTTATTGGAGCACAGAGCAAAAAGGGGCGGGGCTTATGGACGGTCAATACACAGCTATTGGCACTGTCATGTGATGTGATTGTTTAAATAAAGATTTTTGTTGCCCTCTGACCTTGAAGGCCTCCTCCTCCTCCTCCTCCTCCTCCTCCTCCTCCTCCTCCTCCTCCTCGCTGTACACCGGCTCCATTCGCGACAGTGATTGGATGAACTCGGCGGGGGTCAGTGGCTGGAGGCGGAGCTTCTTCAGCCTGTGGGGGTGGAGCACTGAGCGGATCGCCTGCAGGATGTGACCCTGGGTGAAGCCATCGGTGATCTTAGCCAATGAGCTAAGGTCCAGACTCGGACCTGGCTCCGCCCCCTGACGGCGCAGCAACTCCCTCCACAGGACTAAAATGGGAAATGCTCATGTTAGCATTAGCATCAACTTTAGTGCTAATATAGCATTTTATAACGTCACAGTGTCACAATGCTAATGTTTAAAGACAATCACAGGTCTCAGAAACACGTGTTAGCATGTTAATGTGCTAATTAGTGCTACCAGGGCAGCACTGTTGTTACATATTAACATCTTAGCATGTATGTTAAAATCTAACATAGCATTAACACATAGCATTAACATGCAGTCTAATGCAAAATATGCTAGTGTGTTAGCCTGTTATGCTAATATGAGAACATGCTAATGTTAATGCTAATTTAGCATGTTATCATTCAATGCTATACACTTGTGCTAACTAAATAGCATGTTAGCATACAGTCTGGGGTGAACTGACCCAGCCTGCCGCTGTAGTCCGCTCCGGGGATCAGGAGGATCTTCTTGAAGACTTTACACAACGGTTTGTCGTCGGCATCAAACGGTCTTCGAGTGGTTCCAATAAGCAGAACCTGGTCTGCCGGGTTCAGGGTCTTCAGAGACTTCAGGAGGATCTTCCTGAACCTCCGAGGATCAAACTGGAAGACAGACCCAGGAAATGTCAAATATAATATTTTTATAAACAGGAAGTTTTAATAATATTTATTTTGAATTATTAAAATGTTCTGTGTGATGGAGGGAAGCAGCCGGCAGGGGGGAGCACAGACTCAACAGACCTTCAGAATAAAAGCATGTTTCCTGACCTATCTTGTTTTCCTCCTGAAGATTTTCTCGCAGTCTTCGATCCAGATCACCGACGGCTGCTCAGCTGCTACCTGACAGGAGACAGCACGGACCAATCAGAGCCCAGAAACTGCTGCTGATGTCACACAGTTAGACAACCAGGTGAACGTCTGCAGCCGATTAATCAACTGATCAATAGCTGATAATGCACTGATAATCGAACCTGGAAAGGTGAAGTTCAGCCTGGAATGTTCCAGGATTTCCAGGATGTGTAAGATGTTGGAAAATGGATTCCAGACTTACCTTGAAGACCAGGTGTAGTAGGTAGGAGGCTCCTCCCCTGCCGATGTACCTGCTGCTCAGGTAGAACAGGTGAGCTCCACTCTCACTGCAGACAGCATGAACCAACGTCTTCTTCCCGACAGCGGACGGACCGACGAAGAGCACCGCCCTCAATGCCGGGAACTTCTCCAGGACCGCCACCTGGGAGCCTGGTGGGACGTCAGTTATTGATCAGTTCTTGGTGAGTTATTGATCAGTTATTGATCTGTTCTTGATCTGTTACTGATCTGTTATTGATCTGTTATTGATCAGTTCTTAGTGAGTTATTGATCAGTTATTGATCTGTTATTGATCTGTTATTGATCTGTTATTGATCAGTTATTGATCAGTTCTTGGTGAGTTATTGATCAGTTATTGATCTGTTATTGATCAGTTACTGATCTGTTATTGATCTGTTATTGATCAGTTCTTGGTGAGTTATTGATCAGTTATTGATCTGTTATTGATCAGTTCTTGGTGATTTACTGACTAACCAAGAGGCAGGACTGGGTACAGAGTGATGAGTTGTCTGACATCAGACAGAGACGGCGTCGGTTCAATGTTCAACTGTCAGAGAGTCGAGCCCAGGTAACTGTACTCACCTGGAGACAGACAGACAGACAGACAGACAGACAGACAGACCACCAAAATAAGACTGCAGTTACAGCTGTCTCCCTGCAGAGGAACCCTGTTTGTTTATTTATTATTATTATTTATTATGTATTTGTTGTTGTTACCGATGTAGTCTGAGAGCTTGATGTTCATTGGTTGGATGAGTAAACCCTCCAGAATAAGCTCCTCACACAGAGACTGCAAAGACCTGAGAGACCAACCAATCAGAACTCAGAACACAGAGACAGGAACCAATCAGAGCCCAAAACACAGAGACAGGAACCAATCAGAACTCAGAGACAGGAACCAATCAGAACTCAGAGACAGGAACCAATCAGAACTCAGAACACAGAGACAGGAACCAATCAGAACTCAGAGACAGGAACCAATCAGAACTCAGAGACAGGAACCAATCAGAACTCAGAGACAGGAACCAATCAGAACTCAGAACACAGAGACAGGAACCAATCAGAACTCAGAACTCAGAGACAGGAACCAATCAGAACTCAGAACACAGAGACAGGAACCAATCAGAACTCAGAGACAGGAACCAATCAGAACCAATCAGAACTCATAACACAGAGACAGGAACCAATCAGAGCCCAAAACACAGAGACAGGAACCAATCAGAACTCAGAGACAGGAACCAATCAGAACTCAGAACACAGAGACAGGAACCAATCAGAACTCAGAACACAGAGACAGGAACCAATCAGAACTCAGAACACAGAGACAGGAACCAGAACTCATAACACAGAGACAGGAACCAATCAGAACTCAGAACACAGAGACAGGAACCAATCAGAACTCAGAACACAGAGACAGGAACCAATCAGAGCTCAGAACACAGAGACAGGAACCAATCAGAACTCAGAGACAGGAACCGAATTGAACTCAATTGAATTAATGTTAAATGTTAATGTTAAAGAGTTCGGTCTAGACCTGCTCTATTTGAAAAGTGTCCTGAGATAACTTCTGTTATGAATTGGCGCTATACAAATAAAATTGAATTGAATTGAATTGAATTGAACCAATCAGAACTCAAAACACAGAGACAGGAACCAATCAGAGAGAATGTCCCAACAGGTAAACTCACCTGTCTGCTGTCAGGTCTTTCTCTCTTTTCTTCTTCTTGGTTTTCTTCTTCTTCTACAAACAAAACAAAGTTGCATTCAGTGTTTGTTGAGACTCTGCCCATCTGGGAGGTCCAATGCACAGAAACAAACGCCCACTGATCAGGAGGAGCCATTTAGTGACCCTGACCTTTCTGTCTCCTTTCTTGGTCGTCTTCTTTTTGTCAATCACCGATTTGAGGTTTTTTAGCTCCACCCTGATCAGCTCGTCCACCTGACAAACCAAACGCACCCACAACTTTAAACAACAGGCACCAGCCTGGAAACCTGGAATAATATCCTGGAACATCAGCCTGGAAATATCCTAGAGATTACACTGTAAACAATATTAAATTATCAGGCTGTAAGAAATCAAAAACACTGTAAAAAATGACTGCTGATGATTTTACTGTAAAAATAACAACCCAAACATACACTGTTAAAAATACCCTGTAAAGAATTACAACCAGGTTTAAACACTGTTAAAAATACCCTGTAAAGAATTACAACCAAGGCAAACACTGTTAAAAATACCCTGTAAAGAATTACAACCAGGTTTAAACACTGTTAAAAATACCCTGTAAAGAATTACAACCAGGTTTAAACACTGTAAAAAATACCCTGTAAAGAATTACAACCAGGTTTAAACACTGTAAAAAATAACCTGTAAAGAATTACAACCAGGTTTAAACACTGTTAAAAATACCCTGTAAAGAATTACAACCAGGTTTAAACACTGTTAAAAATACCCTGTAAAGAATTACAACCAGGGCAAACACTGTAAAAAATACCCTGTAAAGAATTACAACCAGGGCAAACACTGTAAAAAATACCCTGTAAAGAATTACAACCAGGTTTAAACACTGTTAAAAATACCCTGTAAAGAATTACAACCAGGTTTAAACACTGTTAAAAATACCCTGTAAAGAATTACAACCAGGGCAAACACTGTTAAAAATACCCTGTAAAGAATTACAACCAGGTTTAAACACTGTTAAAAATACCCTGTAAAGAATTACAACCAAGGCAAACACTGTTAAAAATACCCTGTAAAGAATTACAACCAGGTTTAAACACTGTTAAAAATACCCTGTAAAGAATTACAACCAGGTTTAAACACTGTAAAAAATACCCTGTAAAGAATTACAACCAGGTTTAAGCACTGTAAAAAATAACCTGTAAAGAATTACAACCAGGTTTAAACACTGTTAAAAATACCCTGTAAAGAATTACAACCAGGTTTAAACACTGTTAAAAATACCCTGTAAAGAATTACAACCAGGGCAAACACTGTTAAAAATACCCTGTAAAGAATTACAACCAGGTTTAAACACTGTTAAAAATACCCTGTAAAGAATTACAACCAAGGCAAACACTGTTAAAAATACCCTGTAAAGAATTACAACCAGGTTTAAACACTGTTAAAAATACCCTGTAAAGAATTACAACCAGGTTTAAACACTGTAAAAAATACCCTGTAAAGAATTACAACCAGGTTTAAACACTGTTAAAAA